GTACTCATTCTCCTTCCATCCCTCCAACCAGTTCCATTTGGATTCCTCCTCTGCACAGATTTTCCTTTTTGCTTCATTCCTTTTACATCTGCAACTGTCTTTCGGGTTCTAAATGTACTTTCATGGCCTAAATGGCCTGCCACCCATATGCAGTTCCAAATTTTTCTTACATCAATCAGCCTATCCCCTCAATCCCCACAATTTTGTTTTCACCTGGATACCTGCCAGTATTTCAGACTCCTCTTCTCTTCTACCCTCTCCTGCCTCTTCAGACCAGGACTACGTGACCTCCCTACACCTTTAAAGCTACCATTTTCCTAAACTCCAAACCGGCCACTCCCGACTTTCCTCCGCACACACTCCATAGTGTGTCTTCAGTGCCGTCTCTCTGCAGATGATCACCTCTGGGAAAACTGCAATAACCTAACCCAGTTTTCCTCAAAGTGTAGCGAATTCACTGCCAGTGCCACGCAGAGAGATCTCGGACAGGATACGCTTGTGAACGTTAAAAAACTTACTTGCTATATTGTTTTAATGTGCATTAGGAAAAATCACTGGCACGCATTAAACTTATTTTAAATTAGAATTATGTATAGCAAGACAAATTTGAAAACAAGAGTAAATGTGAAGGAAACAATAGGAGCATGTGAAGATGACAAAAGCCATCAAGTAGTATACAAGTGACTGAAATTTGGGAATCGTCATCTAAATGGATCACTTTGATAATCTGCTCCCCTTGCAATATATTAACTTAGCCACCAAATCAACTCCTTTTTTGCTACTCATACCAGAATATATCCTTGTTCAAAATCTCCAGTGGCATCCCCATCCTACAAAATAAAACTCCACACCTGATTTCAGCACACATCTGCCCCTACTCTGTCTAAATCTATCTTTACAGCTATTATATCCTTCCCTTCTCTAACTATGCTTCTACTTTTTCACTTCTCTTTAACCGAAATGCTCAATACCCACTATCCTTCAACCAAAATCTGTTTGTCAGAAAACCAATCTTTTAGAACCCAATAAAAATGAAGAGGCAAGTTTTAATATGTTTATTAAGTACCTATTATGTGCCTCCTTCTGTGAGTCTTTCCTAATCGTTCCCACTGGAATCAACCTCTTTCCCCTTCTGAACTTCCACAAGTTTATTATCTGTGGCACTGATCACAGATCATCTTTAGCTTTATATATATGCTCGCCTACTATTTTCTGGGTAACCTAAAGATAGGGATGGTGCCTCCATCTTTGATTATTTCTGTCCCCACCTTACTTAGTAACTTTGTGCCTTCTAAAGATAACAGTTAAGTGTCAGCTGAATAAATCAATCTGTACCTTAAATCAAAGGCTGTGTAGCAGGTGGAAATGGTGTAAACAAAAAGAAACCTGAATTCAACAAGACCTCAAGTTTTAGATTAGGGAAAACCTTTCTACCTGGCTCTGTTTAAAAGAAAAACAAGTCTGAAATATATCATCTGCTGAGAAACTGAAGTACTAAGTGTGTTGAGCACCACTTAGGTGCTTAGGTAAGTACAAGTGAGAGCCACGCTATTCACACTGGAACCATCCCAGCTGTGGGAATTGGAATAGGAGTTTGTAAAATGTTGTTATGTAATCCCACAATATAAACCAGGAACAATTTTACTAGCAGAAATTTACCGTTTTTATGTATGTAATAAACTATTACCACCTTGTGCATGTTATTTGAAACATGCATGATTGGTTGTTCTAGTTTTTCCAGTAATAATCGTTTATCACCTGCCTTATATTCCACTAGCAGACACCAACAGGCAAATGGCAGTGAGTCTCAAACATGTGAGAAGGGTTTGGACAAGAAAATAAAAATCTGTTGAAAATTGTTTGTCTTGGGGCGCCTGGGTGGCTCAGTCGTTAAGCGTCTGCCTTTGGCTCAGGTCACGATCCCAGGGTCCTGGGATCGAGCCCCGCATCGGGCTCCCTGCTCCGCGGGAAGCCTGCTTCTCCCTCTCCCCCTCCCCCTGCTTGTGTTCCCTCTCTCGCTGTGTCTCTCTCTGTCAAATAAATAAATAAAATTAAAAAAAAAGAAAGAAAGAAAGAAAGAAAATTGTCTTTCTGTGGCTTCGGATGGTCTAATTAGTTAAGTCTGGTGGTAATACATTTGAGTCCATCGGGTGCTCTGAAGATGCACATTTGAACCACTGGAGAAAGGGCAGAGAATATGTATCGGGAGGCACTTGGACGCTATCAGAGAAGAGACTGAGGAGGAGGGGAGCCTTCCAGGCGGGCAGACGGAGGAGCCTGACAGTAAACGACTCACGGACTCCCGAAGCCAGCATGTAAGACTCCTACCCTAAAGAACTTCTGCTAGTCCACCACTCTGACAGACTCCCATCAGTTGAGCTTAAATGTCAAGAACAAATAGACACACACAAAAGTGGCTTTGATGATGTAAGTGAGGGGAGAGGGCCTCCGACAGCTGTTCTCCACACCACACCCCCAAGGCTCCTCCTTAGGGCAGCAGCAACTTTGTCAATGACACAAATGCAGAGGGGCACGAGGCTTCCGGCAGCTTAGCATTTTAATTTGGGGGGGCGGGGGGGAGTGGAAGAATACATAAGTTGCTTTGTGTCCCCCACTACATCCTAATGCCTTGGAGACCAGCCAGGCCGACCCAAGTGGAATCCAGAGCGAGAGTGGGGCGTTGGGTTCCCCGAGGAAAGGGGGCAGATCCAGAACAGAGCAGAAACGGTGACAGTTATCTGTATGAAAAAGTAAGGAGACTCTAGGTAAGGACTAGCATCAATCTACACAGCAATTTGGGAGAAAAGGGAAGAGAAGGCAGTGGGAATGAGAAAAGACAGCCAGACACTGCAGTCTGAGTCATTTGGCTTCTTCTCAGGGTTAGTGGGAAAGATACAAAGAGGCCGATTAGCGTCAAGGATCAAGGGTCCACAGCAAACGGATTGAAGTCCCCAACAACTCTTTTTGGTGCTTTTTACCGCCTGGCTTGCTCTGGGACTCAGCTGAATTCTTTGGTGAATTTGGTACTTCCAGTCATGGGTGTTTCCTCTGAACTTTAGTATCAGGACAGAAATTAAATACACCCAGGAGGTCTGAATTTTGTTATGCAATGGGAGAGCCCAAGTCACTGGCTCTCTGGGCCCTACGTCCTTAGTTATATGATGACGTGATTTTACCTTTAGGAGCATCCTCTCTGAGAAGACTGAATTTGAGAAGCAAATAGAAAAATCACGGTGTTATAAGGGTCTATGAACAAAAAGTACGAAAAAAACACATGTGGATCAGCGTGCTACCGCAGATTCGATATGAAATGCCACCCCAGCTTTTGCCAGTAAGTAATCAGCACCAGTATTTTAAAGACAGCATAAAGACTCTAGCTTCCAAAGGATAAAACCAAAGCACACTACGCACAGCCTATGACCCCAACCACCCACAAGCCAAGGTCCCAGCCCCGCTCTGCTGTCAGATAGTTACATAGAGGTCATGTCATTGAGGGCGTGGTCCAGCTCCTCGCTAATGGCCTTGTACTTCAGTTTCTGGGCATAGAGCTCATCTGGATAGGCACAGGAACACAGGGAGGAACCAGGGGACAGAGTGAAAGGTATCGGAAGCAGACGAAAAGAGGGAATCATTAGAAATTAGGAAAAGTGTGACTGTGGGTCTAATACCCCAGGTTAGGAGAACATCTGTCCTGGTGGCCACAACATGCCATTTTCAGATCCACTGTCCCCCCAGACCACTGGACTTCTTGACACCTCTAATCAACTGTAGTCAGGGTTGAGAATCTGGGCACGGGGGCGCCTGGGTGGCTCAGTCGTTAAGCGTCTGCCTTCGGCTCAGGTCATGATCCCGAGGTCCTGGGATCGAGCCCCGCGTCGGGCTCCCCGCTCCGCGGGAAGCCTGCTTCTCCCTCTCCTTCTCCCACTCCCCCTGCTTGTGTTCCCTCTCCCTCTCTCGCTGTGTCTCTCTCTGTCAAGTAAATAAATAAAATCTTAAAAAAAAAAAAAAAGAGAGAGAGAGAGAGAATCTGGGCACAGTCATGACTAGAAACTCGTTACCAGAGGCACTCAAGAGGATACCACTCCCACCCAGTTAACCCAGTTCCTAGCAGGGATAACACAATAAAAATAGAAAAAGGAGAAAGCACACATTAATATTCAGACACTTCTTCTCTATCTACCAAGCAAGACTAGTATTCTTGGCCCCTTTGCTCTATAGGCTGCCTCCCCAAACCCCCCCAAAGAATATCCTGCTACCCAGAGCATACCAAAGAAGCATATCTCAGAGTTCTCAAAGTACATTTTCGCTCGTTAGAGCAGACATAGTTGCCAAAATATGGAGACAAGAAGTATTTAGAGGCACCTGGGTGGCTCAGTCAGTTAAGTGTCTGCCTTCGGCTCAGGTCATGATCTCAGGGTCCTGGGATCGAGTCCCACATCCGGCTCCCTGCTCAACAGGTAGCCTGCTTCTCCGTCTCCCTCTGCCCTTCCTCTTTGCTTGTCCTCCCCCACCCCCCAGCAAATAAATAAATAAAATATTAAAAAGAGAAAGCCCCTGGGATTGGTCAGCTCTGAGACATGGATATTCCACAGCTGCATCTCTTAAAGAGATCCCCTAGTTTCAGTGATAAACAGGATTGCCAAATGTAGCCGTGGGGTAACACATGCTCTTATTGCCTCCTGAAAGTATGGCTACCATTTCAACCCAGAGACCAAGACTTAAGACTACTAAATTGGGAGGTAAATGCCGTCATTACCAGTCTCCTCCAGGGAAAGGATGCAAATTCCAGAATTAGGTGAAGTCTTATTAAAAGAAAAGGTTGCATGTGTAAAAATCCAATTCTAGGTTTTGACCCATTTCACCTAGCTGTGGCACAGGACAGGGCACCAGGCATGTGCCAGGTCACTACCAACTCCCTTTGGTGGACAGGGAAGGAGGTTAACAGTCAATGGGCAAGGTCTTCCTCTGTATCTCTTCAATTCCTCTCCCAGGCTCCATACCTTCCAAATCATCAATTGTCTTCTCCAGCTTGGCTACTGATCTCTCAGCAAACTCAGCACGGGTTTCTGCCTGGGGGAAATGCGACACCAGACAGAATCAGAGATGAACAAGACAATAAAAAGAAGGATTCTCTCTCTCTTCCATCTTCAATACGTAGACCTTTCAGAACCAAAGCCAGCTTGTCTAAGTCTAAGAGTGCGTCATACACCTCTGAATGTTTTGATTCCTTCCCTAGAACCCCCCTTCAGCTCACCTCCTCCCTTCCTTAGAACCCCTTCAGCTCACCTCCTTGAGTTTATCCGTGAGAATCTTTATCTCTTCCTCATATTTGTCTTCCTTTTGAGAGTACTGTAAGAGAGGTAGAATAGAAGTTTCAGAGTGGAAATTCCTCACACAGACCCTACCCCCTGCCACCACATTCACTCTTACAGTGAATATCCTCTTGATTTAATGTGCTGAATGGCCCATGAGAAAAAAAGCAAGGCCCATTTCTAGACAATAGATCCTTAAAATCCACAAATCAATGTCCTTAGTCTTGATACCCTCAGATTAGAATCCTCCAGACCTTTATTTTTAAACTGGACCTACGCTTTTACCTCATTCAGATCAACCCAAGGTGGTGTTTTTCCTTCCTCCTGTTTAATGAGTAGGTGTAGCAATACCCCAAGGCTATATGGCTGAAATAGTCCCACGTGATGGTAAAGAAAAGTCATCTGTCTTGACTGCTTACTAGGTCTCTTACCTACTACTTGATGCCCCTATTGGTCTGCTAGAAAACCTCCTGGGACCAATGATTACTGCTATTTCACACAGCGTTATCAGCCTGAGGAGAACATGACCCCCAAGCACCTGAGACCATGAAGCATTTTTTTTGACTAAAGAAATCAAAGTGCACAGGAATTAGCATTAAACCCAGAATCTGGATGACAAGGACACATCTCACTAGGTTATGTAAGGAATGGGTTTCTCTAGTCTTTCATCAAGGGCAGGGCTGGGCCCAGGCCCCAAGCCTGTCACTATCACAACCAGCCCCTACCTTCTCCGCCTGAGCCTCAAGAGACTTGAGGTTGTTGGTGACATTCTTCAGCTCCTCCTCCAGCTCAGAACACTTACTGTGAATGTTTTAAATACCGCAGGAGAGGAAAGGGGAAGAAGGAGAGAATAAAAAAAAAGGGAGAGAGAGACACACAGACGTGAATTGAACCTATATGTAGAGAGAGCTGGAAGGCATACTGGGGAAAAGAGAAGTTCCCGGGTCATCTGAGCAAGTGTCAACCCTCCTCCCTCTACCATAGAACATGTCAGAAGCTGGGCCCTCCTGGGCTAGGACTTAGAATGTTTGGATACCAATAGAACACTTGAGAGAGATCACTAGCAGGAACAAGTCATAACTGCTGGCTGGGGTGGAGGTGGGAATAGACGCCCAAGCAAACAGTCCCCCAAATCACCCACGGGAGGGAGAGACCCTGTGGAGAGGTGGTGAAGCAACTAGGAAAGAGATGAAAGATGCCAAGGAAGTGGGAAAGAATGGAGCATTCCATGAAGAGATGAGAAAGCACTCAACAAATCAACCAGTGGAGGGGAGGCAGCTGCAAAACAAAAACAAAAACAAAACAGAACGAAACCACACCACACACGTAACCTCTTTGTGGGTTAACGGTTAGTACCTTTTCTTCAGCAGCACTCAGACACTTCAGGTTCTGGTCCATCAGTCTGATCTGCTCATCCATCTCCCGGCAACGGCTGTTAGTGACAGTCACAGGGATCGCACAAGCCAGGTTGTGGGGAGGGAGAAAGGTCAAAAAGGACACAGCAAGGAAACAAGCAGCAAAACGGGGGGAAAATTTTTTTTTTTCCAAAAAATGGGAAAACACCACCGTGGTCATGATGTCATGTCTGGGAGAGGGGAATACAGAGGAAGCACAAATATATGCACATCAGCACTGCCTTTGTTACCCAAGGCCCAGAAGGTGCCAACAGGGGAGCACTTCCTATCTGCTCTTGCCCTCCAGTTCCCCAGACTGGCAATGTGGTAAAAAAGAGATCTCAAGTCAGCACAGCCACTTCAGTGCCTCAAGGAGAAACAGACTCCAGGTGGGAGGACCCTGTAGGGCCTGCAAGTTAACCGTCCACCATGTATTAATTAGTCTTTATTTGCCCTCAGTTTGCAAACCCTCCCTACGAGAAACAAGGGAAGCCTCATTTGTCACCTGTCACTAGTCAAAAGAGTTAGAAAAGCCCATAGCCATTCTCAGGACCTAAAAAAAAGCCCACTCTCTAGGCCCTGTTTAACAAGGTTGAAGGAATGCTAGTTTATTCACATTAATGCGCAAGCCAAAGGAAAAGGGACAGAATGGTATATGGCAAGATTTGGGGAGCAAGATACTCACGACTCTGCCAGCTCAGCTCGTTCCTCTGTGCGTTCCAAGTCCCCCTCAATAATCACCAACTTCCGAGCCACCTACAGGAGAAGACCCCGTACAGCTCAGGGAAGCAAACAGGAAGCCATTTCCCTCTACCATGATTCTTTTTCAGAAACCCAATGACACCGAAGACGACAACACAAGGCACCGCACCTCTTCATACTTCCGATCTGCCTCTTCTGCAATGTGCTTGGCCTCTTTGAGTTGGATTTCCTGGAGTTCCATCTTTTCTTCATCTTTTAAGGCTCGGTTCTCAATAACCTTCATACCTCTGCCAAAGACGAGAAGGACAAATGTGGCACTGACATCCTGGGGAGTCTGTCACCAGCTCTACCCCGAGGCACTCTGAATGGCACCTTCTGAAGCCCATCCCACTCTGCCTACCATCTAAAAAGAACTCCCACACCACCCCCCACCTTAGTTTATTTGTTTTAATACTTCTTCAAAAAAAATAAACTTTGGGACGCCTGGGTGGCTCAGTTGGTTAAGCATCTGCCTTTGGCTCAGGTCATGATTCCAGGGTCCTGGGATGGAGCCCCGCATCGGGCTCCCTGCTCAACAAGGAGCCTGCTTCTCCCTCTGCCTGCCGCTCCCCCTGCTTGTGCTCTCTCTGACAAACAAATAATCTTTAAAAAAACAAATAAAAACAATTTTTAATAAAAAATCAATATTTATTAATATTAATATTTAAGTATACAGTTTAAGGGCACAAAGTAAGCCTCCCCACCTCTCCTCCTGCTCAACAAAGAAAAACTCTTCATAACCCTTGCAGAAGGGTTTTATATAGATAAAACCCAAACAAACCTCACCCCCCACTTCCCCACACCCCAAAAGAATCATACACTACCCTGTTCTGCAACATGTTTTCTTTACTTTCTAGAATTTGGGACACTACTCTGTACCAGTGTATCGACCGCCACATTTCTCATTTTCATAGCAGCACTGTGCCAACATATTCTGATAGAGCATTTTCGATTCTGAAAGCCTTCCTCTCTGATCTCATGTCGCCACACACCTTTGTTCTAGTTTAACTCATGGTGGCAAGGAGCCAATTGGCTATTTTCACCAAAGATGAGTTTTGATTTGGTTCAAGGACTGTGGTTCTCAACTGTGGACACACATTATCAGACCAACTTCAAAAACATCAACACACAAGGCCCTCTCGCAATGGACTCTCACTGAACTGGGGTGGAATTCCAGGCATTCTGGTATTTTTAACTCCCCAATGATCCCCACCCCTCACTCCCATGAGTCTAATGGTGTAGCAGAGGCTGGCAGAGCTTATTCCACACTCACTGCTGGGCTCCACCTCCAGAGTTCCTGACTCCTAGATCAGGCGTAAGGGCTGAGAAACTGAATTTCCACCAAGTTCCCATGTGTTGTTGGGCTGGGAGCTCACTCTGAGAACCACTGCTTTAGGGGGACTAACCTCACAAATTAAGTCTACGATTCACTCAGTGGAGGCCATCCTGGTGACCCTATTTAAGAGTCATTAGATCAATTTATAGGGTAACACCAATTACAAAAGGTCACAGCACCCAGGTAACCCTTACTCTGTCTTCAAGTGAAAAGAATATGCAGAACAGAAACAAAGAGATAAATTACTATTTCAATATGTTAACTAAGTGGAATTTAAATAAAAACTTGGGGGGTGGGGAGTAGGACTGTAAGGAAACCCTCCTCAGAGTGCCGTGGGCTCCTGAAAACCGCACTCCATCAGGCTCATCTACACACCTCTCGCTCTCATCTGCAGCTTTCTCCGCTTCCTCCAGCTTCTGCAGGGCAGTGGCCAGGCGCTCCTGGGCGCGGTCCAGCTCCTCTTCAACCAGCTGGATCCTACGGTTCAAGGAGGCCACCTCGGCCTCGGCCTGTGTTTGAACAAAAGAATGGAAAGGAGAGGCAGAGCTGACTAAGATCAGGGCTGAGTGCCAAGGAGGAGCCAGGGTCCAACATGGCAACACCCGTCTTACAGCAGATGTGGACACGATGACATAGATACCCACTTCCTCCCTTTCCCATCAGCGGATTTCCAGGTGCTCCACAGGAAGCATGTTTTAGAACTCAGGTCCTTGCCCAGCCCAGTGCCAGTTAGTACTACCTCTTTTCTGGACTCACGTCAAACTCCTGAACAGACTAGTATCAGAAAAGGTGGCCAGTGAAGGCTCCCTTCTGCCTGAGCTCTGGCTTAGAAGGAAGTTCCACTCTTTAGCAACTTTCTTCTAAGTGTCTCATAAAGTGAAAAAATAAGTAAGCAAAGTTTCCTAAAGAGGGAATTTTGGATTATCGATTAATTTGCTGCTTAACCCAAGTTGTTAACCCTCCAATGACCTTATCCTAATATACCAGGAGGATCACTAGCAAAGGTAAGATTTTTCAGAGTAACAGTACAGACCCGAAAGCAAGAGGATGCAACATTGGAATACCTACCCTCCCAACCCTGCAACTCACTCCCCATCCCCACCCTTTCAAAGGTGACAGCAAGGACCTCTTCTAGCTAAAATTACCTGCCTTGATGACGTACAAAAAAAATTGGGGGCAGAAGAAAATGTCTCCTCCATGCCCACCCCCACTCCTGCAAATTTCTGAACTGCGACTCCTTGCTACTGCTGTGGTCATCCCTCAGCTTCGCCCTCCTCACTGCTTGTGACAGTCCTTTCCCAGCCTCCAGCCCACAGTGAAGCACAGGCTAGAATGCAAACCATCCCATGCCTCCTCCTCAGCTATGGAGTGAGGAACAAAGAAAGGAAGCAACCTGCATATGCATGAATTCTACTGGCAGAAAAGCCTCCTTCTCAGGACTACCTTTCCCCTCAGTACACCTTTCCTGGTGGCAAGTACACTGACTGCCACCACAAGGTACAAGACAATTTAATCTGCTCTGCATGCTACCCAGTTCAGATGCTTATCCAAGTGCTTGGTTAACATGATCTCTCTCTACAGTCCAGATTCTGCCTGAATTCTATTACCCTGATTTCCTTCTGGCAGTCAGGGGTAGGAGGAGCTACAGAAATAATCTGGGCCACAGCCCCTATAGGGAGGGATATAGCCCAAAGACTCCCGTTAAAAATCAGGTTATTTGGGGGGCATCTGGGGGGCTCAGTCAGTTAAGCATCCAACTCGATTTCGGCTCAGGTCGTGCTCTCGAGGCGTGGAGCCTGCTTGGGATTCTCTCCCTCTACTCCTCCCCCTCATGCTCTCACTCTCCAAAAAAAACAAAACAAACAACAACAAAAAATCAGGTTATTTGGCACAAAAATTTCCAAATACAAACACAAGATGTTCAAAGTACTGTGTAGGTTGGGACTATATAACCACCAACCCCCAGGAGAAAAATAGCAAGGAGTCCACATAAGCTGAAATTACTAAGAAACCATTTGGGGTCTCTAACTATACTATTCAAAATACCACAAAAACAAGTATTCTCTGATCCTGTCTCTTCCAGGAAACAGATGTCCCATGTCCCCTAGGACAAGACACAGTGCACCTCACAAGCTCAAAAAGGCCAACAGGTCAAGATTACAAGAACAAGTCAAGTCATCAGGCAAGCTGTCAGGCAAGCACTGCCAGGGCAATGATTTACCCCATCTCCCCCATTCAAATGCCTACAACAGCCAAAAAGAAAAAAAGGAACCAGATTTGGAAGCAGCTCATAAAATCTGAGTCCCCATCCAGCTCACCAGTAGTTACCCAAATGGATAGAAGATAACAGGCTACGGGGGCGGGGTGTTCAGTTTCCATGACAACAGGCTGGCTCGGGCAGTTTCTCCCACAAATCATCATTTACAACAGAATTCTTAGCAAGGCTGAAAAGGGAGGAGAAAACACATCTTGGTGCCCTCACAAGGGCATGTGCACACTGAGCGAGCCTGTATCAAAAGCAGAACCGGCCATGGGTGTCTCAGCAAAAGCTTCAGGGATGGGGTGGGGGTGGGGGTGGGGGACGGGGAATGATGATGACACAGGCAGTGTTCTCTTTTTTCCCCTCCCACAGAGGATCAGTTCTCTTTACAATGAAACAGAAGTTTGCGAATCAAGATCTATTACTGTGTCTAAGGGAATAAGGGAAGACTTTTCCTTCAAGCACCTGTCTCTTCCAGATCAATCAAGTCCTGAAAGACACTGGGTGGGACTAACTTCTGCAAACCAGAATGGGAAAATTAAAGTTTATGCTATTCAGGGCGCCTGGGTGGCTCAGTTGGTTGAGCGGCTGCCTTCGGCTCAGGTCATGATCCTGGAGTCCCGGGATCGAGTCCCGCATCGGGCTCCCTGCTCAGCGAGGAGCCTGCTTCTCCCTCTGACCCTCCTCCCTCTCACGCTCTCTCATTCTCTCTCTCGCAAATAAATAAAATCTTAAAAAAAAAAAAAATTAAACTTTGATGCTATTCCCATTACCCTAGGGTTGGCATGTCCAGATATGGTTTTGAACTTTCAGCCCATCCACCTCTGCCCCGCCTAAAGGATACACTCTGAGGTATTTCCTCTAGGTAATAATAGGATTCTCCATTGTCCAGGAAGCAAAGATCCCAAGGGAGGAGGAGGGACACAGCAGCGATCTGTTCACATTACAAGATGGCTGATCACAGCTTTAACTAGGAAATGAGTTTGGCTTAAATGCTACCATCCTCCTTACGGAAGAGAGTCCCCAAGCATACTACACACCTCCAGGCAACGAACTCACAGGGCACTCCCTGGTGCTTGGAGGCAGATCAGGGCCAAGGACAGAAGGGGATTAACCTAAATCCGGCATTCTGCCACTCCGGGGTTTCTCTTTTTAGAAAAAAGCCATAGATGAAATTCAAAGGAAACCAGTAACGGAAAAGTTAAAAGTGAGCCTGTGAATAAACGGCTGCTCAGGTTCACAAATATATCTAGGAGGCAAGTTGGAGGGAAGGGAGTAGAGCTATTGGCCCAGAGCAAAGGTGGAGTCTAAGCTGAGGTACTCAGAGCCAAGGGCTATTTGCCTCTCCCCTCTGAGTGTGTGCTCTAATGTGGAGAAAGGTAATCAGCAGGAAAGGAAATCTAAACCAAAGAAAGGTGATAGAGACTGTTATGTAGTCCACCAGACCCCACAAACAGGAGAGCCACACAACAGTCAGGCATTCGAACTCCTCCAGAGACGAGGAACTGCGTATAAAGCCAGAAAAGCCCACTCACTTCTTCAATCATACGTCTCTATTTTTTAGACCAGGAAAAAAAAAAAGAGAGGGAATACCAGGAGAAGTTAGGAGAGAGGTATTAATAACAGATAAGATGAACTATATACTTAAAAATAGCTAAAATAGTAAGTTATGTTATGTGTATTGGTACTACCACCAAAAAACAGGTAAGGAAAAAGACTGCATTTGAATATTATGTTTATGCCCCCTGTTTAAGTTCAGCAAGAACTGCAAAGGAGATTCAAAATCGAAAGTATACTTGACACGGCGCTACAATGGAAAAGGTCAATCTCCCCGCTGAAAGCAGAAAAGATGGATCCCAGAATAACTCCAGACTCAGCTTTGGATTCTTCCACCTTCCCAACAAAGAGTGAATGTTCACACAAAGCAACCAGAAAAATAATTAAGTGACAATCCCACTAACCACATGAGATACCATCAGGGAGTGCTGAGTTTCTAGCTGCAGAGGAGGGAGGAGCCTGCAAAACCCATTCCAGAAAACCCTAAGAGGTTAACAGGTAGCCCAAGCACCCCTCCCTCCCCAGGAGTGTCTCCTCCTCAGGAGTTCAATGTTCGCCAGAGCAGAAAGTCAAATGATGAAGCTCCCTCAAGCTGGGGAGTAGAAAGAAGACACTGGTTTCATCAAGATTTAACGATCACCCTACTTCCCCATCTGAACTTCCTCACTAGACTTCAACTCAGTATGCAAATTTTCAGGCTCTGAGAAAGGAGCAGCTTAAGAAACATCTGAAGCTGCTCACTCTGCTGCCTATCACCCCAGAGTCACCTAGGAAGAGTGAGGGGGGAAGGAGACAAATTTTCCTGCAAACCCTGGGGGGCGGAAGGGAGGGGGGAGATGGGGCATCATCCACTCTAGAAGTATTCCTAGGATGCCCATACTTGAATGTTGAGCCCAAGACTGCAGCTCAACACATGGCTACTTCTTTAAAAGCCATCCTGCCTTCCTCTTTAAGGGGGTCTAGTCTCAAGAACAAATAGATGAAAAAGTGTCCCTAGGCATAAAGAGTCACCCAGCCAGTCCATCTCACTTGAATTGATAATTAGAAGTCACCAGCATAATGAATAGGGGGAAAAAAACCCTGAGAAAAAGGTGACCGAGGAAGACAAACTCCCAGCATTTCCATGCCCAGTTATAAAAAGAAAAGAGTACTCTAACAATTTTTATGTATTAACTTAGTGGGCAACTGCCAAAACAATAATTCTCAGCCACTCCCCAGGGGAACAGTAAAAAAAAAAAAAAATTTAACCAAGGAAAAGAACAAGGAATACCAACCAATAAACCACAAAAGTTCTTCATTGGGTCTTCAAATTTGAGCAACAGTTACTTTTCTTTCCAGCCTCAAGATCCTCCAAAACCAAAGCCTGAAGTCAGGAGGTCATCCCCACCCGCTAGACCGCACCCTACACCCTGGAAAAGCTTACGGCTTACGAAAACTAGAGAACCGCCTCTAAACAGAAAGCAGTTTCAAGAATCACCATTCATTCCACCGACATTCTCTGTTGCAACTCTCTGCTGAACAAACACTTACTGATCTTAAAAAAAAAAAAAAAAACCGGGACAGCAACAGAGTCACATCACTGGCGGCCCCTTGGAACTCATCGTTTTGTCTGGTCAACCAGAAACCCCGGCCGAAACTGGCCGTCCATCCGATTCTCGGCCACACACACGGCTTATCAGCTGTGCCTGAGGAAGTGTTCTTACCCGGTTCAGCCCGCACTGATTACACTGCAGCAGTAAAGGCCTGAGCCTGGCAGAAGTCCCCGCCTTTCAGGTCACCACGGGAAGGGCCGGGCAACTTTTGTGGGCTCGTACATTTGCACTAACGTGGCGAGTGACGCACCGACCCCTCTGCTCCTTCCCGTCGACTGCGAGAGCGGGTGTAGCAGTCGCCCCCGTAAGAGGAAGGAGCCCAGGCCGGAGGACGGGAGGCGGTGCTGCGGCCTCAGCCTCCTCCCGGGAGGGCAGCGCGCTTCCTCCGCGCCGATTGCGGCCTCATTTCCTGAGCAGGAGGGAGCGGAAGAGCTGCCAGCAGGCCGGGCCGGGGGCTTTCCGGCGGCTCCCACCCCCGACCCCCACCCTCGCCCAGTAAGCTCGGCCCTGCCCCTCCTAGACCAGAGAGGCACCCACCTACTCTCAGCCTTGGGGCCGGAAACCTCTAACGAGAGCAAATTCCGCACCCCTCCCCGCCCTTCCCCGAGGAGTGGGGGAGGGAGAGGCCGCTGAGCCCCTCCCCCGGCCGCGCCCGGCTCGGACGGACGGAATGAATGAGCTGGGGGAGAGGGGAGGAGAAGAGCCACTTCCGGGGCCCCGAGAGGCCCAGCCCCCTCAAAGGTCAAGCCCGCTCCCCCGAGCACCCGGTGCCCCCTCGTCCGCCTCGGGTCCGCTGCGGCTGAGCCCCGCCCGGCCTCCGGGCTCCAGCCTCATCTCCGGGTCCGCCGGCGCCGGAGAGCCCGGCTCCGCAGCGGAGCGAGGGCCCCCAGGCGGGGTTCCAGCCGCTGCAGCGCCCGCGCTCCCTCACGCGCCTCGCCCTCTCCGTACCTGCTCCCGGGCCCGCCTCTCCCCTTCCACTTCCCGCTGCAGGCGCTCGGCCCTCTCCTCTGCGTCATCGGCCTGCTGCTGCAGAACCTGGATCTTGCGCTTCACCGCCTCGATGGTGGTGATCCCGGCCATGGTGCCCACCCAGCCCCTGCTCGCGCTCGGCTCCTGCCTCCTCCGCTCGGCGCTGCAGCCGCTTCTCACCCCCACTTCCGCCTGCTCCGCCCTGAAATACCGGAACTCGCCCACCCGCCCGGATGTGACGTCAGCGCCGCGCCCTGCCCCGCAGGGCCACAGGAGGACGGCCCGCCGCGCGAGCGCGGGGCGGGGCCTGCCCCTGACCAGCAAAGGGGGGCGGGGCTGCGTCGGAGGCGGGCTGCCATGGCAACCGGGGGCGCGTCGCCGTCCGGCGCCTCAGGCCGCGGGCTGCCCTCCCCTCCCCTCCGCCCGCCGACCCGCCGCCACCCACCGGTCGGGGCCCCTGTGTCCTCCCGCACCGAGCACCCACTGCCGGTGCCGCCACCCGCCGCACACAGGCTCCGAAGCCAGGTGCCGGGACAGGCCGAGGCTTTCTGGGCCCCTTCCTCCAAGTGCCCGGCCCCGCAGCCTCCCTTCCACGTCGGCCCGGGGAGGGTCTCTCCCACCGCCCGAGGGTCAGTGAAGGGGATTACGGGGGTGGGGGAAAGGCCAGGCGGGCGCGCCGCTCTTCCGGTTCGGCGTCCGTCACGAGCTAGGTGTTCCGTCTCCCGTACAGGGCCGGTCTTTCCCCTGGCGCTTTCGAGGGTCGGTGGTACCGGCGGCTCACCAGCCTGCCAGCCCTCCCGGGCCTAGGTCGTTCGGGGCTTGGTAGCTAATCATCACGGCAGGCGGCAAAGGGATCTCACGCGCCACGTCCGCAGGAAGGAACCCTCTGTCGCCAGACCCTTCGCGCCACAGCCCCATGAGAGCCTCTGTTCGGGGACCGTCCCCCATTTCACTGCCACTTCTGCTCTGAGGTGCCCTAGAGAGCTGTTCGTGAGCTAGAAGCTGCCTCTGCGAGCACTGCCGTGCAGGACGTTGGGAAGCGCAGCGGCGAAGAGACCTGAACGTCGCACCACCTTCTCTCCTGTTTGTTTGCACGCCCCCTGCGTTCCCAGTAAGCCATCACGACAAACGTCGCCTCCTTTCCCCTCAGAATTATGGTGTGGAGCAGGACTTAGAACGAGGAATCCTGACACCTGAAAGGGCTGGTAGGTAAGACAGGCGCTGCCCTCAATTCGTGTTCTGAGGACGCTCCCTCCAGAGGCTGTCTTCCCATGTCCTTTTAAAAATACTGAGCGAGTGTGGAGGTGCGGGGAAACCAGAGGTAAGGGGACAAATCGGACCGCCCCGCCCTAGGCATGCGGAGTGGGGGACTTTTTGGTAATCACCTGTGACCAACAAAGAATAACCAGCCCCTAAAAAGGAATTAAGCCACTGAACGTGTTATCAGTAGAGATGTTGAGGGCGCCTGGGTGGCTCAGTCGTTTGGGCGACTGCCTTCGGCTCAGGTCATGATGCCGGAGTCCCGGGTCGAGTCCCGCATCGGGCTCCCTGCTCGGCGGGGAGTCTGCTTCTCCCTCTGACCCTCCTCCCTCTCGTGCTCGCTGTCTCTCATTCGCTCTCTCGCAAATAAATAAATAAATCTTTAAAAAAAAAAAAAGACAATCTATAAAAAAAAAATAGAGATGTTGAAAGGATTTACGTTTCCTGGTTAGCTTTCTATAAAAGACCAACCCTAAAGGCCCTCATTGGCAACCCTGTCCCAACAGACCTCTCTCACTCTTGAGAGCTTTTTCCGTATCTTCACTTAATAAACTTCTTACTCGGGGCGCCTGGGTGGCTCAGTCATTAAGCATCTGCCTTAGGCTCAGGTCGTGATCCCAGGGTCCTGGGATCGAGCCCCGCATCGGGATCCCTGCTCAGTGGAGAGCCTGCTTCTCCCTCTCCCACTCCCCCTGCTTGTGTTCCTTCTCTCGCTGTGTCTCTTTCTGTCAAATGAATAAATAAAATCTTTTAAAAAAATAATAAACTTCTTACTCACTAAATAAAATAGGGGCGCCAGGGGCACCTGGGTGCTCAGTTGGTTAAGCGACTGCCTTCAGCTCAGGTCATGATCCTGGAGTCCCGGGATCGAGTCCCGCATCGGGCTCCCTGCTCGGCAGGGAGTCTGCTTCTCCCTCTGATCCTCCTCCCTCTCATGCTCTCTGTCTCTCATTCTTTCTCTCTCAAATAAATAAATAAAATCTTAAAAAAAAAATAGGGGCGCCGGGGTGGCTCAGTTGGTTAAGTGTCTGTCTTCGGCTCAGGTCATGAACCCAGCTTCCTGGGATCCAGCCCTGCATTGGGTTTCCGGGAGCTTGCTTCTCCCTCTCCTGCTCCCCCTGCTTATGCTTTCTCTCTCTCTCTCTCTCTCTGTCAAATAAATAAATAAAATATTTTTTTTAATAAATAAAAAGTAAAAATAAAAAATACTGAGCAATAAGCCTATTTAGAGGAAACAATTCAGACAGTAAATAATTTGCTTGGTAGAGTAACCTGTACACTGGTTTCTCCCCTCCCCCCCAGGAATTTGGAAGGAAGAACACAGTTCTGAACCTCGGTAAACTCTACCCTGATGGCTTAAGAATTTTTCCATCTCTTTTTGGAGAAACTTGATCAGAGAGAGGATGGAAGCAGAAATGATACGTTGTCATCTGGGTGCAGATCAGCAGGGGGCACTATTTACCTCCCTTTGTCCTAGTGAATCTGCATGAGACCTTATCTTAGGCAAACCCAAGGCTGCTGAGAGCACCCCTGCATTCCTCAGGCTGGTAGATGTGAACAGATAATCTTCTCTTGATCCAGGGAAACAGGTGGATTGACTCCTGATGCCCTTTAAAGGCATGATGGATGGGCAGCAAGGGGCCCAGTGCTCTTGTTTTCCTGGTGACCAACAATACAACAATATATCAGCAGGTGCATATGTCCATCCCTGACTCCCATCTCCCAGCCCTTCCACGTCTGGTATGACTGTGTTCTAACCATTGCACTCCTCTTTTGCCTTGTTTTACCCTAATTAGCTTCTGACTTCACCTCGGATTGAGAGGACCCTAGACATCATTGTACAACACTGTGCATGTTCTTACTGCCCCTGAACTGTACACTTAAAAATGGTTAAAATGGGGTGCCTGGGTGGCTCAGTTGGTTGGGCGACTGCCTTCGGCTCAGGTCATGATCCTGGAGTCCCGGGATCGAGTCCCACATCAGGCTCCCTGCTCGGCAGGGAGTCTGCTTCTCCCTCTGACCCTCCTCCTTCTCGTGCTCTCTGTCTCTCATTCTCTCTGTCTCAAATAAATAAATTAATTAATTAATTTAAAAAATGGTTAAAATGGCGAATGTTACACAGATATTTTGTTGCAATTCTTTTAAAAAAGGACCTCAGACAAATTCAGGGAGGAAAAACCAAAGTTTGGACTGACCTTGCCATACTCTTGCCTTTCCTTTGTTCAAGCAATCCAGCAAATCCTGTGCTTTCCAGAAAAGCTTCTCAGATAACCAGAATTCCCTGTGTAAACATGCACTTACCGACTCTCCCTCCTCCTCTCTTCCCTTTGCATCAAAGTAATATGCTCTGTTTGTTCATCTCAAAGGTGGAAGCTGAGCTGTGAACTTCTTGGACATTGTATTGGACAGAGTGCCCTTCCCCTCAAAATGCATATATCATGTTGCTGATGACTCTGACCCTTGCTCTCGACTTTAAACTTTGTTGTCTCCTCCTTATTCAGCACTTTTCCCAATTCCTATAAACACTTCACTTTCCTTCTTTGATCCTTTGAGGCAGAAATCATTAAAGAAAAAACATTTTCTGTGAAAGGCCAGACAGTACATTTTTCTGGCTTTGCAGACCACAGGGTATGGTGACCACTCCGATGTAGGGAGAAAGACAAGAGATGATATGTAAGTGAATGCGTATGGTGTTGTTCCAATAAAACTGTACAAAACTAGGCTGTGACAGGATTTACCTTACAAGTGGAAGTTTGCTAACCCCAGCTTTGAGGAAAGAAAGCTTTCTTCCTGCTTCCACCTTAACCCTGCCTATGGGATTTTTGCCTCCTGCTCAGAGCCCTCCCCTCCCATTTCTTGTTCTCTAGCACACCTCTGAGGGCACTTAACTGACTTGTAAGGAAAGCTAACAGGGGGAGAGAAGTTAAATGAGTTTTTCTACCCACATATTATATATTGAAATGGGTTTTGGTGGGTTCCTACAGAAATAGGAGAAACTTCTTTCAAGTGAATATACCGAGTCCACCCTGTCTAGGTGGGGAATGACAGTGTGTTTTAAGTATGTGTGCAACAGCTTAGGACAGATAGAATTCATCCTCAGGAAATTCCCTTATCTCCCGAATAAAACTGAGGTATTGGGGCGCCTGGGTGGCTTAACTGTTAAGCGTCTGCCATCGGCTCGAGTCATGATCCCAGGGCCCTGGGATCGAGCCGCACGTCAGGCTCCCTGCTCAGCGGGGAGCCTGCTTCTCCCTCTCCCACCCCCCCTGCTTGTGTTCCCTCTCTCACTGTGTCTCTCTCTGTCAAATAAATAAATAAAATCTTTTTAAAAATAAAATAAATAAATAAATAAAACAGGTATTATCTAGAGCCTCTGTGTTACTCTCTCCCAAGATCTAAGGTTAGACTTTGTTGTTTTCATTGGTCCTGGACATACCTCCTCCAGCCCACATACTAGCTGTTTTAGCCTGCATACTCTCCCGGAGAGAAAACTCTTGCCCCGAGAAAACTTGAGAGAACTCCTCCCCTATACCCGTCTACTGGAGCCAGAGAGATCTGTCCATGTACACCTGGAACCTGGCCAGCCAATTCCAGCAGGCCATCGAGCGTTTGCCCAAAGCTCTGGAGGCAACGTGTGTTCACTGCAGTTTTCCAAGAAGGGAGAACTAAGAGTTTGCAGGGACCTAAACTTTTGGAAACTATGAATATGTATAATGTATATGATCTGCTTTATCTCTGACCTCTGGTATGATACATTCAACAACTCTCACCATGTTCCCTGGCCACTGAAAGTGGAAAAAAGCCAAAGAGATGAGAGACCTAATAGCAAAGAGGCCAAATGCGAGGATCTGGAAACACTTGTGAATGGCCCACTTTGTCTCTCCAGCTATTTTCCAAAACCAAACATGATTTTAAAAAATATGTGCTACTTGGGGCGCCTGGGTGGCTCAGTTGGTTAGGCAACTGCCTTCAGCTCAGGTCATGATCCTGGAGTCCCTGGATCGAGTCCCTCATCGGGCTCCCTGCTCGGCGGGGAGCCTGCTTCTCCCTCTGACCCTCCCCCCTCTCATGTGCTCTCTCTCTCTCATTCTCTCTGTCTCAAATAAATAAATAAAATCTTTAAAAAAAAAATATGTGTTCCTTGGGAGCACCCAGCTGGCTCAGCTGGTGGAGCATAAAACTCTTAATCTCAGGGTCGTGAATTCAAGCCTCACGTTGGGTGTGGAGTCTACTTAAAATAATTTTTAAAAAGACGTGCTCCTATTTTCCTATTAGTGCTAAGAACTGACTATATTTCCATCGATACCAGGACATTCTTTTGTTGCTGTTCTGTCACTTTTCTTCCCAACATCTTTCCTTTGTAGCCTCTCATTTAATCATTGTGCTAAGTTTCAAGTTTGAAGATAAAGGAAAGTAGGTGGTGACAGGACAAACATGAAGTGGAAAAAAGAATTTTATTTCCTGTTCAAATGGGATAATTCAACCCTAACCCTAGAGAAGCTGAGCAATTGAATCAATGCCACAGAGTAAGGTTTGGTGGTGACACTTTTCCCCCATAGGATTCCTTCTTGCTTCTATTATAGTCTATCAGAGATCCTCTCTGCTGCCCTATGAGCAATGCTTGCTCTGGCATCTCCGTGGCATAAGGGCAGACGCCCACATTGGCCCTGATAAATAAACCCATATAGGGCCAGGGTCAATGTGACCTCTTTTGTCCCATTGTGAAATCTAGCTGGCTCTGCAGGGCAGTGGAGAGATGAGAGTTTCCCTATTAATACACATATCTACGTGCCAAGTCTTGGACACAAAAGCTAAGAATGTGGCACGGGGGAGGAGGTGGGAAAAGTGATAGCAGTCTGGACCTGGAGTCCTCTCCCTTTGTTCGGGTCCTGAGAAACATATTAAATTCCTGGGTTGAGGGAGAGACAAACACGAGACTTCTCCATGTGCTTAAGAACAAATGTGTGTGCCATTACAAGAGTGTGTCAGCGTGCGATGATACACAGAAATGTATGTGAGCGTGTCGACGCCCTGTGAACCCACCGGTATGTATGTGTCCGCGTGTGTGTTTGGAATTTAGTCATATGAACGTGGCGCTCTGCCTGTGTGGGTTAAACCCCTTCCATCTCTCTAATACTCACGTCAGCAGCCTTCTTCTCTGCCAGCTCCAGTTTCTCCTGGGCATCCTTCAGAGCTTCAGAATACTTGTCCAGCTCATCCTCCGTCCCTTTCAGCTTCTTCTGCATGGCTGCCAGCTCATCTTCCAGCTACCAGAGCCCCAAAGGGCACACAAGACATACACACAATGGTGCTGGCTCAGACCCTGGGCTCCCGAGCCCTGACCGACCTGAGTCCAGCCTCGATGTTAACCATTCCTGAAGAGACATACTTTCTCCCCAGCCACTTCCAGCCAACCGCCCCAGGAGTTAGGCCGTGATGTGTGACCCTGGGATCTCTGACCCTAAGATGACCAAGCCATGCTGGATTTTCATCTAAGACCCTGGGATGGGAAATATCCTAGGGAGTGGATGCCTGGAACTCCAGTTAAGGCTGGCTCAGTCAGTAGAGCATGTGACTCTTGATGTCAGGGTTGTAAGTTCGAGCCCCACGTTGGATGTAGAGATTACTTAAAAATACGATCTTAAAAAAAAATTTAAGGGAAAAGAGATGCTACCTGCCAAGTTCCCACCTTTTCCTCTAGAACTCTGGTCCTCCCAAAACATGACCCACCCCCGTTTAGATCCAGCAGATACACCATGGCTCAGAGGAGGCTACTGGTTTTCCCAAGGTCATGCAGGCAGCCTGAGGCAAATACCCTAGATGTCCTCTGTCTATCCAGTGCGGCTAGAAAGAAGAGGGTCCCTCCCACCCAACGAACAAGCTGGTACTGGCGGTCACTGCCTTTGCCATGAGAACTCTCCTCCATCTCACAGTCTTGCTCACCAGCAGGTAAGAGAAACCGATGCCAGGACCTACCTGCTTGCTCCTCTCTTCTGCCTGCTTCTGCTCAGCTTCGGCTTGCTCTGCTCGGTCCAGGGCATTCTCCTTGTCCAACTTCAGCATCTGCATCTTTTTCTTGATGGCCTCCATCATGAGCAGTGGCTGTTGGTGAGCCGACCTGTGAACACTGGAGAAGTGGAGGCTAGGGCAGGAGAGGAGGGGCTGCTGCCTGAATGACTAGGAGTCCCCTAGACTTAAGCCTATATCTCTGCTCATGGCTCCACCTCTTGCTCCTAATATGGTCTTTCCAGCTCCTTCCATCTCATTATTGTTCTCCCTGGGGGAGCACAGGGTGAGACACTCTGATGGACTGACATCACCAGCAAAGAAAAATTAGGGAACAGCTGAGGCTGATTTTAGACAATGGAAAGTGGGGGAGGGTAGAGGTTCTTCCTGACCATGAAACTTTCCACTCTCGGGGCAGCTCTGTGGGTGCTTTAAAAGAGCAAGGCAAGGGGAGGGGGAGAACACTGAAATAGAGAAGGGTGCTTTGGCAACTCCAGATAGGTGGTTCTCACCCAGAGCGTCCTAGTTACCCTTGTTTTTCCCCATTGCCCTCACCCTGCCTGTGTTGGATGCTGGTCAGATTCCACTGGTTGAGTTTTACCTTTTGATTCCCAGTATTCAGGGAGCTTGAGCAACAGTGAAGAGGGAGGTCACTCATGATCCTTAACAATTCCCCCAGATCCCCCGATCGAATTACTGTGCTATTTCGAGAGTCTCTAACTGGCAGGGAGACATCATTCCTCCCCGTTTAGAGCCACAGGGATGGAGTAAGCGGAGAGGGTTGGTATCTGGAAGGCCCTCCCAGAACTTTAAGTGGGGTCGGGGAGAGAAGCAGGGAGGGTCAGAGTAATCTGGGTAGGATCATACCTTCCGTTTGCCCACAGTGATCTTTAAGTGGAACTTTCATGCCCACACCAACCACGCTCTGCACCACTGTCCACTGTTCTTGCTCTCTGCGCCTCCTTACCCCCACCCAACCTACTGCCACGCATGCATCGCACGCATCTTCGTTACCATCTCTGTTCTCCCTGGCTTCTTTCCAGGCCATGACCTTCCTCCACTCGGAGCCCGTTACTGACAGGTGGTGGTTGACCACAGTGCACCAGCACCATACAATCTGAGAACATGCCAGGGGGGAGGTGGGCACTGTTCAAGGTGACCAGCGCTATCGGAGAAGAATTCAAAGAGCTCTAATTAGTCATTACGTCAAGGATAGACAGCTCCTGTGGTACTAAGCCCCAGCAGTGGGGTAACTGAGACACCCACCAGGACAGAGGGCAAAACTGGAGTCCACCCTTGAGAGCTTCCAGTCACTAGAGGTAGATGGGCAGAGAGACCATCAGTTGACCCTTGAAGGAAAGCAGAGAAACCGAAGGCCCTCACTGCAGGACAAGTGAACAAGGAGATCCCGGGGACAGGAGTCAGTAGTTAATAAGGGTGGGGGGAGTGTTGATAAGGCGGGAAAAAAGTACAAGGACAGAAGATCAGAGATACATCCCTTCCACTATAAGGGAAAGATACAGGGAGATACGATACTCAAATTCCAGCTCTCCCGCTCCCACACCAGCTCTCCAGCTTAAGACTGAAATCCACGAAGGTTGCCACCACTGCCTTTCCAAAGGGGTCCTGGAGAGAGGAGTTTCAGTAAAGGAGCCCCAGAGCCCCAGAGTTGATGCCAAATCGCCCACTGCTGTAAGAATATGTTCGATATTTAGTTGGTTCCTAATTCAACAACCCAATATCAAACATATCACACAGAAGCAGGCAGGAGAGCCTCAGTGGTCATCTGCCTTCCTCCCCTCCAGCCACCAAGCATGGCTAGATGGCAAGCCATCTCCTTGGGGAAGGACAGTGACCCCTGCTCTTCACCTCCCATGACGGTGCCGTCCGTGCTGTCCCTGTATCAGCTTCTCTCCTACCGGTGCCTGGCCTTTGCTGGATCACGTTCGGCTGAACCAGGAAGCATATCTGGCAGGGCTCCACATCCGGGCACCTATCCTTTCCAAGGGCTCCCACACAGAGCTTCTCCCCTGATGTCACAACCACAGTGCTGAGAGCCAGCCCAGCCACCTGCTCTTCTCAACCTCCTTCCCATGCCCTGAGGCTTTCCGGGGGTGGGGGACAGGGGGTTTGCACATCCTGCTTTACCTTTCTAACAGAACTCCTAACCTTCCAGATCACCCCCAGTAGACCGCTGAGAGCCTTTCAGCTGACACCCTCCTGGACTCCTCCTGCCCTTAAGTATTACAGAGAAGTAGCCATGAGAAACTTCCAGAGTGCTTGGCTGCTTCCTCCCATCATCTTGTTCCTTCTCACCTTCTCCCCATGTCTTCCAGGCATCCTTAAAGTCACCCTTGGATGTCTTCTGGAGCCCCTCTGCCAGGAAGCAGCCGGCAGTCCTTAGGGCTCTTCTCTTCTGGGGCTTTTTACACTGAGAACTCCTGGCCTGGCTTCTCTAAGGGTCTTCCCTCACAGGGGTCCAGCCTGGTTCCTTTCTGGGGGATTTTTCTTCTGAAGAGGATTAGGTCTGTTGAATGTCATGTGGCAGGCAGATGCTTCTCTCCACTGCGGCAGAAAAGAGCCCAAGTTATAGCCTCACCGGGTGGGTAGGGGGCTTGGGTACAAGTGCAGGGGTGGGAGGAGGATGCTCGGCTTCAGCCCCAGGCTTGTTCCATGTGTCCTTGTTCCCATTAGTCCGGATTCCCGCCCCCCTGCAACACATATACCAACCCCACAGTGCCCTTGATCTAGATCAATAGTTTGTCCAAAGCCCTAGTCAGTTCCTGTTGTGTGGCCCCTGCCTTCCAGGGGAAGGCTGACAAAAGGGTGTCCAAGCCCCAAGGGCTGTTGTCTTATGTCCTTGCTACTTCATGGCTCCTACTGGGGGTGTGTGTGTAAGTTTTGCTTTTGTGACCATCTTTCTTACCCTTATCCCCCACATTTAGTTCCCTTCTCTGGGAACCTTGACTACCCTGGCAAACCAGAGGCTGGGAAACAATGAGCAGGAGTTGAAAGGATGAGGCAGAGACTGGGAATATTATTGATGTACAAGAGGAAAGGCTTTCTTAGAAGCAGACCTTGACTTCAGGGCATAACTAGGCAGAAACATCGATGGCATCTTATAAACGCTTTCTAGCTCTGCTGGAATGCCTTCTGTGTAGCCATTTCAAACAAGGCTGAGCCCCTCTGAGCCAGAGGAGATGGGTAGGGCAGCACCATAGAGGAAGAAGGGAATGGATGGGTATGACGGGCTGAAACACTCAGCTGATGTGATGAGAGCAGACAGAGCAGGCAGAGGGGATCAGACGAGATGGGCTCCCGAGGGGCCAGCCTGCCAATACGGGAGCCAGCCTGGCACTGACAAGCCCTGGGGAGAGAGGCCAAGGTCAGGGATCAAGGCAGAGGGGGTGGGGTGTCCTGTGGGTTCCAGTGAACAGAGGAAAGAGGAATGAAGAAGTTGCTGAGGGAGTGTGGTGGTGGGTGGGAGCAGCCAGGTAACGGAGGGGAAATAAAGAGGGAAAGAAGTATCCCAGGGCAGGAAAATATCATTATGGTATTGGACATTATGTGCCACCTTTCTGCAGAGTGCTTTATTTAATCCCCAGTGAGGGGAGGCATCATCTCCATTTTATAAACAAGGAACTGTGACCCAGAAAGTTAAGGTAGCTTGCCCCAAGCCACTCACGCAGTAAGTGACAGAGGCAGGATTCAAACCCAGATCTGCTGTTTCTCCGGAGGCCAGGCTCTCCTGGGCAGTGGGAGCAGCAGAGCTGGTTGGGATGTGGCCGCAGGTGGATGACAGACGTGGAGAGAGGTGGTCGCGGGGAGGGACAGGCTGAGTTGGTGACCCAGCCTCAGGCTGGGGGTCAGACCCAGGCCGCGTGCACCTGCTTCTGTCCCTTATAACATGGTCACCACCCCGTCCTTCCTTCCTTCCTTCCTTCCTTCCTTCCTTCCTTCCTTCCTTCCTTCCTTCCTTCCTTCCTTCCTTCCTTCCTTCCTCCCTCCCTCCCTCCCTCCCTCTCTCCCTCCCTCCCTCCCTCCCTCCCTCCTTTCCTTCCTTCCTTCCTCTCTTTCTACAGAGTAGAGGGGAGGGGGAGGGGCAGAAGGAGAGAATTCCGAGCAGACTCCCTGCTGAGGACATGGGGCTGGATCTCACAACCCTGAGATCATGACCTGAGCTGAAATCAGGAGTCCGACACTCAACCGACTGAGCCACCCAGGTGCCCCTCACCTTCCTTCCGTGCCCACGCCTGCCTCCCCCAACCAGCCCATGAGCCCCATGTCTTGTTGGGTGCAGGAACCTGTGAGTCATTGACTAAAGACTCTTGGGAAGTGGGGCTGGTGGAAGCTGGACAACGAATGGATGCACAGGGCAGAAAGGCAGGCGTGGGATGGAGTGATATCTCGGCTGCATAGGGGGTGGCCGGGGGCTGGCGAGGGGCCTGAGAAGGGCCTGGGTCACAGGGAAATCTGAGAGGGGAAAGGGAGGATACCTGCTGTTCCTCAAGCACTAGGCCTGCTCTCTACATACCTTATTTTATTTAATTCTCATAATGATCCTGTGAGATGGGTATTATTTTCCCCACTTTCAAAAAAGGAAACAGGTTCAGAGAAGTAACTTACACAAGGTGACAATTAAGGGATGAAGCAGGACTTTGAATCCACACCTGACTCCAAAACCCATACCCTTCTCTATACCTGCTGCTTCTTTGTGTCCATCAGTGGGATGTGGAGGGAGAAAAGGAGAGGGCTCTGACATCAGAGGAATGCACACTGGAGGGTGGGGCCAGACTCGGGGTGGGGGTGGGGGAGGGGAGATGTGAGCTGTGCAGTGCACCGACCGCCTGGAGTGGAGGGCCGGGCAAGATCAGTGTGGAGAGGACGCGTGGCCAATGAGGATACAGACAGCAGGGGAAGAAACCGGGAAGTCAGCCTGGTGGTGTCCCCGCACCGCACCCGTTCCTGGCTCCACAACAGGGATCTCTCGGGCTTGGGATCTCATTTTATGGAAAGTGGATCTTCGTAAGTAAGGTTCTCTGTGGACTATAGACATATGTGATCAATCAGTACTTTTTAGAATTCTTCAGAATCTGAACGCATGTTAGATTTAACATGCTCTTAACAGTTCCCCATAAATCTCAGTGCTCCTCACTCTCTTAGACCCGCTATCTCACCTGCCTTGCCTCCGTGGCACTTCAGTTTGGAACCCTGTCAATTTGCAGAGGTGGGAAGGGTACGAATTCGGGTCCAGAGAAGAGAGACCTGTCCTGGGTCTCATAACTGGCTGACCCAAACCCTGAACTCCAGGCCTCCTGACACCCAAGCACATGGTTCTCTGAGCCACACTCAGAGCTATTCAGAAAAGACCAGAGGAAGAGAGATCTAAGAGGTGGTGAGTAAAACCCAGGAAGCTGTTTTAAGATTATGGCTATGAATAAACACGGTTCAAAGAAGTCAAGATTTAGGACTGAAGAATGAGCCATATGTCTACATTTGAGCCTTTAAGAGCCATCTTTGTTTGTTTCAGATTCCATCAGAGTCTCTCCACATAAAAAGCTTTGCCCATCTGATTTAGTTCCTGCTGGTGCTGCCGATGCTCCTTTTCCAACAGCTGGTGCAGGGCCGCTTGCCGGACCTGGTGGGGAGGACAGAACAGAGTATGAGGTTTGCCTTCTGCTTGCCCTCGTTCTCGTTCTCCCCCTGGTGGCTTTCCAGCTGTGTCCTCTTGGATTTGGACTTAGCTGTGACAGAACGCTAGGCAGAAGCATAGAGGCTGCACCTGCAGGGGTGGGAGGGGGATGCCGCCCCATTTTTTTCTCCATAGATGAAGCCCTATGTTCAGCAAATAATTGCTGAGACCACCATGAAGTGGGAGTCCTGGGAGAAAGGGGCTGGGGCTGGATGCTGAGATGAGGGGATCAAGGACTAGTCTGCACTCTGGGACTCGAGAATATGCCACCTGCAGCTGAACACAAAGAGCCATTTAATGAAAAAAGCTTCTGCTCTGGGGCGCCTGGGTGGCTCAGTCAGTTAAGCATCTGCCTTCAGCTCAGGTCATGATCCCGGGGTCCTGGGATCAAGCCCCGCATCGGGCTCCCCGCTCAGCAGGAAGCCTGCTTCTCCCTCTCCCTCTGCCCCTGCTTCTGCTCCTGCTCTCACTAGCTCTCTGTCAAATAAATAAACAAAAAATCTTAAAAAATAAAAATAAAAAGCTTCTGCTCTGGTATAATGCAGAGAAGGTGGGCAAGTAATGGCAGCAATTAAGTTTGGGAATCCAGTGGGCTTCAGCACAGGATAGTAGTGGATGAGGCTTCAGGTCACCCTTGCTAGAACTCACCATCAGTAGCTGCTTACGTGCCAGTGCCAACTCCTGTCCCATGGTGTCCTGCATCCTTAGGGCAGCATACAGGTTTCTCCTCTGGCTTAGTGTCGTCTGCCACAGAGAGTGAGCGCGTGAATTTCGCCACCTGCCCCAGGTACACAGGTAGGAGCTGGACGGGTCAGTTAGGAATGGAGACCCAAACCCCATCGGAGAGGCCCAGAACCTCATGCCAATGTCAGAAGATGGCAAACTCCCTGAAAGGGTAACTAGAACCAGCTTAGAACCTAGGATATGTTGAATATGCAGGCCCTTTAATCATCATAATAGCCATGTGTCATAGATACCAGTTTCTGCATTGTACCACAAGGAAACAAAGTGCAGCTGAGTTGCCCAAGGTCACTTAATGGCAGACACGGGTATCAAATCCAGTCTAAGAATTAATACCTTCTGTTATACCACGATTCTCAACCTTAGCTAGACATATTCTGGAACCATTTGCTAGGTTTTGTTTTGTTTTTTAGACTTTTAAAAAATTTTTTAAAAAGATTATTTATTTATTTATTTGACAGAGACAGAGAGAGCACAAGCAGGGGGAGTGGCAGGCAGAGGGAAAGGGAGAAGCAGGCTTCCCGCCAAGCAGGGAGCCCGATGCCGGACTCGATCCCAGGACCCTGGGATCATGACCTGAGCCGAAGGCAGACGCCCAACTGACTGAGCCACCAGGCACCCCTAGACTTTATTTTTTAAGCAAACTTTACACCCAGTGTGGGGCTCAAACCCACAACCCTGAGATCAAGAGGTACACGCTCCACCAACTGAGCCAGCCAGGCACCCCAAGGTTGCTTTTTTTTTTTTTAAAGACTTTATTTTAGAGAGAGAGGAGGGGGAGGAACAGAGGGAGAGGGAGAAGCAGACTCCAAGCAGACCCCAGCACAGAGCCCGATTTGGGACTTGATCCCAGGACCAGGAGATCATGACCAGAGCCGAAATCAAAAGTCAGCCACTCAATCGACTGAGCCGCCTAGGTGCCCCTAACACATTAAGAGGAATCTGCATTTCTTTCTCACACACACACACAGGTAAGCCCTGTTGAAACTTAAAGCATTTTATTTTTTATTTTTTTAGGGGGAGAGGGGCAGAGGGAGCAGGAGAGAGAGAATCTTAAGCAGACTCCACACGGAGTGCGCCTGATGCAGGGCTCGCTCCATCTCACTGACGTGGTTTTGGAATGTTGGTGAGGTCTGGAACCAACGGCCAAGAAAGAATTCTTGAGACGTCTTTGGTGCAAAATGGTGGTTTTATTAAAGCTCGGGGACAGGACCCGTGGGCAGAAAGGGCTACTGCCCTGTTGTGAGGAGTGACTGATTATATACTTGGGAGTTGGGGGAGGTAAGAAAAAGGGAGGTTTTCAAAAGAACGTTCATCTGCTAAAGAGGACCTACAAGGTACCGGAGGCCTTGTCATTGTCAAGTTAAGGTTGTTTTTCCCTCTAGCAAGGCATTAACGTTAAGACAGTTGGGAGTTTCCCTCTGGAAGTTAGGTTATTATTATTATTATTTTTTTTTTAAAGATTTTATTTATTTATTTGACAGAGAGAGCACGAGCAGGGGGAGAGGCAGAGGGAGAGGGAGAAGCAGGCTCCCCGCTGAGCAGGGAGCCCGATGCAGGGCTCGATCCCAGGACCCTGGGACCATGACCTGAGCCAAAGGCAGATGCTTAATGGCTGAGCCACCCAGGCGCCCCTAGGAAATTAGGTTATTGATAAGAATGCTTTTTTCTTGTAAATCACTAAGGCATTTATAAACTGAGGGAGACTCCTGTTCTCCAGGACTGTGATCTCTATAAGTTAACCATTTGTTTTTCCTTCCCTTAGCTTCAGAGGAATGTCGCACAGATCCCGCCTGGGAGGGTACTTTGTCCTCAGCTTGCCTTCTGTTCCCTCATCATCACGACCCGAGATCTCAACCTGAGCCAAAACCAAGAGTCCAATACTTAACCAACTGAGCCACCCAGGTGGCCCTTAAAGATTTTTTTTAAGTAATCTCTACACCCAACGTGGGGTCAAACACACAATCCCAAGATCAAGAGTTACATGCTTCACTGACTAAGCCTGCCAGGTGCCCCCCGCCCTGTTGAAATTAAAAAAAAAAAAAAAAAGGTATTTTTTTACAGATGATAGAAAATTTAACCCATATAGAAATACACTAAATGAGAGTTGCAGTTGCCCTCTCCAAGTTCCTGTCTCCCTGCCCATACTGCCTGGATGGCCTCCCCAAATCATGACCCAGCTGCAGCCAGCAAAGGAGCTGAGCCCAGTAGGGGGTGCCACGTGAGGCCCGGTGGGCAAGAGGCTACACCAGGAGCTGATGACCCTCATGAGGTCTGAGGACAAAGGAATTCTGCCTTGCCTCAGTCAGACCTTTCCAAACGGGTGGGGACCACCATGGAGCAGCTGACGAGGTATATGAAGACGTGAGGTAGAAGTTCTCTTGAGTTCCCCAGTGCTTCCTCTTACAATGCACCCACGGTGAAGTTCCTCATACCCTGCTACCACCCCAGCGTGGACACCCAGGGGAACATCTGCCTGGACATCCTGAAGGACAAGGGGTCTGCCCTGGGTGATGTCAGGACCATCCCGCTGTCCACCAAGAGCCTGCTAGGAGAAACCAACATTGATAAGCCCTTTGGTTATCAAGCTCTAGAAAAACCCATAGCCTTTAAGATGTATTGCAAGAAACCTACTCAAAGAAGGTCTCCAGCCAAGAACCTTGTGTAGCTTCTCTCCTTGTGTTGTCTTTTTATTTCTTCCTTAGATGTTCTGTCCTTCCCTTCATTTCTGTCTAGCATTTTGTTTCTTAATCTGTGGTGTCATTTTTTTTTGTTTCTGTTTTTCATTTTTTATTTTTATTTATTTTTAAAGATTTTATTTATTTATTTGACAGAGAGAGACACAGCAAGAGAGGGAACACAAGCAGGGGGAGTGGGAGAGGGAGAAGCAGGCTTCCCGTGGAGCAGGGAGCCTGATGTGGGGCTTGATCCCAGGACCCTGGGATCATGATCTGAGCTGAAGGCAGAAACTTAACGACTGAGCCACCCAGGCGCCCCTGTTTCTGTTTTTTTAAATTAAGTATCTGGTTGAGCCCTTGTGATAAATCTATTCAATAAATACACCGGGTTTAAAAAAAAAAGAGGGGCACCTGGCTGGCTCAGTTGGTGAGCACGTGACTCTTGATCTTGGTTGGGGTTGTGAGTTCCAGCCCCATGCTGGGTGTAGAGATTACTTAAAAATCTTTGGGGTGCCTGTGTGGCTCAGTCGATTAAGTGTCCGACTCCTGAATTCAGCTCAGGTCCTGATCTCAGGGTTGTGAGATTGAGCCCCACGTGGGGCTCTAGGCTGGGCTTGGAGCCTGCTGGTAATTCTTTCTCTCCCTCTGCTCCTTCCTCAAATAAATAAAATGTTAACAAAAATAAAAAACTAAAATCTTAAAAAATATATACTAAATGAAAAGTGAAAGCTTTGTTCTTCAACCCCAGTTCTCAACGAAGTTATGTTTCCTGTGTATATTTCCAGAAAATTTTTCTATCATATACCAGCAAGTATTACTTTTTTACCATGAATTCGTATGTTTATATTATCACTTAACAATTTGGACTTTTCCTACCAGCACATAAAGATTTTCTTCATTCTGTGTAAAGGCTTCCTAGTATTTTTGTATCATAATTTAACCAGCTAGACAGCTTATACTTTTTAATTTTTTTTTTTTTTTTTAAGTAACCTCTAACCCAACATTGAGCCTGTGGTGTCATTTTTTTTTTTCTGTTTTTCATTTTTTATTTTTAAAGATTTTATTTATTTATTTGACAGAGAGAGACACAGCCCTGAGATCAAGAGTTGCATGCTCCACCGAGTATATGTATGTAAGGTAAACTAGACGTACAGTTGCCAGTTCCAAGGATGTGTGAATTTTGAGATCTTAAGTTTTGATAGATTTTATCAAATTTATTTGTAAAAAGGCTGCATCAATTTGGACTCCCACTAAAATTATATGCAGTTGCTCCCTCACATCCTTGCTGGCTCTCGGTATAACCACCTGTGAAACCTTTAAAAACAGCCTTATCCTACCTGATCCCAGACCACCGTAGTCAGAATCTTCTGGGTTAAGACCCGAGCACATGTGTTTTAAAAAGCTCCCAGGTGAGTAATGTATGGTGATTAACGTAACATAAAAAAAGCTCCCAGGTGAAGGAGAGACATACAGCCTCATCTTCTCATTCACTCACTCAAAAAATACTTACTGCATACCTATCACATGATTAATACAACAAATACTTGCATTCTACTTAAAAAATAAAAGAACAAAAACTTGATCTGATTTTCCTTCAAACAGGAAGAGAGAGACAATAAAAGCACTGTGTGGGTAGCACGACCTACTGGGCACTGGGAGGCTGTCCCTGAAAAGGGCCGCTTCCTGCCCCCGCACACCCGTTTCCTTCCCGAGGAGCCCAGGACAAGGATGAAGTGTATCTGAGTGGTGGCTGGGGGGGAGGGGGGAGGAGGACAAGGTCAAGCTGAGGGGTAAGGGAAGGGATAGAAGCAGAAATTACCTGTCAACCATCTTCTTAAATCCCAGGACCCTTGGAAAACTCTGCAAGAAAAGCAAGTTGCTCATCTGCCTTGACGTCCAGCACCCCATCCCCAGCACCTTTCCCGTGGGCCTCTCTTCTTGACAGGGAATGGCACTTCCTAGGGGAAGTGAGGGCAAGAGTGCTACTCCTTTCAGAGCGGACCAAAGAAAACATGCCGGTAGGGGCTGCAAGCAGTTACATCATGGGCCCCTCAGGAAACGGTCTGCTTCTGGCCAACCCAGCCCCCTTCCAGCTCTGCACACCTCTTCAACTTTTGTCGTCTTTTCCACAGACATGTCCACAAGCTGGTGGGACGCGGGCTCAGGAGGAGAAGCAGGCTCTCCCTTCTGTCCAGTCGGTCACCCAGGATTCAGTAGTCATAGCAACACATTCACCTCCAACAACAACCCCGGACCTAGAACTTGATTGGTCACCTGGCCTGTTGCCCTGGAGACCTGAAGCGAATCCTGGTTCTCCTGCCTTCTATTAGTGACGCAGGCAATTCTAGGAGCAAGGACCACAGTCCCAATTTTAGGGTTTCTTCTGTGGGGTCTCTGTATGATCGTAGGTCCAAAGAACATATCCTACACCTGCTTCATTAAAAGGCAACTGCAGGGCGCCTGGGTGGCTCAGTTGGTTAAGCATCTGACTCTTGATTTCGGCTCAGGTCATGATCTCAGGGTCATGAGATCCAGCCCCATGTCAGGCTCTGAGCTCAGTGGGGAGTCTGCTTCTCTCTCTGCCCCTCCCCCTGCTCGTGCACATGTGTGTTCGCTCTCAAGTAAGTTTTTTTTTTTAATGTTATTTATTTATTTTACAGAGAGAGACACAGCGAGAGAGGGAACACAAGCAGTTGGGGGGGGGGAAGGTGGGAGGAGGAGGAGAAGCAGGCTTCCCACGGAGCAGGGAGCCCGATGCGGGGCTTGATCCCAGGACCCTGGGACCATGACCTGAGCTGAAGGCAGACGCCCAATGATTGAGCCACCCAGGCGCCCCTCAAATAAATCTTAAAAAAAAAAGGCAACTATAAAGAAATGAATCATGTTTTTTTTAATTGTTCATTTTATTAAATCTACAATGTCAGACCAGTGCATTGATCTGACATTTCTTCACTGTCCCACAGCATCCCCAGTAAGTGTGGGGGGATGGGATTACGTCAGATGCCAACATTCCCTTTTCCATTTATTCAAGACAGTATGGAAAGAAAGCCTAAGGGTAGATCCTTGCACGTCAGGAAAGTTGTGTTTATGTTTCCACACACGCTGGATTAAGTGGAGCACCAGCAAGCTGTTCCATGTAGCATGCATGGCCTCACTAGACCTCCCCACCAGCTCGCATCTGCCTGTCCTACCAATCACCTCTAAGATGTCTCAAACCCAAATGGTCCCCATTCATCTATGTATAAAGGGGTAGACATGGAAGACACCAGGCCCTGCCACCCCAATTCTCACTCTTAGGATTATTTATAGTGCAAAAGGGGGAAAAAAAGAGGCAGATGAACTACAATCAAAACCAAGTGAGGATTTTTAAGGAAGCACTGATGGAAACATTAAGAAAAACATCTGAATTCAACTCCAAAAAAAGTGTTCCCAAGGGAAAATAAAGTCCTGATTCTCCGAAATGGGCTCTAAGAGCAAGCTGGAGAGTGATTCCTAGGGACGAACCCTAAGAGCTCTGGACACCGTGGCATTTCAGCTGACCTGGACCCATCAACCGATGACCTGAGGCCGCTGGCCCCACCAGCAGCATGGCAGCTTCCATCAGCTCGTCACAGAGTACTTTCCAGTGTGTTATAGTTGTCCTTAAAGCTCTTCAGTTCAAGGAAGTGTTTGGCACGTTTACTCTTCTGACTGGAGGGGAGGTATGTCACCTGGATGGTTGTTGGTGAGACTTCAGGAGACTGGGTTAGGTCTTTGGCTGCCGACTGGTGCTGTCTCTGAGAGCTCCCACTTCGTGCTTTGACCCTGGAAAATAGAGAGGGCAGCTCAAGGACAGAATGAGGACTAACACAAGAATACAATTCAAGGCTCATCCATTCTATAAAGCCACCAATGATCCCTCTCCTTGTTCTATCTTATAAACTAGTTACTAAATCCCCATCTGATAGCTTAGAAGTAGCAGAGAAACCAATTTTCCCACTGAGTCCCTGACTCTGGCTCAACATTTTCTTCATCTCACTATAAAGAAAACTTTAGGGGCCCCTGGGTGGCTCAGTCGTTGAGCGTCTGCCTTCGGCTCAGGTCATGATCCCAGGGTCCTGGGATCGAGCCCCGCATCGGGCTCCCTGTTCAGCGGGAAGCCTGCTTCTCCCTCTCCCACTCCCCCTGCTTGTGTTCCCTCTCTCGGTGTCTCTCTCTCTGTCAAATAAATAAAATCTTTAAAAAAAAGAAAACAAAACTTTTAATTCTGCTGAATTAAATGTATGTCACTAATATACTCCTAGTCCAAAAACAGTCCCTTGAAAACGGAACACCAAAAAATAGAGAAGTAGCTATTGAGTACTTATGACGTGTTAGGACATTAAATTTGGTGTTTTATCAAATATTGATATCCCAGTATCTCTAGATGGTGGTAACATCCCTATTTTCCAGGTTCGGAAACTGATAGCCCCCTTGCCTGAGGTCACAAAGCTATTAAGTGACAGAGTTGGGGTGTAAATCTGTCAGATTTCAGAGCCTATCCTCTTCATTAGACTCACTGAAACTTTCTAGAAACCAGAAATCAAGGACTGACTTTTTAAATTTTATCATGTTATGTTAATCACCATACATCATTAGTTTTTGATTCAAGGGGTGAATTTTTATTTTATTATTATTATTATTTTTTAAAGATTTTATTTATTTGAGACAGAGAGGATGAGAGAGAGAGAGAGCACATGAGAGGGGGGAGGGTCAGAGGCAGAAGCAGGCTCCCTGCCGAGCAGGGAGCCCGACGCGGGACTCGATCCAGGGACTCCAGGATCATGACCTGAGCCGAAGGCAGTCGCTCAACCAACTGAGCCACCCAGGCGCCCCATTTTATTTTTTTTAAGTTCATTTAAGTAATCTCTACACCCACTGTGGGGCTTGAACTTGAACTCATGACCCCAAGATCAAGAGTCAAGCACTCGGGGCACCTGGGGCACCTGGGTGGCACAGTCAGTTGAGCGTCTGACTTGGTTTCTGTTCAGGTCATGATCTCGGGGTCCTGGGACTGAGCCCCACCTTGGACTCCATGCTCAGCTTGGAGTCCGCTTGAGATTCTCTCTCCTTCTCCCTCTGCCCCTCCCAACTCATGCTGTTTTTCTCTTTAAAATAAACCAATCTTAAAAAAAAAAAAAAGTCACATGCTCTTCCAACTGAGCCAGCCACAGGCACCACTATTTATTTTTTAAGTTAAGCTCTATGCCCAAAGATTTGGGAGGAGGAGGAGAAGCAGGCTTCCCGCGGAGCCGGGAGCCCGATGCGGGGCTTGATCCCAGGACCCTGGGATCATGACCTGAGCTGAAGGCAGATGCTTAACGACTGAGCCACCCAGGCGCCCCTCAAATAAATCTTAAAAAAAAAAACTCATGGCCCCAAGATTAAGAGTTGTGTGCTCTACTAAGTTAGCCCGATGCCCCACAAGGACTGAATTATTTATTTATTTATTTTTAAAAGATTTTACTTATTTGAGAGAGAAAACACAAAAGCAGGGGGAAAGGCAGAGGCAGAGGGCGAAGCAGGGATGCCTGGGTGGCTCAGTTAGTTGAGCATCTGCCTTCAGCTCAGATCATGATCCCAGGGTCCTGGGTTTGAACCTCTCATCAGGCTCCATGCTTAGTGGGAGCCTGCTTCACCCTCTCTCTGTATCTCTCCCTCCTGCTTGTGCGCACGTACCCTCTCTCTCTCTCACACTCTCAAATTAAGTAAAATCTTAAAAAAAAAAATAAAAAAGATTTATTTTAGAGAAAGAGAACGAGAGCGCGTGCACACACATGGGTGAAGGGCAGAGGAAGATGGAGAGAATCTCAAGCACACTCCCCGCTGAGCACAAAGCCCAACGTGGGGCTCGATCTCATGACCCCGAGATCATGACCCAAACTGAAAACAAGAGTCGGATGCTGACTGAGCCTGCCTGAGCGACCTAGGTGCCCCCCAAGGACTAAATGTTTAACAAAATTGTGGGAAGATACATACAAGATTTACCATCTCAGCCATTTTTAAATGTTTACAGTCCAGCACTGTTAAGTACATTCACATTCCCACCATCTCCAGAGCTCTTTTCATGCTGCAAAACTGAAGCTCTGTCCCCATTAAACCCTAACCCTCCAGCCCCTGGCACCCACCATCTCCTTTCTGAATTTGGTGACTCTAGGGACCCCAGATGAGTAGAACCAGAAAGTACTTGTCTTTCAAAGGAACTGTACTTTGAACAGGCTCCCTAAGTGACTTCCAGACTAAGCACCCTTCTCATCCTCTCCCCTGTTCACTTTCACTCCTATTCCAAGCCGTTTTTACTGGACCTTTTGTTTCTGGAACAAAGTAGTTTATTTATTTATTTATTTATTTATTTATTTAAATTTATTTATTTATTTATTCATGAGAGACAGAGAGAGAGAGAGGCAGAGGGAGAAGCAGGCTCCCAAGGAGCAGGGAGCCCGATGCGGGACTCGATCCCAGGACCCTGAGATCATGATCTGAGCCGAAGGCAGACGCTTAACCATCTGAGCCACCCAGGCGCCCCAAAGTAGTTTATTTTTAAGGACATAGATAAGAGAGGACAGACATACCCCTTATCTTTTGAGAAAAAGCCATATTCAACACAGCAGAAAATAGAGGCGATTCAAGGCCAGTAACTAACTTTTTATTCTACTTGTGCTCCCCCGTCCACCCTTTCAACATTTGCTTAAACACCACCACGAAGCTATGTTAATAGTGCACGTTTAAAACAACGCCAGACAAAAGTCGGGATTCCAGTAACAGACACTCAACAGCTAATACTACAGTGAGGCCCTTAGTCTCATGTGCAGTTCCTAATGCTATAAATGCTAATAAAAATGGATGGCACTTAATTGTTACTTTTATCAAACCAAGACATACAAGGAGGACACTGAAACCTTGGAAGAGAAGGAAATCTTTATACTTGAAAACTTCATTCCCTTTGATATAAATGTTACGCCACTTCTGACATTTTACTCACCTGGACTTAAAAAAAAAGAAAAAAGAGGGGGCACAGAAGTAGGAGGTGTCTCCCTCTGCAAGCTTGGGAAGCAGCACATGCTTTCAGATGTGAGGGACGGCAGGACGGGACAGCTCGCCACTGTGATTTTGTTAACGCTGCTTATGAAGGGCATCTTGCGGGGGGGGGGGGGGGGGCAGCACTACCATACTCTCCAACCAGCCCCTCCAACATACTCCCCTTCAAACTTACACAGTGGCCAGCTCACTCAGGGCCTCCTGGTAGCGCAGGTACTCACTCTGGCCAAAGACCTGAGGAAAGAGGAAGGGTGAGAGTCCCTTAGGCTAGGGTATCCCTTTAATTCCCGGAAGGAAAAAGTGGCCATCCAGCTTACCCCCGTCCCATAGCGGGCTGTCTCATAGCCATCCAGCAAGGTATCAATGAGGGCCTTGCGCACACCCTTAAAAGGAGTACTAGTGTTCCGAAGATCTAGCAGGTAAGAGCGGAAATTCTTGCCCATTAAGGAACGGGGATGCCTGCCTTCAGCATGAAATGGTATCTCTGTGGAGATAACAGGTAACAGTGTTAACACTTCTCCCATTTACCAGTATTTCTAGTTTATCTTCCAAATTTAGAAATGGGTCCAATGAATGAATCTGGGGGAAATTCTAACAGATGAAGAAGACCACAGATACAGAGCTGTGTCTGAGTGGTCATTTGGTGGTGGCAACATAGCTATAAGCTACACCAATGGTAAACAATAGTGTCTCTGTCCAATTTACACTCCTACGTACTTATCCTGGCTCTGAAATATAAACCATGTTTTAGCAGAGATGAAGCATACCTGACAATGGTCACAGAACAGAAAAAATTCAAGAACCATTTATCTTGGTCTTACTGAAAAAGCAGATGTCACCTGTCTTTTATGGAAAAACAAACAAATCACCACCATCCAGTTAATGAAACTAAAGGTCTAAAGAACAAATCCACTCATTGAAGAAGAAATAATGTGCCTCCATCATTTCCTTAGAGAAAATAACCTAGTACTCTCAAAACTCTAGGTAATTCCTCCTAGCCAGAGATGTACAGAAAGGACAAATTCTAATATATATCAAGTGGGTTCCTCCCTCTTCTCCAGGTGAGCTTTCAGGATCCTGAATATCCTGTCAAGTAGCCCTTACCAGAGGCACGGATGGCATCCAGAGCTTTCATCCTGTACAGATAGTTGTAGCAATCTGTTGAAAAAGAGACTGGTCGTAGACATAACGCTCAGATTTTCCAAACTTCAGCAAGCTAATAAACTGCCTCCCCGCATCTGACATATACCCAGCAACAGAGGAAGCACAGGTGTAGGTTTTGCCAGCAGCTAGGCTAATAGCTCGGAGAGCAAAGGAATTCTGAACTTGTGGGATTCCTCACTGAAGTATCCTCCAAGAGCATGCCACGTACTCTGATTTCCCTGGGTTTCTAGCTGTAGCAGTCTTGCATCACCATCTGCAAGGAGCTGAGGTTCATACTTGATATCTTGAACCCTGGATAGCCGGATATCAATCTCCTCTTTTAAGTCCTGTTCACACAGAGAAAAGAATATGCAATCACTAATCCTATACTCTGCACTTTTTTAAAATTTTTAATTATTTTTTAATTATTTTTTAATTATTTTATATACTTTGCTTTCTATCAACCTGGAAATGGGGCACATCAAGCGAACAACCAAGACAAAAGCAGCAGAAAAAATGCTCGTATGGTTGATAAAATTGCCAGGTAAGACTAAAAAATTTAAGGATGGGATTAGGTTCTCTAAAAACTTCTCTACACTGTACATCTCTAAGCTAGATCTTTTAACCCGCCAGAATTTCTTCAAGTTCCACAGCATCAACATTATTTGACTCAACTGGGTTTGAAATCTGTTAGGTGTTATAAAGAACTTCCAGAGAGAGAAAAAATGGACAGCAACCAGAAGTCATACTCTAAAAATCTGTAAAGAGGCCTGTATATGATTTATAATAGCTTGGCGACTACCCTACCTGGTAGACCACAGAACTTCTAAAAGCTTTCTTCTAGAGTACGTTAAATCTTTTAAGTAGGTAATTCACATCCGTGGTGTAAAATTCAAAAAAGGTACTAAAGCCACCCCTCACTTATCCAGAAGCGACCATTGTTAACAGTTCCAAGTTCATCTCTCTTAAGAGGGTTGCCAGAGCCCCAGATTTTCCTCTTATAACTTTTTATTTGTAAGTAGTCTCTACACCCAGCGTGGAGGCCAATGTGGGGCCCAAAGTGGGGCTTGAACTCAGGACCCTGAGATTAAGACCTGAGCTGAGATGAAGAGTTAGAGGCTTAACTGACTGAGCCCACCAGGTGCCACTTCTTGGTACTCTTTAGAAACGTCCACTGTGAAATATTATCATATATGGAATCCGTGTTACATACATTTTAATTATAAAAATCGTTAAGATGAACATCTATATCCACTATCCTGTTTATGAACTAGAACGTTACCAATGACCGTGAAGCCTTGTGTGCCTATCTCTGATTGAATGCAAACCCCAATCTTAATTTGTTCAACAATCTTGTTTTTCTTCACTGTTTTAACACATTATCAATCTAAACAAGATGTTTAGCTTTGCCTGGTTTTGACCTTTACACAAATGGAGAAGTATGTTTTAAATTCCTTTGCAACTTGTCTTTTAAAATGTTAAATACTTGGGAAGACTGGGTGACTCAGTCGGTTAAGCATCTGCCATCAGCTCAGGTCATGATCCCAAGGTCCTGGGATAGAGATCTACGTCAGGATCCCTGCTCAGCGAAGAGCTTGCTTCTCTCGCTCCCTCTGCTGCTCCCCCTGCTTGTGTGCTCGCTCTGTCAAATAAATAAAAAATCTTAAAAAAAAAAAAACTTAAATACTTTATTACAATAGGTTGAACTTATATGTGATAAAATGCATCCAATTTGTGTGGACTGATGAGTTCTGACAAATGAATACACCCAGTCAACCACCATTACAACCAAGACACAGAACATTTCCATCACCCCAAAATATTCTTCATATCCCTTTGCAGTCAACCTCTCCCTCCCTGCTCCAGGCAACAATTATGTACTTTCTATTGATATAGTTCTGCCTGTTGTAGAATTTCATAAAAATGGAATGGAACAAAATGGTAGATACTTTTTTATGAATGGCTTTGTTTTTTTTCACTCAGCATGTTTTCGAAATTCACTCAAGTATGTGACTTTTTCATTCAAAAATGCTTTAGTGTTTCATTTGTGTTGCTTAGCTTATTTTTAATCCTTACAGTATTCCAGAACACAAGTATATCATTATATATTCTCAAGTAGACATCTGGACCAACAGTTTCTTCTTGAAATATCACAATCACTGAAATGAACACTCTTATACACGTCTTTTGGTACAACACCAGCACACACTAATTTCTTCATGCTAAGAGTGGAACTGCTGCACTATGGATTAGGTACATGTGCAGTCTTACTAGATAATGCCCAATTATTTGCCAGAGTAGTTTTACTCATTTGCACTTCCAGCAGCAATAAATGAGAATTTAGATGAGAGAACTTTTTAATGCAGAAGGAATCTTATCTCATCTAGTCCAGAGAGCTCCTAAATAATCAAAGTTTTGATTGGATCATGATGTGCTGGAAGCCAACCCTATGTCCCTCTTATGGAGAGCAGGTGGCATTTGGAGGACTGAGGGAATGTGGAAGCAGCTCTGCTGAGGTTTTAGGCCACAACACCTTCCTTAAGGTTTTCCATGAACAAAAAAGGAGGAGGAGTAACAGCCCTGGTGAGGACAGAACACTGGTCTAGGAGTTGAGAGAACTGTGTAAGTACCCTCATTCTCCCACTAGCCTGTTTGTCACTCAGTAGCAGATTACCGGGTACCTACTGCATGTAGGCCCTGGCTTTACTGTGGTAAACAGAACCGGCGCAGAGCCTGCGTTCTTGAAGCTTACAGTCTAGTGGAAACTGCGTATTAAGCAAATCGACAGACATAAAGGAAAATTTGTAGTGAAACGGTATCTAGAAAAATATCAGGACACTATGAGAAAATAAAAAAGAGCACCTACTTTAAAATAGATAACAAACATTCTTCTTCGCGGAAGAGTAACGTTTGAGCTAAGCTCTAAAGAGCAAATCAGCTGTAGCCAAGAGAAGACTGGAGGAAGGTCATTCCAGACCGCGTAACCGCACCTTAACCGTTGGAAATCCAACCCCTGGAGCTGGATCCCAGCTGCACCCTGGGATCACGGACGAGAGGGTGGAGCCGGGGTGGGGGTGGGGGGGCGAGACTTCTGGTTTAGACGGGCTCGTCTCAGACACCGACAGCCACACAAGAGGGTGGAGCGGGGTGGGGGGGCGAGACTTCTGGTTTAGACGGGCTCGTCTCACACAACCGACAGCCTCACAAGAGGGTGGAGCCGGGGGGGGGGGTGGGGGGGCGAGACTTCTGGTTTAGACGGGCTCGTCTCAGACACCGACAGCCTCACAAGAGGGTGGAGCCGGGGGGGTGGGGGGTCGAGACTTCTGGTTTAGACGGGCTCGTCTCAGACACCGACAGCCACACAAGAGGGTGGAGCCGGGGGGGTGGGGGGGGCGAGACTTTTGGTTTAGACGGGCTCGTCTCACACACCGACAGCCTCACAAGAGGGTGGAGCCGGGGGGGTGGGGGGGGGCGAGACTTCTGGTTTAGACGGGCTCGTCTCACACAACCGACAGCCACACAAGAGGGTGGAGCCGGGGGGGTGGGGTGGGGGGGCGAGACTTCTGGTTTAGACGGGCTCGTCTCAGACACCGACAGCCTCACAAGAGGGTGGAGCCGGGGGGGTGGGGGGGGCGAGACTTCTGGTTTAGACGGGCTCGTCTCACACAACCGACAGCCACACAAGAGGGTGGAGCCGGGGGGGTGGGGGGGGCGAGACTTCTGGTTTAGACGGGCTCGTCTCAGACACCGACAGCCACACAAGAGGGTGGAGCCGGGGGTGGGGTGGGGGGGCGAGACTTTTGGTTTAGACGGGCTCGTCTCACACACCGACAGCCTCACAAGAGGGTGGAGCCGGGGGGGTGGGGGGGGCGAGACTTCTGGTTTAGACGGGCTCGTCTCACACACCGACAGCCACACAAGAGGGTGGAGCCGGGGGTGGGGTGGGGGGGCGAGACTTCTGGTTTAGACGGGCTCGTCTCAGACGCCTGTCCAACGCGGCGGAAACGCTGCAACGGCAGCTCGATACGCGCCCGCGGGGCTCCCGCATGTACAGACTTGGGAGAGCGAGCGAGCGCGAGCGGGAGCAGGGTAGACACTCAAAAGCCAAGAAAAGAAGACCGTTACCTGAGGAGAAAGCTTGGACAGAAAGACCACTCGGATATTCCCGGTCTGCGTGTCCCGGAGCGAGCGCCTTCCTTCTCCTAGGTTTCAGTTCGTCACACGAAGGGTGCAACTAAACGCTTTCTGAGGCCCTCGTCAATCCAAAGTTCCGCAAAGGCAGCCCTTCTCACTGACCTGGGCTGAGGAACCCCTAACCCCATCCTAGAGTAAAACCTAAGCGGAAAACACAACGTGGAACCCGCAGCTCTTACCACAGAGCGGGCCGTTTTACTCCACGTCCTGCGCTCCGCAGATGCAAAACCTGAAGTTCCCGGGGAAAGCGCCCGCTGCGCCGCAGCAGGGAGCGGGAACCCGGGCCCCGACCGACCCTTCCCGCTCCCTCCGCTAAGGCGAGCGCACGGGCCGGGACGCGGCAACGTGGGCACCGGTCACGCGAAAGGCGACAGGCGTCTGCTTCGGGCCCTGCCGGGGCAGGAGAAGCAGGCCCACCGCGGGCCTCGGAGACCTACCTTGGGGGCATTGTGTCCCACAGGGACATGAGGTCCCCTTCGGGACTTCATGGCAAAGCGCATGATCTGCCTCTTCACAAAAATAAAGAGCAGGACAAACACCTGTCCAAAAGACACGAGAGAAGGAAGGCATCCTTAATAGAAAAGACAGTTCAAAAAAAGGGCACGCCTCCGTTTTACACGCCCGGATGTGGCTCCCAGGGGCGCTTCGGGGTACGGCCTGGGGCAGAGCAGGGCCCGGTGCTCCTGGGGCAGCCAGGGGTCCAGGCCCAGAAAAGGCGCAGGGGAGTGGCGGAGGCTGAGGACGGGGGAGTGCCCGCGGCAAGGGCCTCTACTGGGTCAGACGCGACGGCACGAGGGGGCGGGGGATCTCCTCACCAGGCTCCCGTAGGCCATCACCAGCACGACATTCACCCCGGACAACCAGTTACTGCCGGACGCCATGGCCTCCCCACCCCGCGCACAACTGCTGCGGGTCACCCGCCGCCCTGCCTCGTCAGCCCGGGCTCCGCCGAGGCACCGGTGCCTGGGGTCCCCGAAACCCCCCGGCCATTTCCTCACGAGGAGAGACCCAGGCTGCCCCGGCCTGAAAACATGGCGGACGGGAACCCAGGAAAGAAGAACGTCGCCTTCCCGCTACCCCCAGCACGTGACCCAGGCCCGCACCGGCCCCGCGGGCTGCGCGCGCCGAGGCGCCGAACGACGCAGGAACAGGAAGCGGAGGCCGCCCGTGCGTCACGCGGCGGAGGCGGGGCGGACGCGCGGAGCCTCAGCGCCGCGGCTCGTGGCGGAGTGGCGCGCGCACGCTTGCGTGCGCGTCCCTTTTCGCGTCACGTGCCGGGGGACGCAGGCAGGCAAGTGGGAGGGGGAAGGCGCGAGAGCGAGCGCGAGAGAGGAAAGGAGGGAGGGGGTGGGGAGGAGGGAACCTCACGTCACGTGACAGGGGCGGCGCGGCCCGGGGTGTCAGTGTGGAGGAGACTGAGGTAAAGTTGGGAGCGCAGCGGCGTTGGCGGCGGCGGCGGCGGCAGCGGCAGCGCGGCGGGGCCGGGTATTGTCCGCGGCCCCTTTAAATCCGCGGTCTCCCTTTCCCATCCCTCCCTTCTCCCCTACCCCGCCGGGCGCCCCCCCGTAGGCCCCCCGCCCCGTGCGTTCCCCCCACTGGACACCCCTCCCGGTCGTGCGAGCCCGGCGCCCCCCCTCGAGTCGGCCGCCGGGGGTTTTGTTTATGGTTGGATTTGCGGCCTAGTGGGCCGCGCCGGAGCCGGGGCCTCGATTTGGGAGCGTGGCCGGGGCGGGGCTTGGGCAGCCGGAGGGGGGGGCCATGCGGCTAGAGCCCGAGCAGGGAGAGCGAGGAAGAGCGCGAGCGAGCGCGGCCTGGGCCCCGCCTGAGGTAGGGCCCGCTGCGCCCTGGCCGCTGCCTGTGAATACGACGAGGGGCCTCCTCCCTTCCCGGCCCGCTGCGGGCCTCCTCGGGTGCGGATCCGGCCTGGTTTCGGGGTGGCGGGCGGGGGCAGGGCGGTGGGGTGGAGCTGCCCCAAACTCCCCCATGTGGCCCTCAGTTTGGAGTGCGGAGGATTAATTTGTTCCGGGTGGGAGGTGAGGAGGCGATTGGCCCCGCGAGCTCCCGAGGTGGCGCGCAGCGGGGTGAGCCTCCCATCCTCCACGCGTGGGCTTGCGTCCCCTCTCCGTTTCCAGCCTCTTTGTCAGCTCCTCTGGCTGCCCTTCCTTCTCTCGCAGCGCCCCGGCTTTGGGAATGTGTTCGCGGCTGCTGTCGTTGGCTTGCTGTTGTCCGTGCTGTAGTTTCGGGTACCCCAGGCAGTTGGGATGCTGTTGGGGAAGCTGGACGGGGAGACCCCCGCAGGGTGTATTACGCCTCAGGGACGTCACGAGAGCCCTGGGGTGTTTGTTCACTCTTCTCGTAATAGGGCAGGAATTGCGAATCTCTTCCTACCCTTCACTTTGTGGACAGTCCCTAAATTGCTTTGCAAACTGATGTCACAAACAGGAGACTGCTCCTCCACGTTCTTGAAATGTAGCCACCTCTGGTGTAGGATGTTGTGGAAGGAAAAGCACCACAGTGACAGGCCTTTTTTGTTGTCATTGTTACCGTTTTCGCCTTTGAGTGTCCCTGAGTATTAGATGGAGAAAGGCTTTTTTTGTGTCCTCTCCATCCACCTTTCACCGCCCATATCCTGCTTGGGGGATGTGTGATGTGACTTGCTGGGAGGTGATGGGGGTCAGTGACAACCAGCCTTACTGGAGGACGAAAGCGTGTTAGTTATGTATGGGTTGATAAAACTGCTTTGAGATCCTACACCATTGTCCTTAAAAGAGTAGACTGTGCCAGTGATTATTTCCGTTGTGAACAGCAAGTATTGCTGGCCCGGAACTAATGATGAAAGACCTTAAAATGTACTGTTTTGTTTCTGATTTTTGAAGCCCCTCTTTGCTAAATGTGTCCTAACTGGCAAGTACTCTTTTTTAAAATTAGACTCGAATATATGGAGAAGGGGGTACTGGGGTCATTTCTACAAAGCATCTAGGGGAATTAGTTGTTCTGTTACTTGCCAAGCCTTACTTACCCAGTCCAGCTTCAGAGTGTCTGCATTGTTTCTCAACTTAGATTGTAAGCTCCCTGAGGGCAGCAACCAAGTCATACTGCTTTTGTATTTCCTAAAATAGTAGATACTCAATAAATACTTGTTATTTATTTTTTTCCGTAAAATTTCTCTGGCTATTTCTTCAAGTAGCTGGTTTTCAAAAGATGGTCAAGGGCACTCCTGTGTTGAAACCAGTATTTGTTCCTGCACTGTTCCCTTGGTCTCCCAGTACTTCTCATGTGTTTCCCGTAAATATTTTTATTTTCTAAGGAAAAGTACTTAAGATTCTCCCCTCCACTGTGATAACTCTAGGTATGTGTCTCTGCTTGCTACTAAAAGGCTACTAATTTTGTGCCCTCTGGTGATCCGTCCCAGATCACTTACTTTTGACCTGTCGCTCAGTGTTGTTACTACCTAGGTGGTAAAAATTTCTTAGTCACACATTTCAAAGCACTTGTAAGAAAGAAATGGAAGTTAACAGCCTGACTGATCAGGATTTTTCCTCAGTAATTATGTGGCTTTCAAGATGACTTTTTAATATATTTACACTGGTACAGTATATGTAGTCATCCACATTGCTAGTCATGCAATTCATATTTGTAGTATTACTTATGCTTGTAAGTTGAAATCACAAGTGAAGTAGAAAGCAGTCAATATTTGTAAGTTACAGGCGCATTTATTCGCATTAGAAATTCATTTCAGAGCCGATTATTAAGTATAATAGTTTTCATCTAGTTTTTATTTTTCTCTTTGATTTGAATCCAGGGGTACTGGTTAAAGAATACTTGTTTTTTTATGAGTGCTGAAACTTGGCTATAATGCCAGTCTGGGAAAATGGACTACTGTGTAGCAAATAATCCTGTACTAGCTAGAAATATTTACAGGCTTTTGTGTGCACATGTGCATGTGTGTAGGGAGAAGAGGTAGTGGTTAAAGAATTAGCTCTGAGATTTCTTTAAAAATTTTGGTGATAGAGAATGTAAAACTCTTAATACTGTATCAAAAACAAAGACCTATGCAGCCGATTGATCCAACTTGGTGAAGAATTTATCCTCAGGGAAGTTAGCTTTCTTTGTGACCTGAAAAACCAGTGAAATTCACTTCCCTAATAATCCTTCTCTATTTTTTTAGAAGCCCAACCTACCTCTCCCTCAAATTCATCAGTGTCTTTTGGGCAGTCTAGCATTACCCATATAAAGTTTCATTAATGAAAAGAATTACATGTAGAGCAGAAAATATAAACTTATCCTCTTTGGGAGGGAATAAAACAGTGCAGAGTAACGTCTTATTTTGAGCGCTCCATCGTATGGTGGATATTTTCTTTGTTTACTAAATGCAGCCACTGAGGTTGTGTTATAAAGCAAAGTATGAATGAGGGAACTTAAGTTCAGGAGAATCCTAGCTTGCTAGAACTGTTAATAACAAAAACCATTCTGGTTTTGGGAAGGCCCTGCTTGTTCTCTGTCTCTTTAAAGACACAACAAAGTCCCATTGCTGGCAATAATGTCTCAAGTTTAAAATGATAATCCTAAGGGCACTTGTGTGTCTCAGTTGGTTAAGCATCTGCCTTGGACTCGGGTCATGATCTCAGGGTCCTGGGATCGAGCCCCGCATTGGGCTCCCTGCTCAGCGGAGAGCCTGCTTCTCCCTCTCCCTCTGCCTGCCGCTCCCCTGGCTTGTGCTTTCTCTCTCTCTCTCTCTCAAATAAATAAAACCTTAAAAAAAAAATCCCAACTCTTCTTTAAAAAAAAAAAAATTTTTTTTTTAATTAAATGATAATCCTAGAAGCCCTTTCTTCCAAATAAAACTTTGTGCTAGGTGCTTTTGGTATGGGACAGATTTGGGATTCTCTATATATTAAGGTGAGTGGTAAAGAGTATTTGCATTTCTGGTGCCTGGGAGCTGTGGACTAGGAGGCCAACAGAAGTTGCTGCAAAAACAGTGTTGGAATTATCCAGGGAATTGAGATTCTGAGCAGTCGCTGGGGCTAATACTTGTTTTGTTGAAGGTTATAGAAGCTCCCACTGCATGAGGAGAGATACAACTTGAGGGAGAAAGGCTAGACTTGAGCTTTTCCTTTCCCAAGTGGTGGAGGTTGCATGCAACTTATATAAACTGGTTGTAAGGGAGGTAGGACTGTTTTCATAGGTAGACTGAGTACAGTATTTTAAATTGTTTTTATTTGTTTGGAGTATAGACTAATCCCCTTCCTGGAAGGCTTTTGTTTCCAGGTTTTGCTGATTATCTTTCCTTCTGTCAAAGGGACTTCAGATATTTCTGTGTAGAAGGCTTTTGATTATTAACATTGTTTTACTTGCTATCAAGATAACAAAACTTCACAAAGCTCGTGTATAGGGAACTAGTAACCAAACTGTGCCCATGACTTAAAAAAAAAAAAAAAACCCATCACTTAACACATGCTTTATGTATTTCTTGTTCTACAGAAATGGATTAACAGCCATTGTTCCTTAAGGAATTTATCAAGCTAAATATGTCTTAAGAACAGATGAATTATCTTGGTTTGTTGCTTTTAAAAAAATGAAAGTGTTTGGTGAAGATGCTGATGAAAAAGAGCTTGAAAACATATTTTGCCTGTATTTAACATCTAAATTACTATTTTTTTTAAATCTTTCAGTATTCTACCTTGTAAATACTGTTATTTGTATATACTGTAAATGATGACGTCGGTGGGCACTAACCGAGCCCGGGGAAACTGGGAACAACCTCAAAACCAAAACCAGACACAGCACAAGCAGCGGCCACAGGTAAAGAACCCAAGGGATACGGATTTATTGGTAGCATTGCTGGTTGATACTGGTTTCCATCCAGTGCAGCATCATTCTGTGCTTTGGATTCTTGGTTTGGGTTTTTTATTCTTGTTTTCTAGTACTTGGCTGTTTTTACTTAGGGTCTGATGACTGTTAAAGATATGCTATGATGCACTTTGCTTGCTTTTTGTTGTTTAATACTGCATTATGAGACTTGGAAAGAATGGGTCTTGTCTGTGCTTTGTATCTCTAAGGTAGCATTTCCCTCAGACTAAATCTTATGTTATTCTCAGCCCTAGAGATAAGGGGATGGCACTGGTCCTTGCAGAAACAGGAACAGAGTTTACACATGACTTTGCAAATAAATGTGAATTACTTAAGGCACAAATGTTTCAAAGAGGTGCTCTGATCCCAAAATGGGAGCTTCTTTAACTGTGAACATTGGTGGAAATCTCCCTGGTTTTTTAGGGATCATAGAGTGGAATACTAATAGCTTCAGCGTTTATTTTTTTGTCATTTTGCAAATTTAGGCATCTTAATTGATGTTAGTGTTTTACTACTTGGTCATTTGTAACAAGGAGAAGGAAATTGGGCTGGGAGGTGGGGTGGATTATTGACTACATAGGTCCATCTTATTTCTCTAAACTGTTGTCTTTTGATCATGCTTTCTTGAACTTGTCTTAATTTCTAGGCCACTGCGGAACAAATTCGACTTGCACAGATGATTTCAGACCATAATGATGCTGACTTTGAGGAAAAGGTGAAACAAGTGAGTGTGTTGCTGATTTGCTATAAGCCATGGGGAAAGACATCAGGATTAAAGCATAGTTAAATGTCATAGATCGCTACCGGGGTACTTTGTACTTACAGGTATTAAAAGAATTATGACCTGAAATAAAATAGGTTAAGCCAGTAAGTAAATGCTTTTGTTGTCTGATTTACCGTCCCCCTTTGGACAGCTACCTTGTTTGAAAAGGTTTTATCTTAATTTTAACTTCTTATTTATCGGATGACTTTGTTGATGCCATTTTTCTAGCGACTTTGAGTGTTGTGCCATCTAGGAACTGTAGAAATTCATGGTATGCTGAAGCCTATGTGCTTCTGGGTTTGATCGTCTATTAGATACTTTATTGTTTGATTGTTTTATAAATACTTTTGACCCCATTCCTAATCAGAGGTGGTAATATTTTGCTTATTGAACTAGAATACCAAAATTCTGCATATTTTGCTTTTTTAGGCCTGGGGTTCCTTCAGACTCCGTTGGTATCGTCTCCCCTTTCTCTTGCTCACCTGGTTTCCTTTTGTGAAGAGTGCAAGCTTGTTCATGATGGTTGCTGATCTTTTTCTTTCAGTTGATTGATATCACAGGCAAGAACCAGGATGAATGTGTCATTGCTTTGCATGACTGCAATGGAGATGTCAACAGAGCCATCAATGTCCTACTGGAAGGAAACCCAGATACGGTAGAGTGTTAATAGAGCGTTCGAGAAAGTGGGTCCCTGGCTGAGAAGCTCAGAATATTCTAAAAATAGCAAGTGGAGTAACTCAACCTAAAGGAGAGTACCTTATTCTCCAAATGGAGCAGAGAACTGTCCTGGAGATCGTTTGCTGTGGGTTGCAAATACTTAGAATTTATATGCAATAAGTAGGAGAAAACATAAAATCTGTCTCTTTTAATTTGCTTAGAATAAATTATTCATTCTAGGCTAGCTACTGTTTTCCAGACTGGGTTAGTCTGAATTAGAGATGCTATGTATCAGCCTTAGTTACTAATCATAGAATATTCTGCTTACCTGTTTTGTTGCTGTTGAATAAAGTCACACAAACTAGTGGATTCTGATTTCAAGACATTGTCATCAGTGTCACCTTTGACAATACATTTTCATTGCTTGAACCTGTTTCTGTTGAGGTAGCAGAGAGAGTGTTAACAGCCTTTTGACCGTCCCTGGAGATGATAGGGGATATCTTGGAGGACCTCTTGCCCTAGAATTTCACCTCTTCTCCTTTCCACTTAATGAGATCCTTGTATTTTTGTGCTTGTCTTATCATTGTCCCAAATTGTTAAGTCCCTTAAGAACAGGGGTTCTGCCTTACTAACCTTTGGGATGTTCCTATGGTGCTTAGCAGAGAACTTTATTGTTTTAATGAGCAGTGTATCATCTTAAAGTAATTTTCATTTACTTGGTCTTACACTGGGGATCTTTGGTTGGGATAGATAACCAGAGTTCACCCTTAAGAGAGATCAGCTTACTGGTGTTATGGTATCACATTAGCTAAATGTTGGAGGTTTGTCAGTTTCCTTGAGACAATAGGAAATAATAGTGGAAAACTTTTTTTAGTCATTAAGCTTAAATTTGTGGATTTTTCTCTTCAAAAATGTGGTCTTAAGGGAGCCTGGCTGGCTCAGTCGGGAGCAGGCGACTCTTGATTTCAGGGTCGTGAGTTCAAGCCCCATGTTGGGTGTAAAGTTTACTTGAAAAAAAAAAAAAGTGTGGTCTTAGATTTTACATTATTGATCTTATTTGAAAATTACTGTTTGGATAATCAGATAAGAGTGCCTTTGGCTCACTTTGAGTTTACTAGAATAATTGTCTGCAAGATTTTTGGGTTGGGGGAAGAGGTGGGACTACTCATGACTTAAAAGTCTGGATTCCTTCCTTCCTCCTTCCTCCCTCCCTCCCTCTTTCCTTCAAGTCACATTTTGTTGCACCTTCCAGCATCTTCTGCCTAATGCTACAAACCTAACCATCCATAGTACCAGAAAAGGAAAACAAACTGGAGAATGTGAGTTTATGCCACAAGTAAACCAGCTGCTAGTGAAACCAGTGGAGAGTAGTATCAGCTGCCAGGGGATGTTGGATGTATTTGGGTGGATGAGATCATATCAGAAAACTGGCAGTGCCTTTGGGAAGATCATAGTAATTCCTTTTCCTTATAGAACTTGGGTAGTGCCAGCAGCTGATACATACCATAGAGAAGGGAAAAGGTGACGGGTTTCTGAAACTTGCCACGTTTTGAGGAAAGCTAGCTGTTTGGAGTCTAGTTTCCAGGGTTTCTGATGCAGACTTAGGTATAATAGAGGTACTATAGCTTATGAATTGAAGCTACTGTGAGCATAAAATGACCCACCAGCTGTAGTGTGGAATGAGCTTGGACTGGAAGACTGGGCAGCGAGGAGCTGCCAAGTGCTGGGTGGATACTTAATCTTTTAAAAAATTATTAGTCAACTATTGTAGATTCTTTAGAATTATGGTTATGATTTTGCTATAATTTTAAGCTGATTTTTTTTAAAGATTTTATTTATTTATTTGACAGAGACAGAGATAGCGAGAGCAGGAACACAAGCAGGGGGAGTGGGAGAGGGAGAAGCAGGCTTCCTGCCGAGCAGGGAGCCCGATGCGGGGCTCGATCCCAGGACCCTGGGATCATGACCTGAAGGCAGACGCTTAACGACTGAGCCACCCAGGCGCCCTTAAGCTGAGTTTTTAACTTAAAAACATTTTTTTTAAATTATAGTAAAATATATTTAAAATCTATCTTTTTAACCATTTTTAAGTGTACAATTCAGTGGCATTAAGTAAACTGACAATGTTGTGCAACCCATAGCATTATGCATTTCTGGGACTTTTTTATTTTCCAAACAAATACTGTATCTCTTAAACAATAACTCCCCCTTTCCCCATCTTCCCAGCTCCTGGTAACCTCTTCTATTTTCTCTGTCTATGAATGTGCCTATTCTAGGTACCTCATGTAATGGAACCATACAATATTTGTTTTTTTCTAAGATTTTATTTATTTATCTGACAGAGAGACAGGAGAGAGGGAACACAAGTAGGGGGAGTAGGAGAGGGAGAAGCAGGCTTCCCGCTGAGCAGGGAGCCTGATGCGGGACTCGATCCCAGGACCCTGGGATCATGACCTGAGCCGAAGGCAGCCGCTTAACCGACTGAGCCACCCAGGCGCCCCAGTATTTGTTTTTTTTTATGTCTTCTTACTTGGCGTAGTGTTTTCAGAGTTTATCCACGTTGTGGCCATGTGTCAGAATTTCACTCCTTTTTAAGGCTGAACAATATTCCATTATATGTAAATGCCACATTTTGTTTATTCATCCATTGATGGACACTGGAATTATTTGGAAGCAAGTTACAATCATCATAAATAAAATACTCTGCAGCATGCTTCCCTTAAAGAAGGATATTCTATATGACCATAATATTATCAGCCCTGGAAAAATTAATAGTCATTTCATATTATACTTGGTCCGTATTCTTGGAAGTTATTAGATATTGGATAGCTGTTGCTGAGCAGTGGGTCATTGTTGTTTGAGTAAGATGGTAACTAGGGTTGTAAAGATCTGGTAGTCTTGGTGTTTGGGAGTTTTTCTTTGTACATATTTTCTGCAAAATATGTGTGAATCAAGGAGTGTGTTTTTAAAACTTCAAACTTAATAAAACTCATTTCCTGAGGGATGAGGTTTTTGCAAGACAATTTAGTATACTTTCCTTATCACAAATGTTCCGTCCTGCAGTCTGGAATGAGTCCGAGATTATTCTGCTTTGGGGAAAGTTTAATTGGACTATATCAGTTTAGGAACTATAGAGAGAATACAGTATGTAAAACCTGGAATGGAAGGCTTCCTATAGTCCACATGTCTCAGGGCCAGGGCTCTGGCTTGGTCCTGACTGCTGCTTGGTCTTTTTAGCAAAGGAAATTGTTGTGCGTGTCAGGGAGTGTGGTTGGGGGGGTGGGTGGTAAGGAGTAGGTGTAATTGTTATCCTCCTAAATTTTGGGTTGCTTGATTAGAGAATGTGCCCAAGAGTCAAAACCTGTTCGTTCATTCTGAATTCAAAGTTAAGCTTTAGAAACTTTTAGTTCTTTTCTGCTTTGACATGAATAAGATTATAAAAAGTTGAGAGTCTGAATCCAAAGGGAATTAATATTTTCAGCTCAGGAAACACCCTGGAAAGTTAGGGACCAATAACTAGGTCCTTTGACTAATCTGCCAAGTGACTACACTGGATCCAGATCTTGGCAATCCTTTTGGAAGTGATCCCTGCAATCCATTAGCTATAAGCACCTCCCCTACCAAAAAGGACTTCCGTTTTGCGGTGATAGGTATAGAATTTGTATTGAGATTCTTGTCTGTATCCTCCATTTAAACAGACATAAATTAGTGGAAGTATCTTAGACTTGGATGATGAGAGGAGAATGGTTAACAGTTTTCCCAGCTTTTATCTGTGGTTTCCTGATAGCAATCCATATTGTTTAGACGTGAATGCTCTGCTCTTCTTTAGCATTCGTGGGAGATGGTCGGGAAGAAGAAGGGCGTCTCAGGACAGAAGGATGGTGGCCAAACGGAATCCAACGAGGAAGGCAAAGAAAATCGAGACCGTGACAGAGACTATAGTCGGCGACGTGGTGGGCCACCAAGACGAGGGAGAGGTGCCAGCCGTGGACGAGAGTGTATGCATGGGGCTTTAACAAAACCAGCTGTTGGTCAGTAATGTCTGGACTTCAGGGATGTCAGGACCTTGCTAAGCTGGACCTAGTAACCATAATATCATCCTTTTGATTTTTTTCTTGCCACTGTTTATTCTGAGACCTTGGTATCTCTACATGTAGCATTTTCTAGCTACCAGTTTGGCATGAAATTACCCTGCAGTCATTTGTAAAGTCTGACTTACAGCTCTCTGTTGTGGTTCATCACCTTTCCCCTAGTAACCATCATGTCCCATCCTTCCAGCTCATTTTCTCTTCCTTGTTTTTGTCTCCCTACCACCATCTATACATGTCATTTACATATTTACATAAATTCCACTGACTCTGCTCTGACTGTGTTTTTAATTTCAGTTCGGGGTCAGGAAAATGGATTAGATGGCACCAAGAGTGGAGGGCCTTCTGGAAGAGGCACAGAAAGAGGCAGAAGAGGACGTGGCCGAGGCAGAGGTGATCAATTTCTTGGGGGGGGTGGGGGTGAATATTGGGGGCAGGATACTCTTATTCGTTCTGTAGGAGTCTACTTTTATTTGAAAACAAGCAAATTCACATGGCATCTCATTATCTTAGTTGTTGAGATGTCATGCAAATTCTAGAGATTGCTGAGTGGGGCAGTGGGAAAGAAAGGTAGGTGTCATTTTCTTTAGTCTTTATTTATTTATTTTTAAAAGATTTTATTTATTTATTTGACAGAGAGAGACACAGCGAGAGAGGCAACACCAGCAGGGGGAGGGGGAGAAGGAGAAGCAGGCTCCCCGCAGAGCAGGGAGCCCGATGTGGGACTTGATCCCAGAACCCTGGGATCATGACCTGAGCCGAAGGCAGTCGCTTAACCGACTGAGCCACCCAGGCGCCCTTCTTTAGTCTTTATTGTTGATGTTAATGTATTTGCATAAGGACCCAGCAGTTTGGTTAGCAAGGGAAAAATCTGTCAATAGTAATGATTGTCCTGCTGTAGTATATTAACTACGCTACGTGATGAGAGAACATCTAATAATATCAACCACTTAACTATTCCAGAGTTGCCTCAGTTGGCAAGGTAGTTTTATATCAACTTCTAAAGTATTTCTCTCTTCTTCTCTTTTTCTGTTTTTTTCCTTAGGTGGCTCTGGTAGACGAGGAGGAAGGTTTTCTGCTCAAGGAATGGGGTAAGTTTCATTGATTTGATGCCAAAATCTTTAAATTTTTTCCCCCTAAGCATCACCATAGTATTCTAGAGGGGCTAATATCCTGGTATCTTGAGGATAATAGGCAGCTTCAACCGAACTGTGATCAGAAAGATTTCTAGACCGTTTATTCAGATAGGTATGTAGACTTCGGGCTTAGAGGTAAATGTTCACCACCTGGGTCATTATGAGGAGGACCATTCTTCGGTCAAGGGTATATGAGTAGCTGCGCTCCCCTGCTAGAACCTCCAAACAAGCTCTCAAGGTCCATTCATAGCTTCATTTGAATGCATATACCTGCTGTTTTCCAAAATTTCACGTGGATTTTATTATGATTCTTGATGTCCTAATCCAGAATAAAGTGTAGACATAAATTGAGATTATACCATAGAATTTTAGGTAGGCTGGTAAGTGAGGGAAGTAGACATATATAGGATTATAGAATGGGACTGTGGTTGATTTGTAATAGGGAAAAGTCAAGATTCTTGTGGCCCCCCGTCTCTGAGTTAATTTTTGCTGGTGTTGCTTAAAGGTCAGAGACTCTTTTAAGCTTTTTCCCCCCCCCCACCCCCAGAACCTTTAACCCAGCTGATTATGCAGAGCCGGCCAATACTGATGATAACTATGGCAATAATAGCGGCAATACGTGGAACAACACTGGCCACTTCGAACCAGATGATGGGACGAGTGAGTGACTGTTTATTGTTTCTTGTCTCTAAAAACCTAAGGAAATAATCACTTTGAGGTTATCGTCATATTAAAAAGTAGAGGAACAGTTTTTGGGCGCAGAGATAGGGGAGCTAGGGAAGGCCATTGAAATACTGTGTATATTCTTTCCTGATTATGTGCCTGTGGGCACTTCATAATGCTGTTTCACCTGGTCTTCATCACTCTTCTGTGAGATTGACGCTAGTCACCATCTCCAGATGACAGGCAGACTGAAAGTGTGGTTGAAATTTGCTAGTATTTGAACTCAGGATTGTTGGACTCTCAGAGCCCCCGTTCTTTTTGTCACCTTGTGTGGCTGCTCTTAGGTCCAGGTGCGTTTCCTAGGGTTTCTGTTAGGGTGTCTAGCTTTACTTTCTGAAAAGGTATCCGTAATTAATCAAGACACTACTTGTAGAGGTGAACAAGGCCCAGAATCAAAGCCCACTGACAACTTAATTGTTTTCTGGCATTGAGATAAGAATATCTTTTTTCCCTTTATTTTTGGAAAATTTCAGTATCTGGGGAAAAAGGAAATTGTATCTTACTAGCTCTATTTATTGGATAATCTTCTGAGCATGGAAGAATATCAAGGGATTTGAGTAAGATTTTTTTGTTGTCATTAGCTGACTTTGGTATCTGTATCTGGGTAGGGTGTATATATTTAAGGATATTTTAGGCTTATGGGATATATCAAGAGATGTTTGGGAGTAAAAGATACTTTTACCTCTCTCTTTTTAACTTTTACTTTTAAACTTTTACGCTTTTAAATAAGAACAGCCTCTTTCTTAGGCTCTAGCGTCTTTTATGAGATCACTAACTTCCTTATGGCTGAGCCAACACATGGAGAGCTTGAGACCCTTTTCTCCTGTAAAGGGGGGAGTGATTTAATAGTAGAGCATGCATTAGGCTCTTTGACTCCTTATCCATTTACTTGCCTTGCCCCTTTTCAAAGATCATTGATCTTTATCTCTGTCTTTAGGAGGGTCTTTGGCACCAACAGTTCATCTGCTGCCCACAAGATGTTATACTTTAGGTCCTGAATGTTATTTGCTTTTTGTTTAACACACTATCTTATAAATGGCTTTTGAATACAGTTTTCCCATTGGTGGAGGCTGAAGTTGAGTTACTGACAAGATGGAGATCTGTTTAATTCCCTAGACCATTTGGCTAAGAAATGTCTTTTATTACTTTGGAGGCACAGAGTTGCTCTTCATTCATCTCTTGATGGCTTTGTAGAGGCAGTGGTAGCAGTCTGATTAACAAAAGTTACTGTTTCTGAGCTCTAGTTCTTGGGTATTTGGTTTTTTATCATTGGCAGAAAAAATAATAGATGTTAAGGGATTTGTTTTCAGTTGTGGATGGAAAATCAGGCATGGAGTCCCAGTCCTAGAATGCAAGCCTTAGCTGTTTTCAGCAAGGATCTGGTTTGGAAACAAGGAATGATAAGTGTGTGTTTATTTCTTCTGAGTAGAAGTATAGCAGATTTGGGAGGTTAGAATCAGAAATCTGACTTGTGGCTGAATGAAAGACTGATGCTGCTGTCATCTTGTTAATGTGGAAGAGTTGGGTGTAGCTTCATGCATTTCCATTGTTAATTTCACAGCATGAACTGACTTTCGTGCATGATCTTTTTGTGTTTTCATGATAGCAAACATCAAATGCCCTTTTTTATTTAAAAAGAAATTCAAACCTACCCTTAAAATATCCACAGGTACAGTGGGAATTGTGTTTTGGGGGCAGATGTTCTCATTCATAAGCAAAATTTCATTGTTTGTTTTTTCTTTTCTTTTCTTTTTTGTTTCAGGACTTGATTTCATTGGGGTTGAGGGGTCAAATTATCCCCGAAAATTTGAGACTGCTCCTGGTATGATACATCCAGGCGCCTAACTGCCCCGGATATTTTTATAGATTTTTATGAATTGAAATATCTGTGGATATGTCATTTTTCTGTCGTCCTGCTTTTTACCTTTTCTGCCTTTCTCTCTCATACTCTGTGCCTGCTTTTCCCTCTTAAAAAATTTTGTCCCTTAGTGAAGATTTAACATTTACGTTGACTGCTGTCTGCTGACAGAATGGAAACCTCTCTGTCATTCAGAGCCTTTGCCGTCTTTCTTTTCCTTTGTGCCCCCTCAGTACAGCCTTCTTGGCCACGACTGCACATCCTGTATGGGATCAAGTAGGCATCTCCATTCCTCCTTTCCATCCCAGATGCAGTCTCCAGAGTGCAGGGAGAGAGCCCATCAATAGGAGGTTACTTCCAACTCCAGGATTGTGTATATGGACAGGTTTTGGGTTCCATTTATCCAGGGCAGGACAGATGTCCATGCAGAGGAAGAGCAGGGTCACCAGGGAGCGAGAAGAATGTGCTTTGTAACTTGTCTGAACGGAGATTGGACTTTAGTTTGATTTGGAGAACATTGCCATTATTAAGTGGTTTGGAATTTCCCTGGTCCAGTTATAACGCCCTGGGAGAGGTATTATAATGAACATCTTTTTCTCTAGCAAATAGGGTTCTTTCATTATTAAAAGTTCAGAAGAATTTCATTTTTTTTCTTAAGATTTTATTTTGACGTATTCTCCACACCCAGTGTGGGGCTTGAATGCACGACCCCCAACATGAAGAGTCACATGGTCTGCCTGAGTCAGCCAGGCGCCCCTAGAAGAATTCAGATGGGTTCTGTAGATTTATTTATTTATTTATTTATTTTTAGATGTTATTTATTTGACAGAGACAGCGAGAGAGGGAACACAAGCAGGGGGAGCGGGAGAGGGAGAAGCAGACTCCCCGCGGAGCAGGGAGCCCGATGTGGGGCTGGATCCCAGGACCCCAGGACCCCAGGACCATGACCTGAGCTGAAGGCAGCTGCTTAACGACTGAGCCACCCAGGCGCCCCAGGTTTTGTAGGTTTAGAATATTTCTCTTCAGTGATAGTAAAATAACTGAATGGCAGACTTTTATTCTTTTAAGGTTTCTCCATTTGGAAAGAAGACTTTAAGAGTTAATCAATATGTACTGTTCTTCTAGAGAAGAAAATAAGGAGTGTTCTTGTCCTTTTCTATAGGCAGGTTGTTATTTCTTGCTGTGGTCCTTGTTGAAGGGAGGAATCCTGGCTTTCATAGAACAGTTTCCCTTTCTGAGGATCTGTGTATACGTGAAGCAAAGCAAGGGGAGTGTGGAAGGTGGTTTGATTGCTGATGGACCTTTCCTATAGAAACTGTCCTGACTTCATTATTACCACCATGAGGAGGGTGTGCACCTGCATTGTCTGTGCAGTGCCCCTTGCAGGTTAGCTGTCACATTCTGTAGGATTAGGGTTAGGGTAATAACTAACAGACACATCTGATTTCTCAGTTTTGGCCAGTGTCTTTTGAAAAGAGCAAGACCCGTGAGGGTTTCTTAGGGTTAGACCAATAAGATCTATAAACTTGACTGCTACTGAGTATACATTTTAAAATTGAGTTCCTATAGCAGATAATTGTCCGTGCCCTTAGTTTGGAAGCTGGTCCTTCTTCTCTGCCATCCACTATGGTGTGGCAGCCATTTGTGTTCCTCCTCACTGCTCTCTCCAGACTGCCCACAGTGTTGTCTCATACCAGATGAGTAGGTGTAGTTTATGTTCTGGTTTAAATTGGCTGCTGCCGTTTCGCTTGAATTAACCACTAAGTCGGAGGGCTGAAGGGTTTAAGAGTTTGCCTGGAGCGTTGGGTCTGTTGTCTCCCGTTTCCCCACTCCCACTGTCTTTGCTGTTAAAACTGTGTAACAAGGGACACCTGCATGGCTCAGATGGTTAAGCATCTGCCTTCGGCTCAGGTCATGATCCCAGGGTCCTGGGATCGAGCCCCGCATTGGGCTCCCTGCTCAGCGGAGAGCCTGCTTCTCCCTCTCCCTCTGCCTCAAATAAATAAATAAAATCTTTAAAAAAAAAACCCAAAAAACAAAACAAAAACTGTGTAACAAAACCTGAAAGTAGGTGTGAAACCATAATCTTATTAAAACTCTGGTGTTCTGAGGTATTACTTTCTAAATAGTCTTTTTCTCCTCCTGGAGCCTAGGAATCCCTTCTGATTACTAAAATCTGGTTACACTTTTGGTTGCCAAAATGTTAATACACTAGTGTTTTTTGCACATGCCTTGTACTGGCACTTAAAATTACTTCACTGTTTTTTCTTTATTGCCAGGTGCGTGGAGGACTGCAACAGAGGAGTGGGGAACTGAAGATTGGAATGAAGATGTAGGTATTCCCAGGTCATTCCTCACTAGTGCCTTCTATCCCTAAGTGGTGTTTAGGGATAGAAAATGGGTATGTTTCTACCCCTCAAAATTCACCCTTAAGATTCTGACCCAAAACTTTTACATCCAAAATAGTGTTCTGAGCCAGAACATTTCACATATGTTATATGAAGGAGACTGGGCATGAACAGGACTCTGTGGAACCAGACTATGGAAAGGGCAAGTGCACCTGTGTAAGTCCAATATCTGATTGTCGGATTTATCCCAGGAAGAGATGGTGGTTGGGTTAGGGCAGGAAATGGAGTCAGGCAGGTAGTGCGTTGAGTAACAGCCGCTGGTGACGCGTGACTACCGGAGCTAGTTCTGTTATTTGGTTCACATTCAGGCATGGGTGTATGGTCCTGGAATTGGCTTAGAGGTGGGTACAAAGTGAAAGATACTGTACCATGTCCTCAAGTTTACAATCTGGTTGGTTCTGGAACCCTTTTACTTACTTGAAGCCCAACTTTGTAATTGAGACAAATATATAGGACTGGCCGTCTTCCAGCTTGACTCAGCTTGGAAACCTTGTACATGGCTGGCACAAAGGTGGCATGTAAACAAGCTCTGTGACTTCACTGGAGTAGTACCTGAGTAAAAGAATTTTGCTGATTCTTGGTCCCAGTCAAGTTTTTGTGATCAATTCTACTTTTCGGTGATATGGATTAACTCCTGTTTTAACATTTTTCAGTCTACTTTCCTATACTTGTATATATTCAGGCAAGATAGCTCATACGGGAAGAGAGTGATATGTCAAACTGTTTTGGTTTGCCAGGCCCGAGTTTTTAAAATTTCAGATGCATCAGCATCAGAGGGTGATTCTTTTCTGTTGTACCTGAGCTAGACTGCCTTGTGAATACTTTCTAAGATTTGGCTTGTCTGGTTAAGCAACTTTCAGAGAACTGTATATTTGGGGGAGTGGATTCCCTGTTTTTAGAAAAGAGATTTTAATCAAAAAGTGAAAACAAAACCAAATCAAATTTTGAATAGTAGGGTAAGTTATTCCCTAAAATTGCTTACCGAATTTTAGGGTCTTATACTGCAAAGACTAGGTGTAATGAAGTCACCATTAAGGCAAAAATTGCGTATTGTTGAAATTATCCCTAAAAAGACCTTAATTCACCAGGACTTGGGTCCTTACTGCTCAAAAGCTAGGAATTAATTTCTTTTATTTCTGTCTTTGTCTTGGCTGTAACCTTTCTTTCTCTGAGAGGAGCAGTGGAAGATAAAATTTGGGTTTGGGTCGAGGTGGGAGTTGGGAACTCTGATGGGAAGGTATAAAAAGGTTTTCTCTCTTTTTCTGTGTAGCATGTGTATTTAGCTTCTTGTAAGTTTGGTGTGCATATCATGTGACTCCACTATATTTTACCAGGTTTCTTGATTTTACTCTCTCTTTTGATAAAATAATTGAGCCTGTTTAGAAGGGGCATGGAGGTCAGTCCATGTAGGGTTCCTTTGGGTAGGTGGTTTTCTCTTCTGAGGGTTTTCCCTTTTCCTTGGTGTTAAATTCCCCTTATCTATGCCAGGTTTCTGACTGTAGCCCACCTAACACCAGGAGTGACTAATCCCTCTGTTTTCCAGCTGTCTGAGACCAAGATCTTCACTGCCTCTAATGTGTCTTCAGTGCCTCTGCCTGCGGAGAATGTGACAATCACTGCTGGTCAGAGGCAAGTGTGTGGTAAAGTTCAGCATCTTTTCCCAGAGGGGCCTGATGAGAGAGCTGTAAGGAGAGTGGCACTGGGCCTTTATAAGCTCCCATGGTGTTGGTAGAATGGTAACCTAAAGCATCCTAGGTTCCTCTTTAGGTGATTGATAGGTCTATAGGAGTTGATCTATTGAACGGAACTCCATATATTATAATTTTAAAGATGATTCTCTCCAAAATAGCTTTTTTAATTACGTAGGTCAATCTAAATTAAAACTTAGCACGATATAACTTGTATTAAGGTAAAGTTAAACATGGAAGTGTTTTCATTTATTTGAGTTTGCAGAACTGTTCAGTAGCTTCTTTTTTTTTTTTTTTTAAAGATTTTATTTATTTATTTGAGACAGAGAGAATGAGAGAGAGAGAGCACATGAGAGGGGGGAGGGTCAGAGGCAGAAGCAGGCTCCCTGCTGAGCAGGGAGCCCGATGCGGGACTCGATCCCGGGACTCCAGGATCATGACCTGAGCCGAAGGCAGTCGCTTAACCAACTGAGCCACCCAGGCACCCTGTTCAGTAGCTTCTTTTCTTGCTTTATAATTAAGATTTTTGTCCAGTGAGCCTACTGAGTAAAGTGATCATTTTTACCGTAGGATCTGGCTAATGAACTTTTACGAACTTGAACCCTAGGTATTGGGGTCAGTAGAGGGAGAAACACTTACCAGGAATATTTTTATCTTTGGAAATCCCCTTGGATTATTTCTAGACCTGGGTATGATAGCTGTTGACTCAGAGGCCCTGAATTGCACTAGAAATAGGATGTTAGGTCCATCACCCCCAGAGCTGATGCGTATTGTTTTTCTGACACCAGTTCTTCAGTTCTTTGACACCAACTAGGTGTTCAGTAATTCAGTTTGGACACTATCCAGTGTTAGCACAGACCCTAGTTGACACCTTTATCCCACCAGACTGCCCTTGCTTCAGAGGTCAGCTGCAAATGGGGTCCCAGGCTATCCACACACTTCTGCCTGGCTGACTACAAATTTGGGGATTCTCACAGCCTCCTTCTTAGGTTCAGTAATCCACTAACATGACTCGCAGAACTCAGGGAAGAGGTACCTTGCCATCACTGGTTTGTTATAACCAGTACTCAGGAACAACAGCCAAATGGAAGAGTTGCATACGGTGGGGCGTGGGGTCGGGCACAAAGCCCCTAAATTTCATTACTTAAATAGGCCTGATTGATTAAGCCATTGGCTATGAAAGGCAGTCCCCAGCTCCCTTTCCACCCTAAGAGTGGGTAGATTGTGCTGGGGCTGAAAGTTCTAAACCTTTAAATCCCTTCCTGGTGTTTCAGGTGGCAGCTCCCTTCCTGAAGCTATGTGTGGGGCGGGGGGGTCCCACCCTGAGTAACCTCATTATCATAAACTTTGGTTGAAAGAGGCTCATTATGGGGCAGCTGGGTGGCTCATTCAGTTAAGTGTCCACTCAATTTCGGCTTAGGTTGTGATCTCAGGGTCATGAGATGGAGCCCCATGGAGGGCTCCATGCTGGCCATGGAGTTTGCTTAAGATTCTCTCTCTCAGGGCGCCTAGGTGGCTCAGTCAGTTAAGCATCTGCCTTTGGCCCGGGTCATGATCTCTGGGTCCTGGGATCGAGCTCCACATCAGGCTCCCTGCTGAGCAGGGAGTCTGCTTCTCTCTCTCCTTCTGCCCTCCCCACCACTCGTTCTCTCTCTCTCAAATAAAATCGTAAAAAGGATTCTCTCTGTCATAAAAATAAAATAAAGAGGTTTATTATGAATAGCAAAAGACATTCAGGAAATTTTAAGTGTTTCAGGAGCTCTGTGCCAAAAACTGGAGGCAAAACCAAACTTTTTTATTATACCACAGGTAACTTTGGAAATTTTATAAAATTGGAGGGGAAATTCCAAAGACACTTGAAGAAGATGCGAGTATTCTAGTATATGTTTTTACATATTGGGTATTGGTAATGACAGGTATTAAGTATTAAAATATTGGCTAAAAAATTATAATTTTGGCCCAAATATCAAGCTGCTGTATTAAAACTAACATTTGGTATTCCCTTAAATTGATTTCACTAAATTGAAATATTTAACATTATTATGGTTGACAATGCTATTGGAACACAGCTAGATCCTATAGTGGCTCTTACATGTCAATTATTTTGGTAAATTAAGCATTTCAGGTCTTTGTGTTATTGATGAGTGACTTCATTTTGATCTAACCATAATTTGAGTTGGGAGTTGGGGAATGCTAGAATGTTCTGTCATTATTCATCAAGATGTTGCATCTCCCCACTAGAATTGACCTTGCTGTTTTGTTGGGGAAGACACCATCTTCAGTGGAGAATGATTCATCTAATCTGGATCCATCTCAGGCTCCTTCTCTTGCCCAGCCTCTGGTGTTCAGTAATTCAAAGCAGAGTGCCATAACACAGCCTGCTTCCGGAAACACATTTTCTCATCACAGTATGGTAAGTAGGAATCATGGTGTCTTCTAACCACACTTTCCTGTCAACCCCAGCACATACATGCAGTACTGCCTTCTGGTGACAGAGATTTGGGGCAGGGTAAAGCATCCCCTTTTGTCCTCTAAGCAACCTTGGGTGTAGAGACATAGGATTGGGTAGTAGGGGTGCTGCCAGAGGAGGACTTCGTTTTGGACACACTGAATCTTCTTCTAAAAATGAGTGCGCATCACTTACTGAATAGTCACTGTGCTGAACGTTATTTGCTCTTAAAGAGAAGAAAAAATGACATCAAATTTTAATCCTTTTTAAATCCTAATTGAACTTCGATGGGAGGTTGTAGCACTTCCCTATTTGTTGATAGAACAGAATTGCCATATAAATTTGTTTAAACCAGACATTTCTGGACTAGGCTTACAAAAACTTGAAGTTTTCATGAAAGTTTCTACTTACTATCTATTACTCCCGTTCTCAGGAAGCAGGGATAAGAGTACTTGCTTTGCCTGCCTTACTGAGCTGTAGAAAGATGAAATAAGGTCGTGAATAAGGGCTATACGAATGTGGGGGCGCCAGTGGTATTGTTTATTAATACTTGGAGTACTTACGGCATGTGACTTACTGATTCAGTTAAAAAATTTAAGGTCATTAACTATAGCAAAGAAATCATTTAAACTAAACAAAGACGATGAACCAATATTTTTTACTATTACTTGAGTTGTCACAGAAAGGAAACTTTATTTGCAGCAAATAAGGAGATCACGGGGGAACCAATTTTTTTTATAGTCAGCAAATCCTAAGAAGAACTACTTTCCTTTTTTTCTTTTTGCTTTTCCCTTTCTGTCTGTTTGTTTATTTTTTGGTGGAGGTATACTGTAGTTGTGAGAGGTAAGAGACCTTGTGTGTGCATATAATTTTATTTTTCCAGTAGTAGGATTATAGTAATTATTTTAAATATAAAACTGCTGAGTTAGTCTCTAATCGGAACTGTCAGTTTTTTAACTATTGTCTAAAAATTTTTCTGTGCGTGTCAGTAGTAATTTGGTGATTGATGTTCTGCCATATATGAAAGGTGACAAGTGAGGAAAGGTGGGGAAGAAGGGACAGGGAGCAAAGCGTCAGGATTAAAAGAGAGAGAATGAAGGACGCCTGGGTAGCTCAGTTGGTTAAGCATCTGCCTTTGGCTCAGGTCGTGATGTCCTGAGATCGAGTCCCGAGTGGGGCTCCCTGCTCAGTGGGGAGCCTGTTTGTGCTCGCTTGTGTGAGCACACGCGCGCACATGCCCTCTCTCTCTCTCTCTCTCAACAAAAAAAGAGAGAATGAGACAAAAGCCGTAAGAAGGGGTCATAAAGTTAAGGAAATAACTGCCAACCCTTGAGATAAATGGCGGGAAAATGTGGTGAAGTGCTCTGTATCTCTTTTAATTGCCTTTTTAATGTCTGGATTGTAAAGATTTACAACCAAATTCAAACTCTGGTATCAAATTTTCAGCATATTTCATTTATCTTAACATTCTATTTAATGTGTCACATGATGTTAAGCTAAATAAAAATACCATTGTAAAAATAAATAAAAATACCATTGTGTTCTTCCCATTAGCTGTATTAATCAGAATGCTATTTAATTTTTTTCCTATTAAGAGTAAATGTTAGAGGATTGATTTCCCTTAAAATTTAATAGATGTAGGGCGCCTGGGTGGCTCAGTTGGTTAAGCGACTGCCTTCGGCTCCGGTCATGATCCTGGAGTCCCGGGATCGAGTCCCGCATCGGGCTCCCTGCTCAGCAGGGGGTCTGCTTCTCCCTCTGACCCTCTTCCCTCTCGTGCTCTCTGTCTCTCATTCTCTCTCTCTCAAATAAATAAATAAAATCTTTAAAAAAAAAATTTAATAGATGTAAATAATGTAGGAAGTCCCCATCATCATGTATAATATGTGGACATTATCTAACATGCTGTGCCTTTAATGTAAAGCTTTGCACTTGCAGACTATCTGATAATCATTGCTATGTTCGATCATCTCTTTGCCACGATCTCATACTTTTAACTCGACTTCTGGTGTTTTGTTTTTGTTTGTATAATCTTGTGATATAGATTGACGTGGGAAAAATGTCTTACCTTGGGTTGGACAGATTGGTTTTGTATAAGAAAGCACTGCTTAGGGGTGCCTGGGTGGCTCAGTTAAGTGTCCCTCTTGGTTTTGGCTGAGGTGATCTCGGGGTCGAGAGATTGAGCCCTGCATTGGGTTCTGTGCTCAATAGGGAGTCTGCTTGGGATTCTCTCCCTCTGTACCACGCGGCCCCCCCTCCCCCCCCCCAGTTCGTGCGCTCTTTCTCTCTCAAATAAATAAATCTTTTTTTTTTTTTAAAGATTTTATTTATTTATTTGACAGAGAGAGACACAGCGAGAGAGGGAACACAAGCAGGGAGAGTGGGGGAGGGAGAAGCAAGCTTCCCGCTGAGCAGGGAGCCTGAGGTGGGGCTCTATCCCAGGACCCTGGGATCATGACCTGAGCCGAAGGCAGATGCTTAACGACTGAGCCACCCAGGCGCCCCTCAAATAAATAAATCTTAAAAAAAAAAAACAACACTGCTCAGTGTTGATGAGGACGGTAGGTTGGGTAAGAACCTAAGGACAACTAGATTTTAAATCTCCTTGAAGGTGTTTTGAAGTAGTCAAGGCCACATAGTTCATCTTCTGGACAAGGCTGGTCTTCTTTCCTGGCAGTAGGAATGGGGCAAATCTCCCAAAAGCATTAAGAGTAAATTTTGCTTTGTTATTCATGGTTACTGTATAGAACTTGGATACATCCAGATAAAACAAATCATATTGACTCGTTACTTGATTGTCCAGTGCAGAAGTTTTGATAGGCCCTTAGCTTCTCTTCTTTGGCTCCTGTGCTACTTAAGAGCAGCATTGAGGTGAAGCTCCAGTTAGTTCTTGTTACTTTTCGGCTACTTAGTGGAGAGGGCAAGGACATTAATGGCTAAAGTGAAATTTTATATTAACCTTCATATTAATTTAATAATCACATACTGGTTGATTTAAAACTTAAAAGGGAAAAAATTCCCTCTAGTCATTAGATCTTTATCCCTGAGGAGGAAATGATGGTATAAATTTTAATGGTTCTCATTGTTTTGAGTGCTTATTATGTGCCATGCACATATTAAATTCTTTTTTATGTACATTGTTTGTTTAATCCTCCTAAAATTTTATGCGGTACTATTTTCATTTCTATTCTCAGGTGAGGAAAATGAGGTCCAGAGAAATTACAAATACGTTTTCTTTTTTTTTTTTTTTAAGATTTTATTTATTTATTTAATTGACAGAAAGAGAGCGTGAGGGGGAACACAAGTAGGGGGTGTGGGAGAGGGAGAAGCAGGCTTCCGGCTGAGCAGGGAGCCCGATGCGGGGCTCGATCCCGGGACTCCAGGATCATGACCTGAGCCGAAGGTAGTCGCTTAATCAACTGAGCCACCCAGGCGTCCCTACAAATAAGTTTTCCGTGATTATGTAGCCAGGATTTGAACCCAGGCAGTCTGACTCCAGAGATTGTGCTCTAAAGGACTAGACTGTGTACTCAGTCTGCTGACTTTCTTTACTTGTCTGATCTCTACTGGCTCTCACTATAGAGAAGTATCTTTCTGAGTAGCAAACACATCTGCTTGCTGTAGATTTCTTTCATCTCTGTGTTGATCTACAGGTGAGCATGTTAGGGAAAGGATTTGGTGATGTCGGCGAAGCCAAAGGTGGCAGCACCACGGGCTCGCAGTTCTTGGAGCAGTTCAAGACTGCTCAGGCCCTGGCCCAGTTGGCGGCACAGCATTCTCAGTCTGGAACCACCACCACCTCTTCTTGGGACATGGGCTCCGCCTCACAGTCCCCATCGCTGGTGCAGTACGGTGAGAAGGATGGAAAGTGACTTGAATTCTTTAAGCATTGGAGCATTAATGCCAGAAGCTGGCAGGAGTCGAGGGTGGAGAATATGTCTTGAAGTCAGGAGAAAGGCAGCCAGCTGGCTAGTATCCCATACCAATTTTCCCCTAGTCAGGCTGAGTTCAGAAAGCTAGGGAATAGTGAAAAGTTGAGGCTCAGTATCTCTTTATCAGAATTAGACACATTTATAGTTGCAGTCTTCAGTTGACCTGGGGGTTTTTGGATTCTCCCTAGATTGGTTTTTAGTGTTTGAAAACAACACGTTGCCTTTGAGAAGTTTCATGGACTTGGCCATTTTAGGATCCTACACTTTAAATATGGACAGTTCCTAGATTCCTGTCTTACACAGGTAGGGTAATAGTGCTGACTTGATTAGGCTGTATTTAGAACAGGTATGATCCAGTGATTATCACTTTTAGAAATGATAGTAAGCCCTAAAAGAGAGCCTGTTTATATGAGGTACTGAATCTTGAGGGCCTCGTTTTGTGGCTCTAGAGTAGGAAAATGGCATTTTATTGAGGTTTATCAGCATCTTTGGTCTCATACATATTGGGTTTCTTCATGCAGATTTGAAGAACCCAAATGATTCAGCAGTACACAGCCCCTTTACTAAACGCCAGGCATTCACCCCATCGTCAACCATGATGGAGGTGTTCCTTCAGGAGAAGCCACCCGCAGTGGTTACCTCCACAGCCGCACCTCCGCCCCCCTCTTCTCCTTTGCCAAGCAAATCCACCTCGGCCCCACAGATGTCTCCCGGGTCTTCAGACAACCAGTCCTCTAGCCCTCAGCCGGCTCAGCAAAAATTGAAACAACAGAAGAAAAAGGCCTCCTTGACTTCAAAGGTACCTGAACTTTGAGATGGGTGTCGTCTTAGGGCAAAAGGGGTATGGGATTTGGGAATTGAGATTGTAGGGGATAGTCTGCAAATTTGAAGCAGAGGGTTTTGTTGTTGTTGTTGTTGTTAGTCTTACGGTAAGGTTGTAATAAAACCATTATCTTCTCTTTACAGATTCCTGCTCTGGCTGTGGAGATGCCTGGCTCAGCAGATATCTCAGGGCTAAACCTGCAGTTTGGGGCATTGCAGTTTGGGTCAGAGCCCGTCCTTTCCGATTATGAGTCCACCCCCACCACGAGCGCCTCTTCAAGCCAGGCTCCAAGTAGCCTCTATACCAGCACGGCCAGGTAGAGGAAACCTCAATCATAAGACTTTTTATTGGGCTTTTCCTACTTTTCCTGAGTCTCTTGCTGATTCCTATAATTCCGAAGAGGCTGAGCCTCTGACTGAGTGAAGGAAAAGTACCCGATTGTAGCATTTTGTTAAGCATTTCAAAATACTGTTGAACTAGGATTATCTGTAATTCTAAACAGGTGGAGATATGCCTCTTGGGTACTTTTAGAGTGAGAGGACTTTGGCATCTGGCTAACAAGGCCTCTGACACATTTGGTCCTTTGGTGTGGGCCTTATGCCTACGAAGGGTATGACTCTGGCCTCCTAGAAAAGATGTAGCACTGATATATCACACAAGTTAAACGGAACCTTTCCTACCTCCTCTGATAACTATCTGGGAGGGCCAGCATAAGCAATAGAAAATCCTGGAGGAATTTCTGGGACTAGGCTATTTTCCTCAGTCCTTCGAATTTAAAAATATAGGTGTTAGGCCCTAGCCTAATCTGTTGAATCATAATTGCCATTAATGCATGTGAATATTTTAAAAGTTCTTCTCGGGAGAGTTTTACCAGTAACCTTATATCTAATAGGGTTTCTGAGAGAGCCAGGAGCTCAGAATTCCTAATGAATATGAGCAAAAGGTGACTTTCCTTGTGCTTAGGGTTCATGTTAGGATGTATCAGAGGGATCAGGAGTGGTCTATCCTTTCTGCTTTTGCCTCTTTTTCTTAAAACAGCAGAATGTAGGGTAGCTGTTTTAGTTTAAACCCCTGACTTTATAGGATGTGAAATACCTATTGTCAGGAGAAAATTGTTTTTTATTTGTTGCTGGAAGTTTTCTTTTTGATTGTAATCGAATTACTGTAGTAGAAGATCTCCACCATTTCCTTAGTATTAGTGGATCTGTTCTGCTTTGTTTTTCTGAGATTTTCCTTCTGCATTCCCCACAGTGAATCTTCATCCACAATTTCATCTAACCAGAGTCAGGAGTCCGGTTATCAGAGCGGTCCAATTCAGTCGACAACCTATACCTCCCCAAATAATGCTCAGGGTCCTCTGTATGAACAGAGGTCCACACAGACTCGACGGTACCCCAGCTCCATCTCCTCATCACCCCAAAAGGACCTGACTCAGGCAAAGGTAGTGGCTTTACGAGTCTCTGGGTGCTGGTTAGGACAATATTGGGCAGAGTCTCTTCAGTGTTAGTGTTTCACTTCATGACAAATGGTGCTGGGATACCTCAGAAGTGCTGATTGAGAAGCTGGAAAAAGCACATTTCTGTGGTTGGTGAAATTAGAAAGTTCTTTTCAGCAAGCCTGGAGTTTCAGAGCCAGAAAACCTCTCTCTTTGCAGTAAAGATTCGTTCTTTGTAGTAGAATCAATGTCAAATAGTTGTTTACTTTTCTGGGAAGATCTGAGTGCTAGACTTCTGGGTGTGTATCGGCCCGGTGAGGGGAGAGCATGTCCCAGAAGTGCTGTGGAGTGACGGTCAGATGCACCCAACACAGTGGCTGGTTTGGCTGAACTGCCGGACTTCCCCGTCCTCCCCCTGGGGCCCTAGACTTAGGCCTTTGCTGTGTCTGTTCTGGGTGTGGGGTCTCTCGAGCAGTTTGGGGCTTGCCTTCTGCTGCTGTTGGTCACACAGGATTGGTATACCTTGTTTTCATTTCCATTTTAAGTTCTTGTCATTTTGTTTGGGTAGTCTGCATTACATTAATCCTTTGGTTAGCTTGCAGAATTTTCTGAAAGATTTGTTGATGGAAATTAAGCTGAGTCAGTGCTAACTTGACCTATTCACTTAATTTTGTGTTTCTTACTCCTCTGTTCTCTTGTACCAGAATGGCTTCAGCTCTGTGCAGGCCACGCAGTTACAGACCACGCAATCTGTTGAAGGTGAGTGTTCTCCAGGCCTTTTCCTCTATGTTGTAGTGTTTTTTCTCTCCTCTCAGTACTTTTTGCTTTCCTTAGATTATAGTGAGAAGAGTCATGGCTCTTCTGGTTATAGTCTTCATTTGGTTCTGCCTTGCTATTTAATATCAAACAAACCTAAGTTTTCAGTTTCTGTGTTTTAGAACAGGATAATACCCTTGGTTCCTTTTGTTGGATAAATGAGATCAGTGCTCTGAAATGCTTGGAATTTAGAAAAGAGAGGAAGGGAGGGAGAGAGGGGCTCCCTAAACACACATGGTCCATTATTAAATAACTGAGTACTCTCGGCTTGGGGACAGCCTGGGACTCCCATGACCAGGGGTCATTTCTGTACTTCTCATAGACACTTCCTTTCCCCTGATGAGGTCAATTATTTATTCTTTACTTCCAGGTGCTACAGGCGCTGCTGTGAAATCTGACTCACCTTCCACTTCTGGCATCCCCCCTCTCAGCGAAACGGTGTCTGCAGCTTCCTTACTGACAACAGCCAGTCAACACTCATCCTCCTTGGGCGGTTTGAGCCACAGTGAGGAGAGTCCAAATGCTACCACCACACAACACAGCAGGTGATTTGGGTCGTGGCTGAACGTTGGGGTCGGGAGGAGCAGTAACAGAGCTCTCTGTCTCCGTCCTGTCCCTGCTGCCTGGCAGGGGCCACATTAGTGAGGTGGATGACCTGAAAGCTACGGGAAGTAGAAGCAGAGGAGGCCTGTTCTCCCTTCTCAGCAGCCACTCTCGCTGTGTCTGCTCCCTGCCCTCGGCTGGCCACTGTGCTCCCCATGATCTCAGGTCTCCTTGGTCCCGTATTCCGCCTCATCTCCTCACCCGTGTTCTTGACGGAAGCTCTAGGTCACGTAATCATAGCTCTGTGGCCGATGGCATCCTCTTCTTTGCAGCACGTTATCCACGCAGCAAAATACCCTTTCGTCATCCACATCTTCTGGGCGCACTTCGACATCCACTCTTTTGGTAAGTATGATGCTCCAAGAGAGGAAGTGTGGTTTTCTTACACTTCTCAAGAAGGGATTCTTGGAAATCTCTTCATGAGGTGGCCAAGGCGGGAGAATCCAGAAACACTACAGAGCTGTGGGCCAGTTCCCCAAACCCAGGATGTGACTCCTGCGTCTTTGTGTGACTTTTTTTTCTTCTCACACTGAAGTAGGTAGGACTTTGTATGTTCGGATAAATGCTGTAAGAACGTCCCTTTCTCACTGGGGTGGCTGTTCTTATTTCTTGGTCTGGGATATGCTGCACATAGGTGCTGAAAATCATCAGTGTGAGTCTGGGCATCCTATGAAAGTGGAGGTAGATGAAAACTTTTGATCAAATCATTGATTTCACTCTTGTGATTTAGAACAACCATTTGTGGAATTAGGCTGAGATGGTGAGGAAGACCCATTCTGGGCAAAGGTGTCTGGTTTGCCAGAAACCAGGGAAAGATAATGAGTGCTAAGGCTTCCTTAGAAGTCTCTTTTTCCTCAGATATACCATTTGAGGTTCAAATTCATCAGAACTTGCTGAACTAGTGAAGGAGAATGTGGGAGAGAAGATGAGGATGTATTTCCTTGACTTAAACCATTCGTTGGCCAGCCAGCATTGGTTTCTGGGGTGTTCGTCCCCGCTTGCTCTGTGCCTCTCTGACGGGGGATGATTTGCAGGGGGTCTGTTGTTAACCACCCCTGACTGATGACTCTTGGGAAATATGTAGCTGGAGGATAATTAGTAATTTCTTCTGGCTCCTTTGGCAGAGGGCACCCAGAACTCTGCCGCAGCCTTTTTAATTGGGCGGATGATGTGCTCTCACCAGCAGAAGGGAGTGTGCCTCTCTCCTGACCTGTTTTGCTAATCACTGTTTCCTCCTGTCTTTCGCTGCTCCCCCTTTTTTAAGCACACAAGCGTGGACAGTGAGGCGAACCTCCATTCTTCCTCCAGCACTTTCTCTACCGCGTCCAGCACGGTTTCTGCGCCTCCCCCGGTGGTCAGTGTCTCCTCCAGTCTCAACAGCGGCAGCAGCTTGGGCCTCAGCCTCAGCAGTAACTCCACCGTCACAGCCTCGACTCGGAGCTCAGTTGCTACAACTTCAGGTAGAAGGTGGCTGGCATTCTTCTGGGACAGAGGATTGAGAAGTAATTGTGTGACAGGATAAAAGTGATTTCTCTTTTTAGGAAAAGCTCCTCCCAACCTCCCTCCTGGGGTCCCGCCATTGTTGCCTAATCCGTACATTATGGCTCCAGGGCTGTTACACGCCTACCCGGTAAGTGAGACCGAAGTGCCTTCTCCAAATGATGAAGATGAGGTGGCTACTCTTTACAGCTCTGGCTTCAGGTGGAAGACTATAATTAAAATACCAAATAAATGAGTGGCTGTCATATGTAAGCAAACAGGTTTTTGGGAAGAACTAATCATTTCTAGAGGGGGAGGACTAAACAAAGGCCATTTCTTCTATTGTGTATTTTCTCTGCATGAAACACAGATTCTGGGCCTCTGAAGCTAAAGGCCAGAGTGTCCACCTGGAATCCCTTTCGGTTTCTCAGATAATTATTTTCTCTGGTTGAATTGATTCCCTGTCTTGGAGGGTCTTTGCTGGCTCTGACCAGTCAGAGCAGAGTTCCCTGACCCGATCTGGGGACTATCTGAGAGTAGGCGATGGACATTGGTAGTTTTTTGTCCTGGTGTTTCTTCTATCAAATTCCTTGATTCGGTGTCTGTTAAGATGAAGGGTATTTATTTTGAAATGTTTAAAAAGACGTGTTCTTGCTCCCCAGATAGAGTGTCTAGGTGAATATCATACAGAGGAAACATCCAGTAATGTTTTTTATTTTTATTTTTTTTTTTTTTAAGATTTTACTTATTTATTTGAGAGAGCGCATGAGTGGGAGGGGCAGAGAGAGAGAGAGAGAATCTTAAGCAGATTCAGTGCTGAGCGCGGACCCCAACATGGGGCTCAATCTCGCGACCCTGAGATCATGGCCCCACCCAAAACTGAGTCAGATGGATGTTTAACTGACTGTGCCACCCAGCACCCCTACCCATTTTTTAATAACCGTACCACCTTAGTACCCATACGTTAGAGAAAACAAGAGTAAAATGTGAATCCTTGCTGAAGGAGATAAATCTTAAGCCATGTTTTTGAAGGGTATGACAAAGACTGATAGAATAGAGAGTAAAACAGGCTGTTCGTACGTGGCTCCTGTCTGTCCCGCTGTTGCCAGAGTGGAGGGATGCAGCCTAGTTGAATCAGGGTGGTATGTAGTTCAAGGAAAGCTTTAAGACCTTTCAGGAATCACTTAATCTCTTTGTTCTTCACTTCTTTCCTCTTAAAGGAACCTGATACAAGTAATCTATGTCCTGTTCTTCCTAGGAATGATTTATCATGTTTCTTAGCACCTTGGTTTGCTCCGATGATAACCAGTTCCTATTAATATTGTTACGTGTTTGTATCTTCCAGCCACAAGTATATGGTTATGATGACTTACAGATGCTTCAGACAAGATTTCCCTTGGTGAGTATGTGGTGTAGAGCGTTGGAAAAGAAAGCGATCTTCACCTTATTGTTTAGGGATTATTTCAGGTGTTCAGTTGATAAGTCACAGGCTTAGCTCTTCCCCAGTCTGTACCTCCACACACAGACTGATTCTCAAGATCTCTTAGAACACAGGGACTTGGGAAGTGGTTTTAACTGAAGGTAACTTTTTAATCACTTGTTGAGTTCTTTGAAGTAAACAAATTTTAACCTAATCTGTAGCTCAGAGTACTCTGGAGCTCTCTGGATGCTTTTTCCGTATGTGTCAGGTGCTTTGAATTACAGAAAGGCAATCTATTTTTCTTTTTTTTTTTTTTTAAGATTTTATTTATTTATTTAATTGACAGAGACAGCGTGAGGGGGAACACAAGCAGGGGGAGTGGGAGAGGGAGAAGCAGACTCCCCGCTGGGCAGGGAGCCCGACATGGGGCTCGATCCCAGGACCCCGGGATCATGACCTGAGCCGAAGGCAGTCGCTTAACCAACTGAGCCACCCAGGCGCCCCAAGGCAATCTATTTTTCGGTAGCAGTAAACTGTTAGGGATGTATCTAAAGATTTGAGAATATCATTGGTTCTGATGGACTTGATGTGTTTCCTGGTGGGCATACCCGTAGACCTTGTCTGACTGTGCTTGTTTGTGTCCAGGCAAGGGGGACAGTGTATGCGAGAGTAACTTGGAGTTCGTGCCAGCCCTAGCCAGCTGAATCAGTGGCTGGATAAATTGCAGCACTCCCAACATTGTGCTTTGCTGTTACTCCTGCGGGGGAGTGAGTGTCATTGAGTGTCTGCTCTTTGATTTCTCTCTTCTAGGATTACTACAGCATCCCATTTCCCACGCCCACCACTCCGCTGACTGGGAGGGATGGTAGCCTGGCCAGCAACCCTTACTCTGGTATGGCTGGGGTGGGGCCGAATGAAGGGAGAGTGTGTTGGGATTGGTGGAAGAAACCTGATTAATAGCAAGAAGGGACCCAGTTCTTACTTTAATTAAGATCTTTGGCAGAAGGTATAGAATGGATGTGATGAATCAGGGTGGGTAGATCTGGAATGCTGCAGAAGATGATTTCCTTCTCATCCCACTTTGCTGTCTCCCTGTGGTTCCAGGTGACATCTTGCCTTAGTTTTCTGTCATCCTCCAGTCTTTGCCAGGAAGTACAGTGCTTGAACTGGACTTCCTCTGCTCCTCTCCACTCCTGTTCCCTGCGCACAGTGGCAGTCTTAGTGCCTTGCTAGGCCATGATCCTTCTTTTTATGCCTGATCTCTCGTCCTCTTTGACCTACCTTTTTTCCTGAGCTGTTAATGTGTTTTGAGTTCAGCATGGAGTGTTCCTCGTGGAGGGGAAGCAGGGGAAGGCCAGAAGGATAGGAGTGGGCAGAGAAATCATGCAGGAGCTTTGTTCTGGGGGTCTGTCTCCCACAGAATCGTACAGGCATCCGATGTTTGGCTTGACTTAGCACTGTGCTCAAGAGTGCTAAATGTTGCCACAAAGAAACGTAATTCAAAGAATCGAACTTTAACAGTCTTGGATCAGGGCCTTCTGGAGTTGGGGGTGAAAGAAGCAGCAGATACATTTAGCCTCTTCTGCCGCAGGTGACCTCACAAAGTTTGGCCGTGGGGATGCCTCCTCCCCGGCCCCGGCCACAACCTTGGCCCAGCCCCAACAGAATCAGACTCAGACTCACCACACCACGCAGCAGACCTTCCTGAACCCGGCGCTGCCTCCTGGCTATAGTTACACCAGCCTGCCGTACTACACAGGGGTCCCGGGCCTCCCCAGCACCTTCCAGTACGGGCCTGCTGTGTTCCCTGTGAGTACCTGGGCTTGGTCTTTCCTTGTGGTGGTGAAGAATCCCAGCCCCCAGACACTATCCTAGCTGCCTTCAAGGCTAGATGACTTTTTAATAATGGATGAGGAGAGACAGTTCCACCTCTGGCCTGTTTCTGGCCTGGCAGAGGGAGGGGGGCTGGAATTGATGGTATTGGGATGAAGGTTATCTGTTCTTAGAATTATCTAAAGAGGGGTTAGGGGATGTGATCCCATACAGCTTTGTGCCCTAGACTCTCCTTCATTACCAGCTGCTACCTACCACCTTCCCTTCCTTTGAACTACCATTTCTTGACTTCACCGGTAGATTTTAAAAAGCTCTGTAGAGAGCCCATTTCACTAAGCAGATGGATGGTCTGCCCGTCTCAGGATGGTAGCCGTCTGAATGCCCAATCCCTAGAGTAGGACAGGTAGGGGGGAATGGTTCTCTGCCACCATGTCACCTCACTTCTAGCCCTTTTGTCTTCAGGTGGCTCCTACCTCTTCCAAGCAGCATGGTGTGAATGTCAGCGTGAATGCATCGGCCACCCCTTTCCAACAGCCAAGTGGATATGGGTCTCACGGATACAACACTGGTAAGCTCACCTTGGCCCTGGCTGTCCGTGGCTTCTACAGGATGTGACTGAAGGAGTTTCAGGGAGGAAGACACGGTGCTTGAGGAAACGGGGTTGGTGAGGTGAGCTCTAGCAGCTCCATGTGGGCCTTTTCACGTGTGACCGATGTGGGTGTTTAACCGAGCAGCACCAGCAGAGGGGTGCTTGATGTAAGAACGGGAGTCCAGCACTCGAGATGGGAATGCCCTGGGGCACGTGTTGGCCGTTAGAGAACGTTGGCTGGCCTAAGCTTTGGGTGGGAAGCAGGGCAAGGGGCCCCAAGGTGTTACCGAGACGTCAGTGGAGGCCAGTACCAGCATGCCTGGCACTGGTAGCGTGGGCAGCGAGGTGCTTCCTGAATAGCAGAGTGGGGCGGGCTTGCCTTGCACTTCCTTTCTCATGCAGCTCCCTTTTGTTCCCCAGCTGGGAAACCTAGGATGTGGAGAGAAAGGCATGGGGTATGAGTACTCAAGAGAGGGAGAGGGAGACCTTAGGATCCCTCCTTTGTATGGCAGGTCTCTTGGCAAAGTCTGTTTGCATATCTGATGGCAGGAGGGAAATGTAGGAAACCTCTGAATGGGCACTGACCTAAAAGATCACCTAGTCTAGCCCTGGCTCCCATACCTGACAACATCTGCACTCTGTTTTTGGAGGAGTTCCATCTACTTTTTTCAGTGACTTCTACGTAGACAAATATGGGGAGGAGGTTGTTGCAGCTGCAAAGAGTTGGGGTTGAGGGTTTTTCAGAATTCTAAGCTCACTTATGCTTTCATGGTGATTTGGATGGAGCTGCATCTGTGTTCTTCACCCCTGTGTGGACTCCAGGTGGGTCGGTTGCCCAAGGTTTTCAGTAACTGGGAAGCTGAGCTGAGCATAGAAGGCAATAGGTCTGAGAGCGAACTAACAGGCAGAGTTTGAACTGTGTTGGAGCAACTTGGAGTGAGTCTGGATTTAACCTGGAGAAATCCTGAGATACCCCACTCCTTGTGGCTGCCCCTCTTACCAAGCAAGGTACACCCTAATCCTTGGAGGGGAGGATTATAAGCTTTCTGACGTGGAGTGGCCCCATTCTGGTTAGATTTAAGTTTTAGCTGGACCAGATAAAGAATTTTAAGAGGTAGATGATAATATAAAAGAATGGCATACCTTATTCTGGAAATCCTAGTTTTCTTATTCCCCTTAAGATTTCAGAAACCTGCTGTAACAGTCTTTTGAGCACCCCCAGTTCCCAATCCCACACAGGGCTCTTGTCATCCCATTCCTCATCAACCTCTAAATTCATTTATTTTTATGTATTTGATTCCTTTTAGGAAGAAAATATCCACCCCCTTACAAGCATTTCTGGACGGCAGAGAGCTAATTTGGCCCAAGGCTGGGGGCTGTGTTTTGTGTGTGTGTATAAACTTGCACTGAAGTCTTGTTTCAGAAACCAGACCACTGAGGAGAGCCTGCTGAGCTGAGGCCATGCCTGCGTGGCTGGGGGAAATGAGTTGGTGGATGCCTTCTGGGCTCTGAACTTGCCCTTCCCCCACTTCCCTCTCCCCCACGTGTCTGACCCTGTCTTACCCATTTCGAGTTCCAGCGGTGCGGCACCTCCGAAGCGTCAATGCACACACCTGCTGTTGCTTTTGATTTCTGGAAGGCATGTAGTTCCAACTTGTAACAAATATTTGTAGTCTTCAATAAACTGTGGTATTTCTTTAGCTAACTCTGGCGTTCTTTCCGTGCATGTCTGTCTGGACACTAGGAGCCAATGTTGTGCCGTGGATGCCGGGTGGAGGGGGGCCTTTTCAGTCAAACCCCAGCATAGCCAAAGAACTAAGAACTGTTACCCTCTCGTCATGGTGATTGTGTTAAGGTGGGAGAGGGGAAGCAGCCTCAGTTTCCAGCCCTTTGATTGATTGGTGAAGAAAGTGATTTTGTAGAAAATCCCTGATTCTCCATGCTTATTACAGCTCTTTTCCACGTAGGTCTTCCCCTTGCCTCTGACGTAAGCGGAGGGAAAGGCCTGAAACAGCTTGGTCCTGTCATGTGAAAGGCAGACGAGGTGGCGTTCGGAGCTGGTTTAGGGAAGTGGCTTCCAAGGCCCCAGGCCAGGTGGCCGGTTGAGATCTGTTAAAGTCTTTCGTGACTCCAGCTGTGGAAACTGTGCTAGCCTGCAACAGTGTTCTTACTCTTCGGCCCTCCATACGCTTCTCAGGGGTTGTGGATTATTCGTTGTTTTGCACTTGTGGGTGTAGCTAAGGATGTGTGGGAGAGGTTTGCTTACACTTCTCCCTGACTATGGAAATTCTTATCCCCACTCAATCCAAGGGCTAGTACACCATCACCCCTTGGTTTACAGAGTTAACTTGTATGGTGAGAACACCATCCTTGGTTAATTGGAAGCCCAGATATTCCACTTCCTTTGTACTTGTTCCCAACCCTCGAGTAATTTTTTCCTGTGAGTGTGACCAGCTTCCCCAGGGGCTGCCATGCTGGAAGATGTTGGTTCTTGTTTGTCCTCCATGCTGTCTCCACATCAGATCAGTGTGGTTGCCACTGCTTGGGAGTGGGGGATAGAAGGGGCGTTGACTGTTGGAAGGAAAGCAAGAGAACTCTAGTCTGAGGAGCTTTCTCGTAACTGGTGAAGGGTAAGTGGGGAAGCCAACACCCGTTATGTCTAGTGCTCACACTCAGGCTGTTAGGGCTGCTACAGTGTTCTCTTGTCCTGCACCTCCAGCCCTTCAATCAATACCCAGACTAAAGCCTCAGGACTAGAAGCTAGATTTTAGCTAGTCCAGCCTCTGGAAAGAATGAGACCAGGTTGGGGGGAGGGGGCTGGCAATCTAAAACCAAATTCCTCCCTACCACCCAGCTTGAGAAACCAGTTAGCTGTTTCTCTCATCCAGCATGGGGTAACCCTGGGTGTCTGCAAGGTGTTTGAACCTTTTCAGTAAAAATCAGTCATTGTCTCTGATTTCCCTCAAAAATGTTTGTATCCTTTCTGTCCCACCTCACTCTCAGCCCTTCCACACAAACCTCCTTGGTGGCTTAGCCTTTTCCATTAATCAACTGTTCTTAAGGTTATGTCCATTACCCGTGATGTGCATAAGGGCACACGGGGTTTGAAGAGGGAGGGGGTCAGACTACCCCCGTTTGTCCCTGTACCATCCCTTTCTTTTCCTTCAGTGCCTATGAGGTGTAGAGTTGCTGCTTTGGAGATGGGACAATGTTTTCTCATGCTCTGATTCTGTAGTTCTGTTCTTTTTCTTGGCTCCTCCGTGGAACCATCTGGACTTGTGCTGTGGGAGGGCTTTCCAGGTTAAGGTGCCACTTTTGGGGACATCCTGCAGTAGCTCTCCAAGGAGGGCTTAACTTCTGAGGGCTGCCTTTGTCCTAGGCATTGGGAGGACTGGGGTTCTGGAGTTTGAAGGGGGACTTGCTCTTGGGTTTGGGAGGCATTTGTGATTTGGTCACTTTAGCACAGTGCTTCTAAAAAAAACTCTTCCATCAAAGTGCCCCTAATAGCAAGAGAGAAGGATCCAAGGATACAGTTTTTCTGAAGTTTCATTTTATCTCATGTGATGAGATTGAATGTATCTTTAAAAGTGTGCTTTAAATTTGAGTTATTTTCCCTCAAATCTTGGCATAAAATTTCTCTAGTAAGATGCTAGATTATTTTATCTGATGGCTTTTTCCTGTCTCCCTGACCCGTGGCTCCATACCCGAGGGTACAGTGTGTCTATTTCAGTGTCGAGAGTAGAAATTAAGACGAGGAGTGGTACTGGTTTCCTTGAAGTGGTGGTGGTTGTAGGGAGTTCTTCGCCGGGAAGCAGGCAAGTTATTGGGAGCATGGATCAGAGCCTGTGTCTCACAGAGAAGCTCAAGTTGTAAATGATGAGGACGTCAGATTTTGTATTCCACACAGACCGCAGGAGATAGCCTACCCCACTGCCTTCCTAATCCCTGTCCCTTCCCCATGCTTAGGCTTAAATTACTTAGCTGGAAATGCACCTTTGTGTCAGCTCTTTACGTCGTAAGTACCTAGCCTAGAAGAGCCAGGACTAGAGAAGCCAGGGGAGCTGAGACTGCGAGAATGGACCGTGCTCTTGGGGTTGGACTGGACTGCTCCTTGAGCTCTTACCTTACGCTGTGAAAGCATGGATCCTGAGCCCAAAAGTGTCTCTTCATGAACAGAAAGAGCCCAGACTACCTGTCTTCGGGAGCAGGGCTGAGTGGAGTCTGGATGGGTTGATTTAAAATGGACATTAAAAGTTTAATACATTTCTTTTGGGCTTTGGTACAAAAGTATTTTGAAAACTGTATGCTAGTGGGGTGTCGCTATTTCCCCTTGCCCCACAGAAAGCAACTCACCTCGCTTTCTCACACACATACTCAGTACATACCTGGAAAGGGCAAGAGATTTGGGTCATGAGCTCTCCTCTCTCAGGCCTGACCTGAGATGGAAAAGCAGACCAGCATTCCCTTGCAGTGTAACAGCTGGGAAGGCTGCACACACCATTTCCTCGCCGGGAGAGGGGCCAGCCGCTAGCTGAGCTAATCCTCCTGTCTGTTTCCTCCTCCCCCAGGTGTATCAGTCACCTCCAGTAACACGGGCGTGCCAGATATCTCGGGTTCTGTGTACTCCAAAACCCAGGTAGGTGCCTAGCTCTGGAGAGAAGTGGGAAGAGACGGACAGAGAGGAGGTGGTGTGGCAGTGTCCAGTTCAGTGAGCAAGCACGACCCTGAGAAGTGTCAGGAAGCCCACCCTAGATGAATGGCCTCTAGATTGCAGTTTCTCAAAGAAGTCTAAATCCAGCCCTCTGAGAAGAGGCAAGAGAAGTGTGACAGGGAAGATGAGGCGTGGCAGATCGCTGTGACAAGTGTGGGACTCACTGTCCTTTACCCACTGCCAGCCTTTTGCATCTTTCCAAGGGAGCAAGTGTGGAATGAAGGGAAACTGGTTAATTCATTCTTTGTGAAAACAAGGAGTGGGTGTTGTTAAGTTTGATACATGAAGTGTTAACGGGAGTTACGGTGGAGCACCTCATGGCCGAGACCTTGCCACCGACGGGCCCAGTTGCAGGGTGGGTGTGACGGTAGAGTCCCGAGCGCGCTCACAGCCACCCTCTCCTGCGGTCCTGACAGCTGGAAGTCAGTAGCACCCCTGTGTTATGTGTGAGAAAACGGGAGTCAGAGAGGGAGTCCTTCTCTCAGGATCACACAGCTCTTAAAGAGCAGAGCGGAGACAGACCCGAGCACCTGGCTCCAGGTGCAGTGCTCCTCCTCTGACGAGTACTGCTCTCGGTGGGTGTGGGGCTTGGGCCCAGAAACTCCAGGGATTGGTTTGCTGACCCCTTTTACTGTCTCTCCTCCATCCCACTGGATAGCAGTCCTTTGAGAAACAAGGTTTTCATTCCGGTACTCCTGCTGCCTCCTTCAACTTGCCTTCAGCCCTAGGAAGTGGGGGGCCCATCAATCCGGCCACAGCTGCTGCCTACCCACCTGCCCCCTTTATGCACATTCTGACCCCCCATCAGCAGCCGCACTCCCAGATCCTCCACCATCACCTGCAGCAGGATGGCCAGGTAATAGCCCTCCCCCTCTCCTTTCCCTTCCTCTTCCTTCCTGTCCCTTAAAACTGCCCCCCCTTCCCTTTTCTTACCCTTCCTCACCACCTTCACCCAGCCCTCCCAGCGCCAGCCATGGGCACACAGCACATACAGACACAGTGCACACGACACAAGCCGCCGGCAAGAGGAGAGGTCAGAGAAGGGGCCAGGCTCAAACCTCCTTTGCTCTGTTCCTTTGGTACCTTTCTCCTCTACCTCCGGTAGCACAGCTGCCCTCATCCCATCAGACCTGGGTCACACCTACCCTCTGACCTCTCCCAGCCTCCCCCCTTCCCTGACATTGTAGCTTTCCCTTCTAATGGTGGAGTTCTATTGTCAAAGTTTGTCCCTTTATTTTCCATATATCCTGGTTCTGCCTCAGCTACCATATTTGCAGATGATTCTCTGTTGCCAGCGCCAGCAGGAGGAGCAGGTAATGAAACTGAATGATGATGTGCTTGAACCCACTCCTTTCCAGCCCCCATTTCACCTCCACAGCCTCAGGGAACTTGAAAAGGCTGCACAGTCACAGATCAGGACACACGAACACAGACACCTTGCTGAGCTCTCTGGCCTCCCGTCCCTCTCTTGTCCTCCCCTCCCCAGCGCCCTCTTTTTTCTTTCTGCCCTTCCCTGACTCTGGAAACACTTGGTTACCGGAATGGAAAGCATTCTTGGGGCAGCATCTGGAGCCTGGGGCCTCAGACTGTCTCTCCTACCTTGCCTGCAGTGGGCTCTCAGCTGTGCTGTGTGGTAGGGGTGGGGAGCTGTGGGGTGGACAAGTGACCTCTCCTCCATCATAGGTGGCTGGGGAGCTGGGACAAGGGCTTCCTTGCTCTCAAAGACAGCTTCCCAAATTGAGGTATTCATGGGATCAATGAAAATGAAATCACCATGTGATCACTCCTCTCCAAGAGGCCATAATTCTCTCCAGAGAGAGTAGCCTTTTCTCAGCAGTGTAGCTGGGGGTGGAGGGAGAAGGTGGAATTTAAAGTGGGTAGAACTCATTCACAGTCTTATCTTCCAAAGGTATCCTGCCATCTTTACATTGCTACCCTGTTTAAAGGTTGAAGAGGCTTTTTTACCTGTCCCAGGTGCTCTAGCAGCTGTAGAAACCAAATCTTCTGTGGTTGGGAAGTAAACTTCAGAGTAGTTTCTAAACAAGGGGAATGGGAGAGCAAGACAGCTTCCAGATCTCCACCTGAAGATGTTACAGATTTGTCCCACTAACTAGACACCTTTTTCCTCCTCATCATCGTCCCATTCCCTGCAGACGGGCAGCGGGCAACGTAGCCAGACCAGCTCCATCCCGCAGAAGCCCCAGACCAACAAGTCTGCCTACAACAGCTACAGCTGGGGGGCCAACTGAGGCCCTGACCCTCTTCTTCTCCCGGTCCCATCTTCTGAGAGGGCTTCTCAGCCTGGCAACTACGGAAACAGCATCAAAGAGAGAAAGGAATGGGGGGGGTCCGCTGCCCCCCCCACCCCCAGCGGCCCACCCCATGCCTCAGCTTCATGTCTGTCCCGTTCCCATACCATCCCCACTCTGTTGTATGTATTATAGGATTTGTATTTTCTTTTTTTTTCTCCTTTCCTCTCCTCCTCCTCCCTTGCATTCAAGATTATGAAACTTTGCTGTGGGCCCTGCCTTCCTTCTCCTCCTCCTGTTCACCCTGGTGGTGTATGGGTGAGGTGGGTGGGGGGGACCCCCAAATATATATCAGCCCAACAGCCCTGTCTCCTCCTTTATTATTAGGAAACAAAACAACAACAAAAAATGGCGTCATGAATATGAACAGCATTGTCAGATGAATTAGTTGAAGTGTTTTTTTTTTTTTGTACTGTGTCCTCAAATTTAATGGATTAATGTGTCTTGTATATATAAAAAGAAAACCTCTACCTTCAGCGTCTGCCCATTCTTGATCCGTCTAGGACACGCTCCTCAACAGCTTGGTGAATGATTGTTCTGTACCGCTGGGCCGCTGGGGGGCTCTGAAGGCGATGGAATAGAAGGCAGTGGAATACAAGGAGCTCCTTGCCCTTAATGTGCTGCCGGCATCTTGCCCTATGGGAACTCCCCTTCCTCCTCCCCCAGGGATTTCACAGCCTACAAAGGACCGCTGCACATTTCCATTTCCTCCGGAAACTGCTCCACCTGCAGCAGATTCCGGGCCGTGAAGGGAGTGGACAGCAGACAGCGGGTGGAAAGGGAGAAGATTCAGCAGGAACTGGAAGGCACGGTTTTGGGGAGTCGCCGTGTAACGTGGACGGGTGCAGGCAAATGAACTGGAAAGGAGGGAGAGTAACCTGCGGTCGGCTGGGGCTCGACCACAGCAGTTCTTGCTGCTGGGCGCTTCGTGTGCGTGGCTACCGCCACCCCCTTGAAAAGGAGGGGTCTGGAGGCCGAGGCCGGGGGCGGATGGGGGGACAGGGAAGGAGAGGCTTGGAAGTCAGGGACACGCAGAGGGTGCTACTTACAGCTCCAAGCGCCTCCTCCCCCCGCAAGACTTCCCCGGGCTCCCCTGGCTCTCACCGAGCCTCCGCCCTGCAAGCCGCAGAGCCTGCCCGGACAGCGGTCAGGACTCCGTTGCGGGTACGACACGCCCGGGCTGGAGGGCGCGGAGCCCCTGCGTCCCCGGCCCGGGCATTCAAACGCCGAGCTCGTGGGCGGGCGCGGCCGCGCGGAGGCTGCCCCCTGGCGGCGGCGGCCGGGCCCACGCGGCCTCGCCACCTCGGGGCCCCTGCGGCGCCGGCCGGCGGGCGGAAGGGGTCGGCTGGGGAGGCGGGCGGGGCGGGGCGCGGCGGCGGCGGGGCGCGGCGGCGGGGCGCGGCGCCCGCCCACCGCCCTCGCGCCCGGCCCGCGGCTCGGGACGGGCGCCGCGCCCCGCCCGCGTCGTGCTGACGTCCTTTTACGACAGCGTGCCGGGTCGCAGGCCTGCCTTCCGGCAGGTGGCCCGACGCTTCGCTCCGTTTCCGGCTGCGCCGCGCAGGCCGCCGCCGGGCGCGAATGGGCTTCGGTGGGGTCCGCGGGTTCGAGGCCCACGACGGGGATGAGCCTGTTCGAGCTCTTCCGGGGCTTTCTCGGCTTTTCGGGACCTCGGAGGTTAGAGCGGGTCGGATCGGACGGGGGTGGGGTCTTGTGAGGGGAGCTTGACCCCTGACGCCCAGTTGTTGGGAAGCCGTCCCCTTCGTCACGCCTTCACCTGCCGCGGAGGGGACGGAAGTCGGCGCCCTGAGCGCCCACCCCGCGGCAGTCACCTGGGCGGCCGCGGAGGCGAGGACTGACAGCGGTTTAAGCCCTTCTCCAGGCTGGGGTGGTGCAGCGGGGGCCCGGGCGGGACGGGGCGGGCAGGGGACGCGGGGCAGCCGCGCGGCGAGGGCCGTTTGATAAAGGCGGAAGCCGCGCCGGCCCCGCGGCCCGCCCCTCCGCCTGCCCTTGGCCCGCTCTAAAGCTGGGGGCGGCTTGCGTGGTTCGGGCGGTGCTGACGTTGTGCCAGACCTGCCTTCACGCCCCGCCGCAGAGAGCCCTTCTTTGGAGGCATGACTCGGGATGAAGATGAGGACGATGAGGACGAGGAAGGGGAAGCCACGTGGGGCCGTGGGAGCTCGAGGTGTGAGGGCCCTCGGCCCCCCGAGGAATTCGGCTTTGGCTTCAGCTTCAGCCCGGGAGGAGGGATGCGCTTCCATGACACCTTTGGCTTCGATGACCTAATTCGGGATTTCAGCGACCTCTTCAGCGAGCTGGGGACCTGGACCTTGCCTTCCCGCGCTCCTGGTGTGTGGCTGTCCCTGGACAACCTGTGGTTTCTGCCGGGTTGGTGGGTGAAACGAGGAGCCTGAAGAGAGCAGTTGGGGGGCGGGAAGTGTGGGAAGACCGCTGCCATCGATAAGGGTGTAAAGAGCCCAAGTCCTCCCCACCCCCAGCATCCGTCTGGCCTCTTTCTGCAGAACTTCCAGGGCCTGGTCCCGAGTCAGAGACACCTGGTGAGAGACGACGGGAGGGACAGACACTTCGGGACTCAATGCTTAAGTATCCAGACAGTCACCAGCCCAGGATCTTTGGGGGTGTCTTGGAGAGTGATGCAAGAAGTGAATCCCCCAAACCAGCACCAGACTGGGGCTCCCAGAGACCTTTTGGTGTGGTGAGTGCTTCTGGGTCCAAAGTGAGAGCCTGTGGGCGACAACTAATAGAGCACAGACTGGAGGCTTGTCAGAATCTGACAGACATGGGTTGGGATCCTAGGCTCTCCACTTACTGTTATCTGTTTTCTGTATTAAGCTTCTTGTAGGATTTGGTGGGGGTGGGGCCCAGGGATGGGAGTTCTGCTTTTTCTTTAAAAAAAAAAAATCAGGGGTGCCTGGGTGGCTCAGTCTTTAAGCGTCTGCCTTCGGCTCAGGTCATGATCCCAGGGTCCTGGGATCGAGCCCCGCATCGGGCTCCCTGCTCCACGGGAAGCCTGCTTCTCCCTCTCCCACTGCCCCTGCTTGTGTTCCCTCTCTCGCTGTGTCTCTCTCTGTCAAATAAATAAATAAAATCTTAAAAAAAAAATCACGGGGGCGCTTGGGTGGCTCAGATGGCTAAGCGTCTGCCTTCAGCTCAGGTCATGATCCCGGGGTCCTGGGATCGAGTCCCACATCAGGCTCCCTGCTCAGCGGGGAGCCTGCTTCTCCCTCTCCCTCTGCCCCTCCCCCTCACTCATGCACACTCGCGCATGCTCGCTCTCTCTCAAATAAAATCTTTTTTAAAAAAATCACCGGTCTTTATTATTCTGGGACAAGGCAGATTGTTGGGTGGCATAGAAAGTGTCATTTCCGGGACACCTGGGTGGCTCAGTCAGTGATGCGTCTGCTTTCGCCTCAGGTCATGATCTCTGGGTCCTGGGATTGAGCCATGCAGCGGGCTCTCTGCTCAGCGGGGAGTCTGCTTCCCTGTCTCCCTCTGCCCTTCCCCCTTCTCATACTCACTCTCTTTCTCTATCTCAAATAAATAAAATCTTAAAAAAAAAGAAAGAAAAGTGTCAGTTCAGGAGAGCCTTTTGATAGACGTATAGATAAAATAGGTAAGAAGGGGGAAGGGTGAGTACAGAAAGCTATTCTGAGTGGAATTATCTCTCCCGGGGAAAAGTAGTTTGGGATCTTGGGAATACTTTCAATACAGATTGAAAGGTATCATCTCACCTACTTTGCCTTCTACAGTTTGATGATGTGTGGCCTATGACCCCCCGTTCTAGAGCCAGAGAAGACAATGGTGAGTCTGGTGGGAGTGGCCATTTAATGTGCCCTCTGTTCTCCCTCCCTGAAGTTTCTTGTCACACCTGGCCCCTGCTTTTCTTTGGACTCTTGATTTCGTGTTTCCTCTCTCTGCCCTTCTAGATCTTGATTCCCAGGTTTCCCAGGAGGGCCTCGGCCCAGTTCTGCAGCCCCAGCCCAAATCTTATTTCAAGAGCGTCTCTGTGACCAAGATCACTAAGCCAGATGGGGTGAGTTGGAAGAGAGGGGTAGAAGGAACTGTGGCCAGAGGATGCCATGGAGAGAGCAATCTAGGTAAAGAAACCAGTGAACTCACCTTTATTGATGTTAGAGATATGGTTTGGGCTTCTCCTTGTAGACAGTAGAGGAGCGCCGGACTGTGGTGGACAGTGAGGGCCGGACAGAGACCACAGTAACCCATCAAGAAGCAGATGGCAGTCCTAGAGATGGTAAGTAAAGTCTGTGAATCAAAGGGATCCATCTCTTGTTTCCTTGGGAAAGGGGAACCCATACTTTTCTACTCTTTAAATTATTCCTCTCCTTGTCCTTTGTTCATTTTCTTTGATTTAGTGTGTCTATGTGTATCACTTTTTTCCTTAGATCCAGAATCACCAACACCTCCAGCCCTGGATGATGCCTATTCCATCCTGGATTTATTCCTAGGACGTTGGTTCCGGTCCCGGTAGCCCTGTTAACCCTCAGAAGCCTTCAGATTCTGTCCACCCTTTGCTCACCATCTGTGGGCTTACCTTCTGCTCCTGCCACCTCAGGGCCTTGGGTGTGTGAAACAGTGAGTTGGGGGTATGTCAGTATGTGACTCACCCAAACTGACTAATAAAACGTTTATTTATGCTAATTCCTTGGTCTTGGTTTTGTCTAGGCTGTTCCACTTTCTAGTACCATCCAGGGCTTCCCAGATTATTTCGGCCCACAGTGTTCTTATTTCTTAATTTTGTGTTCCACTTCCAAAACCTGATTTGATAGAGAGGGTCAGGTACCAGTAGAAAATGATTATTCTTACAGCGGGGATAACTAGAGACAATTCCAGGAAAATTTCTACACAAGGATGCATTGGATTCTAAAAAGTGGAAGGGGCGCCTGGGTGGCTCACTCGTTAAGCGTCTGCCTTCGGCTCAGGTCATGATCTCAGGGTCTTGGGATCGAGCCCCGCGTCGGTCTCCCTGCTCAGCGGGGAGCCTGCTTCTCCCTCTACCCCTCCCCCTGCTCGTGCTTGCATGCTCTCTCTCTCTCAAATAAATAAATAAATCTTCTAAAAAAATAACAACAAACTTTAGTGCTGTGGCTGAGAGTGGCAGATCTTGCACATTCATTTACCTCTGTTTCCTTGAAATGACTCAAATGACAAGGGATTTTTCTAAGGAAGCCTATCATAAGAACAAAGAAGAAAAGATGTAATGAAATTTTGTATTTTCATTCTTTTTATTATATCTTTTCATGAACAGAAGTTGATTTACTGTAGCCAAGTTTATATTTTTCTTTACGGTTAGTGCTCTTTATATCTTTTAGGAATCTCCCCAACCCAAGGTTAAAAGGATGCTGTCCTTTATTTATCCTCTCTAAGTTTTATTAGTTCTGCTTTTTGCATTTAGGGTTGTTTTTTTTTTTTAATTTTTTTAAAAAAGATTTTATTTATTTGACAGAGAGACACAGCGAGAGAGGGAACACAAGCAGGGGGAGTGGGAGACTCCCGGCTGAGCAAGGAGCCCGATGCGGGGCTCAATCCCAGGACCCTGGGATCATGACCTGAGCCAAAGGCAGACGCTTAACGACTGAGCCACCCAGGTGCCCCTACATTCAGGTTTTTAAATCCACCAGGATTTTATCTTCCTATTTGGTATGAACCAGGGGACCAGCTTCATTTTTTTCTATTTGGAAAAACATATGCATATGTATGTACAAATATTGTGAATATATTTTATATATACACACATACTTACAAATACACATGGATCCCTGTGCTGGGTCTTTCTGTCTTTTCTGTTACTCTGTCTGCCTCTGTGCCTACTCACATTTTAAAATTGCCTAGTTGTATTTAGTAGAACATGTCCTCCCATTTTTTTCCCCCTAACTTCTAGTATGTAAGAATACAATTGATTTTTTTTTTTTTTACTTTTTTTTCTTAGATTTTATTTTATTTATTTGACAGAGAGAAAGACAGTGAGAGAGGGAACACAAACAGGGGGAGTGGGAGAGGGAGAGGCAGGCTTCCCGCTGAGCAGGGAGCCCGATGCAGGGCTCGATCCCAGGACCCTGGGATCATGACCTGAGCCTAAGGCAGACACTTAACGACTGAGCCACGTGCCCCTACAATTGATTTTTAAAATTTATTTATTTATTTGAGGGAGAGCACACATGTGAGTGGGGGAGAGGAGCAGAGGGAGAGAGAAAATCTCAAGCAGACTCCCTGCTGAGTGTGGAGCCCACTGCAGGACTCATTCCCACAACCCTGAGATCATGACCTGTGCCAAAGCCAAGAGTTGGATGCTCAACCAACTGAGCCACCCAGGTGCCTTTATAATTGATTTTTCGAATCAGCTTTTCAGAATATCACCATAAATACATGGAGCTGGACGTTACCAGACATCTGTGGATAGTCTACAGCATGAAAGGTGGACTTGTACAGACAAGAGAAGCAACTTGGGAGGAACAGACTTGCAGAAAGATGAAAATTTAGCAAGGGCACATTTTAATGTCCTTAGAAATACGAGATGATAGATCCATAAAGCCAGAAGATATTCCTACAAAGGAATAAATAAAATAAGAATGAACTTCGGCTTAGGTCCATGATCCCAGGGTTCTGGGATCGAGTCCCACATTGGGTTCCTTGCTCAGTGGGGAGCCTGCTTCTCCTCTCCCTCTGCCTGCCCCTTGCCCTGCTTGTGCTTGCTTGCTCTCTCTCAAATAAATAAGTAAAATCTTTCAAAAAAAAAAAAAAAATGAATGAACTTTGAGGAGTTTAAAAAAAAAATGTGATGGCAGAAATGAAAAACTATAAAAAGATTTTGATGACAAAGTTGAGGAAATCTCCAGAAAGACCAAGTAATAGAAATAGAAAACAGGAAAAAAGTACCCGTGAAACCAATACAATGTTATATATCTGCTATACTTCAATTTAAAAAAATTTGAAAGGAAAAAAGATAAGAAAACTGGAATGATATAAACCATCAATGAAATAAACCAAGAAAATACCCCAGAAGTGCAGAATATTTACTTCTAATCTGAAAGACCCACCACAATGCTAAATAGCAAGGATGAAAAAAACCCACTACTTCAGAACACTAGAGGGAAAGGAAAATCTAAATGATTTGAGAGAGGGTTCAGAGGAATCTGGGGATTCAGGATTCTCATTTGCATCTACCCAGATGTAACCTATCTCAAGTGTCAGGATCCTACCCTTTCTCTTTTAGGACCGTAACCCTGACATAGGAAACCCAGTGGGGCTAAGAATTCCACCCTCTCTGAAGCTCTGCTACTCCTACAGTCACATTTGAGCTGGTCCTCCACTCTGGTGCCCACTGGATGCAAGAGGTTAGGCTTTCCTTAAATGCTGTGAAGGGAGCCCGCTGGCTTGTGGTCTGCCTTGGCTTGGCGACCAGCTCTGCGGAACGTAGTGACCATTTCCCTTGGCTTCTCCAGTGCTTGACATACTGCACTAGGGCATATCCTTTCAACCAGTAACTGCTTCCAACTGACCACTGCTGACAATTTTAGTCATTGCATCCTTCAAGCTAGAGACTATTCATATTCTACCTACTACCATGACAGGGTTCTTGTCAACCAGCCCGTGAGTGATCACCCAAATTCCATTCTAGAGTTTGCAGAACCACTCCTGACACCAACTGTCTTAGAATGGGTTCCCTGGGCAAAGACTAAGATGAAAAGAGACATGAACAAGGTTTCTTGGGGGTGCTAGCGCCCTCAGGGGATACACATGTAAGAAAGTGAGGAAGGCAGGATTAGGCTAAAGAGGTGACTGACCCAAGGAAGTTACAAGAGAAGACTTTGAAGCTGGAGTGACCCTTCAGGGTTGTTCTACATTGAGGCAAAAAGGCCAGGTCTTTGTATCCCTGCATGGACCAGTCATCGACATGGGCCGCATAAGAGGGCATGTCACCTTGGGTGAGGCTGTCTCAGGCCATGAAAGGTATTAACTGTGAGGGAAGCAGCTGTGTGCTATCAGCATCTGATACTCCCAGCAGCTGGGAAATGGTGCATTGGCCCCAAAGTGGGTACCCACTAAACCCAGTAAAGAACTCCTGCTACAGAAGTGCCCAGGATTGTGCTAGAGCCTGTGGGTCAATATGGCCCAGCTCTCAAGAACCTCATAAACTCTATACAGCATTTTAATTTGTATATTTCCACCTACCAGAAGAACATACACTATAGGAGAACAGGCACTGTATCTTGCTCCCCCCTGCTCCCCGGGGTCTAGAACTTGACTCATAGTTGACTGAACCTAATTGGAGGCTTGCGATAAGAAGTAAGAAGTGGCTATGTGTGTGCAGAATCAGGGTGGCAAGCACCCAGAGAAGGGGAGGTGGGGCTCAGCGTGGGTGTGAAGGCTCATCTGGAGCCAAGGCAGGCGACACAGAGCTAGAGCACTTTCTAACCGAGGTGAGACTCTGCATGAGGGCAGTGTAAGCATTCAATGAGTGGGTTTTATTTTAAGCATCCAAATGGTTGGGGGAAACACTTGACATCCCACAGGAGAGGCATTGTGCAGTAGGAGGTGGAGAGTCAGACCTAGCCCTTAAGTAGCTGTGTGGCCGAGGGGAGTCCTGAGGTTCTCAAGACCCTCATGAGCAGAGTGGGAACAGTAGCGCTGCCTTTCAAGGTTGTGGCCAAGAGCACTGACGTGGGATACTTCCTCCAGCCCGTCGGCATAGGAGGAGGTTACCCCTGAGAGGAATGGGGATGACAAAGGAGACAGGGTCTGGGCAAACTCCAGGCTCTGGTCATGCACAGAGCCTGCCCTTGGACCTTCTCCCGTTATCTCTACCTCCCTAGCCTGCACACGTGTGCAGATATCGTATCCAGGAGCTGAGCTAATTGGTTTTAAAGTCTTTCCCTTATTGTTTCCCCTGTCAGGCTGTCGTTGTGTGCCCATGCAGACGGAGAGAGTTGCAGCCTGAGACAGGGTGTCCTCAGCATGGCCTATAGTCAGCCCCTAACCAAAGTCACGGGCCGGCTCCGGATCCGTAACCACCTGGCCCGACAGTGCCTGGCAGAGTTTCTGGGTGTGTTGGTGCTCTTGGTAAGCCGGCTAATGGGGGAACGAAAGAGCCGAGGTGGGCAAAAGTTTTTGGCTCCTCCTGGTGTCTCTATTTCTTCTTCCTGCAGTCTCGCTTCTTTCAACTACCCATCATTTCTCTCCCTGTCCTTGTCCCTTCCATTCCTTTCCTACTCCCTAATTTTTATTCCTATCCCTGTCCATCTCTCATCCTCCTTCCCTTTCTTCACTCGTCCTTCACGTCTCCCCTTTACTTCCCTCTGTCTGCTTTTCTCCCTTCCTTGCTGACCCCTCCTGTTCATTCAGCTCTCTTGGCTCCTCCTCTGCCTTTCCACCTCTCTCCCCGTTCCCTGTTGGTCCCCCAGGCTCCCTATTCCTGGTTCCTGTTCCTCATCTTCCCTCTCCCCACCAGCTCCTCACCCAGGGGGCTGTGGCCCAGGCTGTCACCAGCGGAGAAAACAAAGGCAACTTCTTCACCATGTTTCTGGCTGGCTCTCTGGCGGTTATAATAGCCGTCTACGTGAGTGGTAACGTTTCAGGTGAGGAGGGTGTGGGGTCTGGTCATCAGAGGGGGTAGAACGTGCACGTGCACGTGAGTGTGGGTATATGGCATAAGGCAGATCCTTTGGTGACTCATGGACATTATCTCCTTGAGCTTGACTAGTGCCCTGGACTGAGATATGCCTTTGGCCTGGTCCAGCCCCTTCCCTTTGTGTGTCCCTCTTCCACTTACCTAGACAGATCTATGGCAAGGTAAGTACTGTCTTCGCGTGTCCCCCTCCTGAAGCCCTCTGGGGTCATCTTGTGCAGCGCCACACCTTCTTGTCCCCCAGACATGTGCTGTGTCAGTGTGCCTGGCTGGGGCCTGGAGACACGAACACTATAGGCAGACCCTGGGCTTTACTGTGTGACCTCGACAAGTTGCATGACCTCCCTGAGCCTCAGCTTCCTGACGCATGATGGGAGAAGTGACATCTGCCTTAAGAGTTGCAAGCTCCAGGGGTGCCTGATGGCTCAGTCAGGACAGTCAGAGGAACATGCCACTCTTGATCTCAGGGCTGTGAGTTCGAGCCCCACGTTGGGAGAAGAGACCACTTGAATAAATAAGATTAAATTCAAAAGTTGTGAGGGGCAACAGCCGCATTACCTGGTGAGCGCCTGGCAATGACACTTAAGGGATGGTGGTTTTCTTTTCTGGATCCTTGAAGGGGCCCACCTGAATCCATCCTTCTCCCTGGCAATGCGCCTCCTGGGGCGTTTCCCCTGGGCCAAGCTTCCCGTTTACTGCCTGGTGCAGCTTCTCTCTGCCTTCTGTGCCTCTGGAACCACCTACGCTGTCTACTACGGTAACATGGTTGGGAGCATCTGCGTGTGGCCAGGAGTGCCTTGCAGTGGTTTTGCATGAACAAAGATGGAGATCCTGGGTGTTCCCCTCCCCTGCAGATGCCCTACAGAATTATACAGGTGGCAGCCTGACAGTGACTGGCCCCAGGGAGACGGCCTCCATCTTTGCGACCTGCCCCATATCTGTCCCTGAACAATGGCTTCCTGGATCAGGTAAGTGCGAGGGGTAGACCTGGGAAAGCCCCGGTCTTTGCTTTTGTCCCCTGGGATTCTCTGGGATGTGGGGTTGGGTCTATCTCTGCACCATCCCTGCCCCAGTTGCCTGTGTTGGACAAAATCAGATGGCGTGGGTTGGTGGCCTTGGATGCTTGGGTGAGAAAGGGCAGATGGATCATCTGGCAGCTTATGGGGGCCCCTCTGCCTCTTTCAACTCCAAGGTTCTGGGCACAGGGATCCTGATTGTGGGCACCTTGGCCATCGTGGACACACGGAACAAGGGAGTGCCTGCAGGTCTGGAACCTGTGGCAGGGGGGCTGCTAGTCCTAGCCATCGGGCTATCCCTGGGTGTCAACTGTGGGTTCCCACTCAACCCTGCCCGCGACCTGGGCCCACGGCTTTTCACCTACATGGCTGGATGGGGCCCTGAAGTCTTCAGGTGGGAGACTACGGCCTCCTCCCCTGGGGCAGTCCCTTCACTCTCCTCCGAGTCTGGGTCCCCAGCTCTCTCTGCTTACGTAGTTCTCTTAGCCTCTTAGGACAGTGTCCCTCATCTACCTCCTGGTTCTCCCTTTCTCTCTTGCCCCTTCTCCTCTCCCTCCACCCCTTCCACCGAAACTGTGGGGATGGTGTTCTTGGGCGTGTCATATTACCTCCTTGGGCATTAGTGACCCCATCAGCAAAGTGGGTATATTCAGATAATTCCCTAAGGCAAGAGGCTGGACCAAGGCTCTCCTGGGGGCTCCTCTCTAAGTGCTGTGCTTTGTTGCCAAGACACCCCCTTCCTGGTGTCCATCTCCCCAGGAACTGCTTTCAGGAGCACTCTTGTGACTGCCCCAGTGCTCCGCGGGGAGGCCAGGGGAGTCAGCCCTGAGAGCCTCATGCCCCTCTCTTGTAGGGCTGGTAATGGCTGGTGGCGGGGGCCGCGCTCGGCACAGCCACATACCAGCTGCTGGTGGCTCTCCACCACCCGGAGGGGTCAGAGCCAGCTCAGGATCTGGAGTTTGCCCCGACTTGGAAATGCCTGCCTCGGTTCAGTTGCCGCGGTAAAGGTTCTGACACGACAGCCCTCACCTCCCTTGTGGACACTGAGAGGGCCAGAGATCCAGGGGTGGTGACCAGACATTCTCTCTCCACGAATGCACCAGCTTCGCGGTTCGCTGACGAGGCATCGTTTCCTCCTGAACTGCGAAGGATGCCTGGAGGCGGCGATCCGGGCCAGGCCCCTCCTGCCCTCCAGCCCTCCTCCCCTCCTCCCACTTTGGACCCTGATGGCTTCTGCGGACGCAGTGCCTCAAAGTAGCCACCAGAGGGCGCGCCCGGGAGCGGCGCGGGAGGGCCGGGGCAGCCCGGGCGAGGGGGGCTTCCCGCGGAGCCCGGTCCCCCTGCCGGGCTCCCAGCCCCAGAACCTCGGTGCGGCCGCCCTTCCCTCGCGGGGCGGCTCTCCAGATGGCGAGGGTGCGAGCCGGGCCCGCCTGGCGGCCGGGAGCGCCAGCGGGGAAACTGAGGCACGGCCCAGCGCCCAGACGCTCCAGCCGTCCGTCCCGGAGTGGGGTGAGACTCCGGGGCCGCGGGGGGCGGGCGGCGCGGGGCCGCGCTCCCGGGCCCCTTGCCCGCGAATAAAGGCGCCGGCGCTCCCTATGGGGCGCCGGGCCGGCCAGTCGGAGGGACTTGCGACTCGATAACGGGGTCGCGGGTTCGAGCCCCAGGTTGCGCTCGGAGGTTACCTAAATAACTTGGGAAAAAACCAAACGTCCGGGCTCGCTGCTCCCCGGGCTGACTCGGCTTCGGGCTGCGGATGGATGTGCAGCGGGGGGGGGACACCCGGCCTCGGAAAGGTTAAGACCCCGCCCCCCGCCCCGCACAAAGATGGCGCTCCCGCCTCCCCTCCCCCTCCCCCTCCCCAAAACCCCCTCCGCCCCCCGCCTCTGCCGCCGCCTCCGTCACTTCCGCCCCGCCGCGGCCGAAACTGACACAAAGTAGCGGGCCGAGCCCCGGGGGAGCGGGGCTGCAGCTGGGGGCGAGAGCCCGCGGGGAGCCGAGCCGAGCGCCCCCCGCCGCAGCCCCCGGCATGGGCAGGACGGGGCGGCCGGGGCGGGCGCCGGGCGCCGCGCGCTGAGGTGAGGCGGGGCGGGCGCGCGTGCTCGCCCGGAGGAGGGTGCGGGAGCCTGGGGATGGGGGTCCAGAGGCTGTCCGCGCCGCGGGAGGGTGGGGTGCTGAAGGAGGGGGCGTGGAGAGTCGCCCGAGAGCTGTGGGGTGAGGGCAGGGGCCCTGGTCCGAGGGTTTGGGCGCTGGAGAAGGCAGTTCGGGGCTGGTAGGCTTTTCCTCTCAAGGCGGAGGTCTCTGGGCGTGAGCAAAAGCAGGGGCGCGAGGAGGGGTAGTAGCTTTGGGGGCTCAGAGTTGGGGAGTGAGTCCTGGCGTCTGTCCTTGGCGATGTAAGGTGGCCAGGGGTGCTGGTGGTAGGTGAGCTGGGCTCTGGGATTCCATTTCCTTCTGTTCCCCTGGCCTGCCCACAAATACCCCTGCCAACCTTCTCTGAAAGAAGGGGTCCGTCTTCCCGGGTTTGGTCTGGAAGGGAGCAGGGGCCGGGCCGGGAGGAGGAGCCGTTTTCGTACGTGGAGCATTGCCTTCTACCCAGAGCTGGCTATTTTTATCCCAAATGTGGCTGCAGAGGGGGCTGGGGCAGGGTGATGGGCAGGGCCACGTGGCTGGTGTGCCTGATGGTTCAGAAAACCCAAGCTGTGTGAGACTGGGGAGAAGTGAGAGGGGTTCCCTGTTTCCCCGTCTCCCACTCTTGTTCCCTCCCTATTAGGGCCCCCCAGAGGGGATGAGTTCTGGGACCAAGTCAGCTTTCATTCTCCCCAGGGTCTTAGAGGTAAAACAACTTTCCTGCTCCGTGTCCAGACTCCTGACTCCTAAGTGTGTGTGGTTCCTTCATTAATTCTTTCATAGCATTCAAACCCAGATCTTTAGGCTGATGGTTTCTTGATTGCCTCCCTTTAGGAGGGTGGGGCTGGCTATGGAATTTGGGATGCCCACCCTTCCATCCTCTCCTTTAACCTCTTCCTCCACACCCCACCCTGTCATGACTCATACTCTAGACTGGGTGGAGACCCTGGCCAGGGCCACGGGAGGAGGGCTTGGCATCTCTAAAACGGTGGATGAGGTTTTTCCTCCTGAGCCAGCCAGGCACCCTTGGCGATCAGTGTTGGGGAGGGTCGGCGAGGAAAAGGACTTCTGGCTTCGTGCCTGATCTGGGGTTCAGAAAAGGAGTCTGAGTTAGTGAAGGGACGACTGGTGTGGGTGACGGGCTGTGGCCAGAGTCTGTAATTATAGAGGTTGGGCAGACAGGCAGTCAGTATCTTTTTGGGCCGACAGGCTGGCAGGCTGTGCCTAAGAGGCCCGAGTCAGGGGCACCGATGAGGGGGAAGGCTTTCCACCCAGACAGAGAAAGAGGAGGTGTGACAAGAGGACCTGGGACCTGGCTGGCAATAGGGATGAGGCAGGCCTTTTGGCTTTTTGGTGAAAGGGACACGGGAAGATGGAAGGAAAGCAAAGGCCTGTCTGATTGATACTCCTTGAGCCTACATCTATTGCCATCCTGACCGGGCTGGGCTTGTGGAGTGTGGGGTGGGGAGAGAGAGCGACTCCCCACCACGGTGGGCATGGCCCCTCAGCTGACCCAGACTGAGAGGAAGTGGTTTGGGGACTGTGTTCAGGAAATGCAGCTCACACTAGAGGAGCTCCCCTGCAGGAGGTGAGAATGGAAGGCCCAGTAGTGGGAGGATGGGGGGATTATAAGCATTTTGGGAAGGGTGGAGCCTGCCCACTTTGTTTCCTGAGGTTCTGCCAGGTGTTTCCTGGCTCAGGTTCCCTCAACCCCACCCTTTGGTGGAAACTCTGCTTTCCAGTAAACACAGGCACCACTCATTGCCATCAGAAGGGCACATGGCGGCATCCATTGCCCCGGGGACAGGTTCCCTGGATCTGTACCCCTCCTGCCTGGCCACTTCTCTCTGTCCCCTTCCTTGACCTGTAGGTCTCAGCTTCTGTAAACTGCTAGTCCTGACACACACACACCCATCCAAGGCTGAGGCATAGGGGGGAGGCCGTGGGGAAGGTCAGACCTGGGGACGAGAACCTTCAGGAAGAGTCTGAAGAGGGGAATGAAGGGTTACCCTTGGCTTTCTGACCTCCTGCATATGTCACCTTCCTGCAGCGTCTCCCATGGGATTGCTGGCACCTTGCTGGGTGAGATGGCACTGTGTGCAAAGAAGCGCCCCCCAGGTAAGACCGGGGCGGCAGGGGGATTGGAATCCCTGGGATCATCAAGATTGGGTGTTACTATGGCTCAGGGAGCAAAGGGAGGAGGGACGCTGCCAGTGAGTCTGGAGGAGGGTCGTCACAACCCCTGCCCATCCTGGGGGGAGCCTAGGAAAGCGAATTCTTCCCCTGGATGCCTGAGCTGGGCTCTCCTCCCCGGGGTGCTGAGTACCTGCCCCTTTCGACTTGGGGCACCTGAGCGCTTCGTCTCGGGCCTGGGGCGCTGTGTTCCCACCTTCTCTCTTGTCTCCATCCGCCCCGCCCTCCCGGCTTTCCTGCGGGCGGGGGCGGGATGAAAGCGGTTGCCCGGACGACACTGGCGGTTCCCCCCCGGGGGCGGGGCTCCGCGGGCTTCGCCTACGCGGCGCGGGCAGGAGCTGCCCTGCGGGCGGGGGGCGGGCGGGGGGCGGGCGGGGGGCGGAGCCGGGGCGCGCGCCGCGCTCGGGCCACTGGGCGCGCGGGCGGCCGGGCCTGGGGGCGGCGGCCGCGGGGATGGCCGGGGCTGCAGGTGGGGCGCGCGCCCGACGGCCGGGGCTCCCCTCCGAGCGGCCGCGGCTCGTGGTGTGCCTGCCCGGGGGGCCGCCGCATCGGCGCCGCTGAGGCCAAGGACAGACCGACAGACAGCCCGCCCTCCCCCGCTCAAACCGGGATCATGACGGTCCCCAAGGAGATGCCCGAGAAGTGGGCCCGGGCCGGGGCGCCCCCCTCCTGGAGCAGAAAGAAGCCCTCTTGGGGGACAGGTAACGGGAGGCAGCGCCTGGCCGCTCTCCCGAGCCCCTGCTTTCCCCTCCCACCCTCACATTTGGTTGTCCTCAGCCTTCCGCAGCCTTCCCTGGTCCGCTCCTTTCCAGACCCAGGGATCCTGGCTCTCCCTTGCATGGGCTTTGGAGACGCCGCAGGGGGCTCAGAGCGAGGGGTCCCCACTGGGGAAGTTTCTGGGAGTTAAGCGCCCACGCAGGGAAGGAGCCCTCTGAGTAGGCAGAGGGTGCTGTGTTCCAGGTTTGGTTACTGCAGTGTACTCTGCAGGGGTCTTTGGAGGGGTGAGGGGAGGGGTCTGGCATGTTGCATTTGGCTCCAGCCCTGGTTCAACGCGTTTTGTTCTCTGCCTCACCAAGGAACCCCCCTTTTCAGCCTGTGGCCCTTGTGACCCCCAGAGGTGGGCTGGAGAGCCCTTGACAGGACAGCCCCGTGTTCTGGGACATGAACTTGGTACCTGCAGTCCCAGATGAGCGGATGTTCAGGATAGGTGTCAGTTAGTGACAGGTGTGTTGTTTAAGGGCAAGGTGTGTGGATGGCACAAGAAGGGTTACAGTTAGAGAGAACAGCCCTTTAAAGTACATCCCATTCCTGCCTCCTTCATCGCCGTCTTGGTCTGCATGACCCACATCCCTGACCCCCCCTTCTCTGACTTGAAGATGAGCTTTGAAATAAGGTGATGTCATTGTGGGCCAGTCAGAAGGCTCTGTGGGTGGCATGTGACAAGCAGAGGCTCCTGTAGGGGGTGCCGCACGTGGGGCTGTGGGGCTGGGATGCTGCCGCAGAGCACAGTGACCCTCGGGCTTGCCACCCACCCCACCCCCAGGTTAGGAGGAGGGCAGTGCCTCTGCAGGGGCTCCCTGGGGAAGGAAGCTTTTTGTCTGCAGCTGCTTTTCCTCCAGCGATTCCTGAGGCCATAATGGCTGAGGTGTTAATTAAAGGGATGCGGGGAGGGGATCTGAGTGCCCCTAGCAGAAGACCTTGACATTGTTGGTCTTGTCCTGTGAATGAATGCCTGCAGAACCGAATGGCCAGGCTGGTGCGAGACAGACCAGAGGGTGGAACCGAGTGACACCCCAGGTGTGGCCAGCTCCTTAAAACTGTGTACTCTGCAAGGAGCCAAGGGCCCTCAGTGGAAACCCCACAAAATGGGTAGGCCTGACAAGGTGCTGGGCCAGGCCTCCATTTGCTCCTCCTGACTGCGGCATCATCGTTCTGTTGCAG